CCGGCCCGGCCCGTCATTTCACTAGTTTCGAAATTTTCAAAAAACACATAAGGGGGGTCCCTTATGTGATTTTTATCGACCAAAAATTTTTTTTCGAGTTTTTTGATCTTTTTTGATCAGACAGACGAACAATCAGAAATACAAAAAAAATGGAAAAATTATATTGAGAGCTCAAAATTTGGCTCAAAAATACAACATTTTTGACACCGGGCCTTCCGGGTCGGGCCCGGTCCTTGAAAATTTCCTCAGGCCCGGAATTTTACAAGTATGCTTTTTTTCTCCCAGCGAACTGAAATGCACATTTTTATCTATGATATTTCCATCGACGTTCACAAATAATTCGATTACGCTCTTTCTATAAAACCCCGTCTTCTTCCCTCCCTCACCTAATATCATTTGGGAAAAGTCTTCGAGACAACTCCCTCATCACTCATGAGCATCTTCTTCTTTTTACGGGGGAAAATGGGAGAGAAGACGTTCTGAAGGAATCACTGAGTTTTTAGACCCAAAAATTGTTCAATGTTCCTCAAAATTAGTTTCGAAATTCACGGTAGCAGTGCGTGAACGGGGAAAATGGGAAAGAAGACTTGCTGAAGGAATCACTGAGCTTTTTTTCCCGTTTAGGAAGTTGAAATTTGCCTCTTGTTGTACGTTTTTCTGACTAGAATAATAATCTGATTTTAAAAACAATGTTTTTATAATTTCAGGTATATAAATTGGTCATTTCTGTATTCCTTGTGTTTTTTTGGTTCGTAAGACTAGAACTTTATTTTTAATTTTCATCTTCCATTCACATAGATCTCTGGTTGAAGCGCCAAAGTCCCGGCAAACATATTATTAGTTTAAAAATAAAGGAAGAAAATTTGGATCAGTGCGTTCGTTCCTGTTCGTTTTGTTTCTGGAAATTAACAATTTGGTACCATTTCATAGACATTAAGATACTTACTGGTGAAGACCTTCGATGGGGGTTTTAAACAAGAGTGTCTATGCACATCATTTTGATTTGAGTATCTGGTCTTTGCTGGTTTTTCTCGTAAGTTGAATGAAATCGAATGATTCGTCCGGTTGGGTTACTTCTTTCACTCGCGTTCAGCTCTGCTTCCGTCTTTCGAACAAATATTTCGAACTTGACTTCAGCCATTCTCAAATGGAGATCTCGACGGCGTTTTGCGTCTTGTTCTTTTTGTTTTTTCAGTCTGTCCGCGGAACTTTCCTTCCCATCCTCCTCTCCGCATTCCGTTGGGTGGGACAGTGAACTGGGCGGCATGAATCCCAACATCCATTGACTTATTTCTCCGTTTTCGTGTAAGCTCATGGTTTCAGCTTCTTTTTCTGCTACTTCTATGTCATGGTCATATTTCGCGTATACCAGTTGATATTTTATATTCAACCAATCATACCGCATTTTGGGAAGAAGCGCCTGAAATTCACATGTTGGACTTTATTGAATCTTCTTTCACAAACTTCAAAAGCTTCCATTCGTGTCATTTTTAGACAATTATCTCTCTTGTGTTCCTCGTAAGTTGCACAGTTATGACAGAAGTCTGAAACATAGAATGCAATTAAATGGAGGAAGTCGAATTTTACTACCTTCTCCCAGCTCGTTCTTCACAGGGACTGTGTCACCACTACACAACTTGCTCACAGCTATTTCATATTGATTCGTCATATTGTCGAGTTGTCTTGTAAGTAACCTCTTTTTAATCTGACAGAAATTTACATAGGAGTAATATGAAAAGTTTCGAGGAACTTACTTTATATGGTGAGAGCGAAAACTGATCCGGACATTGGTTTTGGTGTTCTTCTATGTCTTCGAGAAATGTTTCTCCGCAGAAACAGCAATTTTTCTCGCTTGCACTGATATCAATCTCGAACATTCTGGGAAAAAATGTTGGTTTAAATGCAAAGCGTAACCAAATCTGCAATTTGCTGCGGCCACGGTCGCCTACTTGAATTTTTACTTGAATTTTTCTAGGAAATTCGCTTGCCCGTGTGGACTCCACGGAGAGCCAAACGAGCTCGTAAATCGCATCAACATTAAAGGCGCATGGAATTCCATGCAAGGGTCTCGCTTGGCTGGCCGTGAAGTCCACACGGACAAAAAAATTTCTTGTTACTAGCATGTTGCGTTTCATCTCGAAAACACATTTTTATATGAAAGTTGAAGTCAAACGACTACATCGTGTTTGGAAACCATGTCAACAAATATACCAAGGGAGTAAGTATCACTCTACCTTCCAGAAGGTTGCACAAAATGTAAAAACAGTATGTTTTTTGTCAAAAAAATAAAAAAAGAAACAAGAAATTCCGATCGGATCATAAACGATTTTTCAAGAATTTTAGAAGAAAATATAAAAAATTAAATTATTTTTATTCAACACAAGCTTCAAATCACTCGTGTCAATGAAAGCCTTTAAAATCACAGACTGACAAATAAATATGACACAATATCACATACATTACCGTCCATTACCCATAAAATAAGATCATGAAATAGATAAAAAGAGAACATGATTCATAATTATTTATTGTTTTCCTCCAACTTATTTGCTTGGTCTTCACGAAGAATGCGTTGTGCATGCTGAAGCTCGAAGAGCAACTTGTCACTCGTTGCCATCGTCATATTCAGTTTCTTTTTCCAGGATGTAGTGCTGAGTTTTATGTCCAATTCGCAATCCGGAGCATCATCCATGACACGAGTAGAAACCTGAAATTTGAGATAAAAAGAGAAAACCAATAAAACGCTCTCAGTGTGTATGAGGAAGTTGCAGCGGTAGTTTCGTTTCGGGAATTTTTTAATTCTAGTGATTTTGATAGTAATGAATTTCCGATCGGAAAGTATTTAAAAATGGCCGAGGTTTACTGTTCTCTATCGAAATTGAGTTGATTTCCCAGCGGGAAAACCTCAAAAGCGCGTATTTCGAACGCAAATACCTCAGTTTTTATTAGAATTCACTCGAAAATGTCAAATTTTTATTTTTTTTTTTTCGACGAGGCGGGTAATTCTTTTACAGGTTTCCCCCTAAATTACATACCTGCATATTCATTCTGATAGTTGCTCGTCTGTAACTTCCACATCTCATTTCAGACTTCAACTGTTCGAAAAATTCGCTCGCAGCAGCAAGATTCTCAAGACCCTTCTCCAGTGCTTCTGTTGCCTCCAAGTTGGCTTTCAAAGCCGTTTTCTGAAACATTCTTCATATAATCGAGTATTCAAACATTTTGAAATCTTACCAAATCCTTTTGTTTCATGATCCACAAATTCCATGTGTTCATCATTTGGAAAATCGGCGCCTATTACTTTCCGAATGCCTGAAAACTTGTTTCTTTGAGACAAAATTACTGCTCTTATCCAAACTATCACATGCAGATAACACATGGAACTCTATTTTTAAATGGAAGCAACGAAAGAAGGAAGAAAAATCGACTGAAAATGGTAGGAAAGTGGCTGTGGCGAGAAGAACATATGTTCGCTAAACAATGCGCGGTAGCGGAATAGCGGAGTGTCGTACTAAAAAAAATGATTGCAGCATTATGTAAATGAAAGCGGTTATTCTAATCGTGATAAGATGGATGAAAGAGTAAAGTTAACTCAAATTGAAGAAGAAGAATGTGAATTCTAATAAGAATTGTGATAAATATGGGCTGATATTTCAGCGGGTTCGGATCTATATTTTTTTCGGAATTTCGGGAAAATCTCCCTCGAGTTTGGAGCTGTATGTATTTTTCAAAATACATTCCAGACGCCCCAGAGAATGGAGATACCCTTGAAACTTAGTGTGGAAAAATATGACATTTCTGATGCCACGTTGAAAATTGAGTCATTTATAATCGATGTTGTCACCAGCTAACGGATTCGTTAGCATTAAAATGCCTTCTTTTATCTGCATACATCGCTTATCCTCTAGAAACACTTTAAAATACAAATTCATCGCAAAAAATGAGTGAATAATTAGAAAAATTTTATTGGCCGGTACTGTAATAGTGAACATTTGTAAGTTTTATGGTTGAACAAAATTATTGGGTGAACATTCAAATAGGCACGGGTGACACTAAGCATATCATTTTGATTTGAGTATCTGGTCTTTGCTGGTTTTTTTTTGAAAGTTGAATGAAATCGAATAATTCGCCCCGATGGGTTGCTTCTTTCACTTGCATTTATATCTGCTTTCATCTTTCGAACAAATTCTTCAAGTTTCTCTTCAGCTACTTCCAAATCGAAAGCCCGATTCTGTTTAGCTTCCAATTCAATACTACTTTTTAGCAAGTGCGCGAGATTCTCCTCGCTTTTGTCTGGTAGGAACGGCGAAGCGAGTTTTATAAAGCCTAACATAAGTTGACTTGGTTGTCCGTCTTTATATAAAGCATATTCTTTTTCTCCCTCTTCTTTTCGTTGGTCAAAAATCACATTGATCAGCTGATATCTTATGCTCAACCAATCGTACCTCATTTTGGGAAGAAGCGCCTGAAATACACATGTTGTACTTTGGTACATTATTTTTTACAAACTTCTAAAGCTTCCATTCGTGTCATTTTAAGACAATTATTTCTCCTATGTTCCTCGTAAGTTGCACAGTTATGACAGAAATCTGGAAAAGCAATTGAAGTTGAATGAAGAAAGTCGAATTTCACTACCTTCTCCGAGTTCGTTCTTTACAGGGACTGTGTCATCACGACACAACCTGCTGACAACAGTTTCACGTTGAACCGCCATGAACTCGTGTTGCCTTTGAAGGATTTTCTTTTTAATCTGATCGTATTTTAGATTGGAACAATAGGAAAAATTTTGCAACACATACTTCATGTGGCGAGAGCGATAATTGATCCGTACAATGCTTTTGGTGTTCTTCCATATCTTCGGGAAACGGTTTTTCGCAGAAACAGCATTTTTCCTCGCTATTGATGATCCTCGAACATACTGGAAGAAAAGTGTTGGTTTAAATGCAAAGCGTTACAAAATCTGCAATTTGCTGCGGCCACGGTCGCCAGGAATCTTGAACTTTATAGGGGATTCACTTGTCCGTGTGGACTCCACGGATAGCCAAGCTCGTAAATCGCATAAACATTAAACAACAATTTCCTGCAAGGGTCTCGCTTGGCTGGCCGTGAAGTTCACACGGACAAAAAAATTTCTTGTTACTAGCATGCTGCGTTTCATCTCGAAAACACACATTGCTATGAAATATGTAGTCGAATGACTACATCATGTTTGGAAATCATGAAAACAAATATACCAAGGGAGTAAGTATCACTCTACCTTCCAGAAGGTTGCACAAAATGTAAAAACAGTATGTTTTTTGTCAAAAAAATAAAAAAAGAAACAAGAAATTCCGATCGGATCATAAACGATTTTTCAAGAATTTTAGAAGAAAATATAAAAAATTAAATTATTTTTATTCAACACAAGCTTCAAATCACTCGTGTCAATGAAAGCCTTTAAAATCACAGACTGACAAATAAATATGACACAATATCACATACATAACCGTCCATTACCCATAAAATAAGATCATGAAATAGATAAAAAAAGAATACGATTCATAATTATTTATTGTTTTCCTCCAACTTATTTGCTTGGTCTTCACGAAGAATGCGTTGTGCATGCTGAAGCTCGAAGAGCAACTTGTCACTCGTTGCCATCGTCATATTCAGTTTCTTTTTCCAGGATGTAGTGCTGAGTTTTATGTCCAATTCGCAATCCGGAGCATCATCCATGACACGAGTAGAAACCTGAAATTTGAGATAAAAAGAGAAAACCAATAAAACGCTCTCAGTGTGTATGAGGAAGTTGCAGCGGTAGTTTCGTTTCGGGAATTTTTTAATTCTAGTGATTTTGATAGTAATGAATTTCCGATCGGAAAGTATTTAAAAATGGCCGAGGCTTCTCATATTGCTTTCTATCGAAACTGAGTTCATTTCTCAGCTGAAAAACACCAAAAGCGCGTATTTCGAAGGCAAACACCTCAGTTTTTATTGGAATTCACTCGAAGATGTTAAATTTTTATTTTTTTTTTCGACGAGGCGGGTAATTCTTCCACAGGTTTCCCCCTAAATTACATACCTGCTATCCATTCTGATAGTTGCTCGTCTGTAACTTCCACATCTCATTTCAGACTTCAACTGTTCGAAAAATTCGCTCGCAGCAGCAAGATTCTCAAGACCCTTCTCCAGTGCTTCTGTTGCCTCCAAGTTGGCTTTCAACGCCATTTTCTAAAACAGTTTTGATATTATCGAGATTTTATAAATTCGAAATATTACCAAATCCTTTTGTTTCATGATCAATTCGACAAATTCCATGTGCTCGATCATCAGTTGGAAAATCGGCGCCAAGTACTTTGCGAATGCCTGAAAAATTGTAAAATGAAACAAAATATGATGAATAACTTTCTTACCCAGACTATCACATACAGATAACACATAGAATTCCATGTTTGAGTGGAAGAAACGAAAAACAAAGAGAGATCGATTGAAAATGGTACGGAAAATATTGTGGCGAGCAGAATATCTGTTCCGCTAAACAACGCACAGAAGCGGGATAGCGGAGTGTCGTACCGAAGAGAATCGCTGGTGCATCAGCAAGTGCATGAGTTACGGTTATTCTAATCGTAATGAAATGGGTTATAAAAAACAATTAAAACCATAGAAAATAGAAAAAAGTAAATAGAAAATAGAAAAAACTCAAAACGTTTCACGATACTGTAGTTCCCAAAAATGCATTTTTCAATTTCGGGGATTTTTAAGACCAATCTGAGATTTCATGAGTGACAGTATACTGCTAAAGCCATAAACTGGTATACCAGGATATCATTCACTACTGTATACAAACCATAAACGACCGGTCACCGTATACCGATATGTATACCGTGAAACCTGTAATAGAAGTGCTCTATCCAGTTTGAGCTAATGTTTTGGCTCCTCTGCAATTTATCAAAAATATGACAATTGAGGAAATATTTTTCATATTATGATTAGCATTTTATCAGTGTACATCGTCTTATATCTTTGACAAAAACCGAGAAAATTGGCTCTAGGTTAAAATCTTGCAGCGACTTTCTATTAAAGGATTCAAGGGTACCTGGTGTATCGTAACATCAAATTTTCCAGATCCCCGTTTCAAAAGTTTTCTATCTAAACTCAATTAGATCCGGTTTTCAGTTCCAGGAGTGTTGCTATTCTATGTATTACGGACCGGACCTCTGGCTGTCAATTATTATTCCCAGGAGACAAGAATATAACCGGACCTAGCTGGCTAACGGATCTAACTGAATGTACCAAGTTTAGGCAGAGAAATTTTGAGATGGAGGACTTCGAAAGGCGAAACAAATAATGGAAGTATACAATAATAGGCCAGATAATGAAAAACTGACAAATGGTTTTCAAATATTCTAGTGTATGACTTCGACAATACTTCTAGCCATACATCTGAATTTTTTTGAAATCTCAAATTTTATCTGTGTACAGAAAAGTTCCTTTTATCCTTACTAGAATTTTTTCAAAAATGCCGTCAAAAACTTAAAATTGGAAAAAACTCCGTCTTGTGTTGTTCGTTTGGTTTACTGAACCTAACACAGTAAATTTTTCATTCCTGGAGACCGGATCTAGCAGAGTTTCGCAAATTTACTTTTTTTTTCTTACTTCAATTTTAAATAAAATGATATGATTAAAAACTAAAAAAACTTTAAATTGTGTATCCCAACTAGCTCTTGATTTATAATACAAACTAGTCTTGTGAATTCGCAAAATTATAACCCTCTATTTTTCAGGTTTCAAAAGAACTCGTTTTTTAAAACGTTTAATTTTGAAAACGCTGGAAGTTTCTCCTAATACTAGTAAACACTGTGCTGGCCAAATATATGAAAAAAAACGTGTTATTCAGTTGATTTTGGCCATTTTCAGGAGTCTGGAGCTCGGCTGTCAAGTGTCCTATCATTTTGAAAATTTTGGAGGATGCAAAACAGCTCTAGATTGAAAAGTTTGCATTTTCTGAATTTTTTGAGGTTTCCTAGTTTTTGAGTTATTCGCCGATTTCTGAAATGCATCTGTTTTTTTTTCCGTTTCAGTACAAAAACAACAGCCAAAAAGAGAAGTCTTCAGAAATCACGAAATAGCTAAAAACTAATAGTTTTCAAAAAATTGTGTTAATGTAAAACTTTCAATCTTGATGAGTTTCATATCCTCCAAAATTTTCAAACTGATCCGATACTTGGCAGCTGCGCTCCAGACGAGCATGTTGAATTCAGTTAGATCCGGTGGTCAATTAGCTCCGGTTAGAATCGTGTCTCCTGGGAAGAGTATTGACAGTATCCCATACAGTAACCATAAAACTCATATCTCATGGTATAGTCACGTTCCCTCCCCCTTTTTATGACATGACAGAACAAGCTCCGCCCACTTATCTATTTGGAGGTGTCGTCGAGTTAGCTCCGGTTATTCATTCCATCATTCAGTCTTATTCTCATTGGCTGGCTGGTGGGTCCTGTTACCAGACCTAAATATTTCATTTATTGTTTTTTCTACTATCCAACTTCATCTCTCTTTTCCTCCCCTTCAATCAACTTCTTCTAATTTTCAGAAAGTTCAATAATGTCTGGAATCCAAGTTAGTCTGAACAATGCCAATCTCTGGAACAAGTTCAACAGTCCAATGGAAATGATCGTGACTCGAAAGAACGGAAGAAAAATGTTTCCAACTCTAGAATATTCTGTTCGAGGATTGAATCCTACTGCAATGTACGAAATTTACTTGCATATGGAGAGAATGGATGATCATAAGTTAGTTCGGTTTTTTTCGAATAAGATGGTTACTGTAGAATCAAATCAAAATTGAGAAATTCTAGGAAGTTTCTGTAAGCGAAGTTCGATAATTTAGAATCATCAGAATTGAAGTTATCAAATAATCAATTCATGATAACATCAGATTATTTTAATAACGTGGAATTATATTTTTATCAAATTATGACTTTATTTTCCACTAATCTATATTTTATTTTTGAAAGCGCATAATCAAAAACTCAGATTTGAAAATTAGAATTTTGTTTAGATAATACAGAATTTGAGATACCGAACCTATAAACCTATTTCTTTCTAGATACCGCTACAAATACAATGGATGGGACGACTATGCCAGAGCAGATCCAATCACTCCAATCCAAAAAATAAAACATAAAAGTGGAGGACAAACTGGAATGTATTGGATGGATGGACCGATTTCATTTGAACAAGTCCGATTGACAAATAACTCAGAGATGGAGAAAAAAGATCATATTATTATTCAAAGTATGCACAAATGGCGTCCAGTGGTCACAATTCGAGAATTGAAAAATGGTGACGAGGAATTCAGAATGGAAAATGTGTGGTTCGTCGCTGTAACTATTTATTATGTAGGCTCAAAATTAACATTTCTAATTTTCATTTTTTATATTTCCAGAATCCAGAAATCAAGAGTCTGAAAGTGGAAAACAACAAGATGGCATCTGGTTATCGTGAAGCTGGACATCACAAGACAACCGTTCTCCCGACACGTGGCACCAAACGTACTGTTTCTGAAGCCTTCCCAACGCCGCCATTGAGTACATCACCACCATCGAAAATTGCTCGTCACTTTCCAAATCCAGGAAATTTCGAATTTCCGAAAATGAATCCAAATGATGGAAATTCTCCAATTCCGCATCACCTTCCAAATCAAGAAAATTTTGAATTTTCGAAAATGAATCCGAATGGACATTCTCCGATTGCTCATCACTTTCCAAATCCAGGAAATTTCTATTTAGTAACTGAACATCAATATTGGATGAATCCATATCAGAATACGTGGAATTGTGGATACAATATGGGACAACAAATCCCACAACCAGTCATAAATCAATGGAATATGCAGAATATGGAACAATCAAAGCATATGAGTCATGAGCAACAAGGAACCAATTGCCCGCGGTATGTCCGGGGTATCAGCTTCCTGTGATAAAATAGAAGAAAATCAACAAGAAATGTAACAAAATCGGTTTATTATGAACAAGTTAGAAAGAAACAACAAATAAAATCTTAGAATTCAAGCAAACTCCCTTAAAATCTTTAAAAGAGTCTCTCAAAAACTACGAGCCAAATCCAAGCTCGCAATCCCTCAAAACTAAATTTAAACTGTGCGCGCGCCGAGCGGGATAGCGGAGTGTCGTTGCTTGGTTAGAGGGAACCTTTAGAAGGGGTTGGAGGGTAGCTGCCCCAGGCAACTAACCTCAAATAACGCAATCTCTCCAGAATTTTACGGAAATAATAATTTTTAAACGCATTTTTCTTTTTAATAAAGTTACATCGAATTCCAAAAAAAAAATTTTTCATTATGAAATTTTTTAAACTGGAATGGTGGCTCGGGTGGTGCTGTCCTTGTCCTAGTGGACAATTCCAGCAGTGTGTGTGGTAAAATGCTTAGTGTACTCGTGTAGATGACAATCCTCAAACTTGGGTAATTAAACCATTTATTGGATAAAGATATAAAGAAACATTATAGATAAAGGAAAAACAATAAAAAGATATAGAATAGCTCGCCTTGGGCTCGCTTTTATACAAGAATTATGGGGCGAAGTTAACAGTAGATAGAAAGGATAGGAATGTGCGGGGAAAACAATAAAATCTAATGAACAGGATATGAATCATAGGACAAAATGAACTTTGTCCAGATAGAAAGAATCAAAAGAATACAAAATTATAAAATTTGTTATACTCCCGGCCTCCTGCTTGAAGCTTCTTCGTCTAGTTTCGGCGGTTCGTGTGGTTTCGTTGGAAGGTGTCCTTGTCACCACGATGGCGTCTCCTGTTGTCTTCATAATCTCTACTGGTGCTCGGTTGATCGTCTCGTATGTCGAAGAAGTCGTCGCGAGTGCGCGATCGTCTTCTGGGGACGTAGTCGTGAGGCCGTCGCAAGATCATCTAACAAAACGTTAATATTACCGTTACGTCTTTCACAGCCTTCACAGCATCTTTACCCTTTTTGTACGTTGATTGTCGGTTTTTTGGATGGAGGCACTGTATTTTTTTCAGTTGGCCGGCAAACGACAATTTTTGTACTTCTCGTACATCCAAGCCTGGTAGACCGCATGAGGAAGACAGTTTTAGGACACTGAGAAAAAAATTCAGTCAATTAAAATTCAACAACTCAAAAACTTACCATCATTCCTCATGACATTTCCAGATGTTCGTTGTTGCGAAGTAGATGACATCATCTAGGTCCATTGCAAACACACCATTCTCCGTCAACTGCGTTTTGAGCTTGCAGTTCTTGAAGTTCTCCAACGAGCAGATCGATAGTGGTCTTCCACAAATCCAGTCGGATGTTCCAATTTTTGACAATCGTCACCGGTTGGAATAGGCTTCATCCCATCGAACACCGCCATCTTCGGAGTTTCGTAGTAGCGATAAGCCGTATCATCGTTTACGAAGCCACTGATTGGAGCTATCTGGAAGTGAAAAATAAATATAACTGCTTCCGAATTAATTTCTAACCATGTAGGCGTCTCCGAATTGACGCGTTGGATTCGAGTAGCCGCAAGCAGTAACAGTATAGTTTCCATATTCTTCCTCGCATTTGAAACTTTATTCCATGGTTTTCAAGACATCGAATCCCAGTTTCAATCATAATGCTCTTGGCAGAAAATGCCCTCAAATATTGGGAAGTTTTTTAAAGTTAGAAATTCCAGTAAAAATCAAGGGGGTTTTCAGAATCCATTAATCTAGAGGATTTGTATCTGAAAACCCCCGGAATAAGGTAAGACCTCCGTAATCAGTTGGTGGCCATTGGAAAATAGAATGCTGGTCGATCGAAAAAATTTCCTACAATTTTTTGGAGGCGGTACGACAAAGAGAAAACATTAAAAAAGGGGACCTAAAAAGATGAGACACAAACAAAAATCCGCTTTTATTTGTCTTGCAAAGTGCATTTGTCAGCGCTAAAGAACAATTTTTAATAGAAAAAAGTTAATATTTAATAAATTGTAAAAATATTAGAACTTTTTTACAATGTCAGTGAAGCGACTTAATCGAAACATTTTTGTGTCATTGCCATTTATTGTTATTTGTTATCTATGGGGACCGAATCAATTGGCTGAAAGTGTCAGGAAAATCGCACAGATTCAGAAAACCAGATAACTCTGAAAAACATTCATTGAATGAAAAAACTCCGCGAGATTATTGATCAGTTCTCCTCCTCCAGCTCGCTGGCCTCTTCGTGAGTCTCTAAGACACTGCCACGAATCTCAAGGCGGTCGCAAAGTCCATTGTAGAAGTCGATGAAGGCGACTTCGTAGCGGAGAACATGATCCTCAAAGAACTGGTACTCGTTGGAATAGGCGACCATGACACGGTTCTAAAAAATATACTATTTCCTTGAAGAAGGAAGTTTTTTGAAAACTCACAAATGGCTTGTGCTTGAGAAAAGTGCGAATCATATCGATGGCGCGACAGGCCGCAAAAATCACTGGGTCAGTACAGCCTAAATATTAATGGTCATACTTAATGGACCCAATTGAGAAAGGACATCATTTGGAGGTTACAGCGATTTGGGGGTACAAGTAGGTACAAAGTGATTTAGGGATACAAAATCCTCATTTCGAGGGTATTAAATTCAAATTTTTTCAGTTTTTTGTACTTTCGAACTGTGGATTTCGTACCACAGTATCCCAATGAATTCAACTTTTTTTTACCCTTTGAATTGTTTGCCAATTGGGAAACCCTTAAAGAAACGTTCTACCCACCTTGAATTTCGAGAACATTGGCCACATCCTCCTCAGTGGGCTCGCGATAGGGCATTTCTTGAAAAATTATCAGAGTGAAGCTAGATGATCCTAAGTTCAATAAGAAGGAAAAATGAAAGGCGTTTTAGGATGTTGAATTTTGAAAATAGTGAATGACAGGTGAAAAAATGTACTTTTTCAAAGCAGAAAAAGTGGGACAAGTCTCGCCTTTAGTTTTGGTTTGTCTCTTAAAAGTAAAAAAAGAGAAAATAAAAATAATGAATGATCAGGTAGAACTAGTAACGTGCATTCTACCTGAAATACAAAAAAGTGATAAGATATAGAGAAAAGAAGGGTCATAAGAACAGAAACAGAGAAAGCCAGCTGGAATGAGTACAAGGACAGGGTTGAATGAGAATTCAGATATTCAACGTGAAAAAATACGAAATGAAGAAGGGATTTCGAAAAAAAGTTGAGTAAGCTTGATTTTTTCCCGGCTGACTTAATGACCGAAGAAAGTGCGTTTCATCCTGTCATGCATGGCTCACTATTATTGCACTAATTAAAAATTTCAAGTTCTTAAAGTTGTCTTAGCGAGACTTTCACATACGTCATATTTTACTTTCCATACTAATGAGGAATTGAAAAATAAAAAATTACAGTTACATTATTAAAAAAATATTACAAACAACAATTCTAAACAACATTTCTTTCTTTTATTTTGGAAATCCGTGATTATTAAAAATGTGAATTTTTGCACATTGAGTTTTCGAAATACCGTAAAACTCTGCCGGGAACTCAGAAAAGCTGACTAAAAGTTAAAAATTAGGTAGTTCTTTTAAAAAAATGGCTCATTGGGAAAATATCAAAAGTAATAATGATCGGAGGTGGAATAATATTGACTCCGACATTTTAAACAAATGAGTGCAATTTCAGTGCGCTTTCTGGTTTTCAAAAGTTCAACGTGTATGACTTGTCTCATGAGAATACTAATGAAGCTCCAACTTCCAAAACAAAACGGATCTTGATCTTACTTGGTTTTCCTGCCACCCAAAGTAGCCCTTGCAATGCTTCAGGGAGATATTTACGCTTACATTCAATTTCGAATCTTGGTGTGGTTTGATGGAATAAATAGTTGATTCTAGAAAAACAAACTTTAACATTTAATGACGAAGGTGGTTGCTAGGGCATTTTTGAAAAACTTGTATAGTAGTCACCTGACAACAAACTTAGCATTTGAGTTCACCTTTCTGTGAAATTGAGGGGTCGGATATCATTTTGGAAGACCTTTTGAACTTTAGCATCAAAAAATCATACTTGCAAAATCAGGGCCCGGCCCGCGGGCCGGGCCGGGCCGAAGATTTTTAGGGCCCGGGTTCTCCAAATTTTGAAAAAGTTTTGAAATGTCAGAAACTTTCTCAAATTTTTTTGTGAAAGAACTATTTTTTATGGACAATCCTATCTCGAAAATTTCTTTCCTTGTCAGAAAAAATTCTCCTCTTTTTGTAGACCTCAAAAATAATTTTGAAAGACAGAAAAAATTTTTCCGAAAATCCGGGCCGAGACGGGCCTGTCCGGGTTCTGAAAACTTTAAAAAAAAGCCCGGCCCGGCCCGGCCCGTTGCAAGTATGCAAAAAATGAGCGCATATTAAAATTTCAAAAACGGTGCGGCAATTATTGCCAAAAGGGATGATATACAAACTCATAAAATCAAGGAAACTCTAGATTTGGTGTGCACGTGTAACTGCATGAAAAACTTACCAACATTGTTAATTTTTTTTCAATTAATTTATTTATTTCAACGAAGGGGAGAAAACCACTAACACGTGAAATGTCTATGAAACTAGGAGATATAACAGGGACATACATTTGTATTAAATGTTAGATGGAGGAAAACCGAGTTAGTAATTAGTTGAATTCAAGACAAGAAAATGTTTTAGATCACAGGATAATAGTCGATTTTTGAAAGCCGCTGACAAGGGCTTCACCGGAAACACTTTGGCGGGTAAAGAGTTCCAACATCCGAATACTCTATTAGAGAGAAATTGAGAAGATATTGTTGTTGAGTTCTTGATAAGGATTATCTATCATAAATACAGGATTATCTATCATAATTATATTATTAACAGAAAAGTACTATTATTGAATTTCTAAAAGAACAAAGAGTGTAACAACCATATTGCTCTAAAACAATGGGAATTTCAGTATACCGTAAACACTTAGAGATAATAAACTTTTTTCAAGGTCTATGGTGAGAAAGATCATAATAAATCCTTAATTCTGGAAAAATACATTCATTTTTCTTTCAAAAACATTGTACACGTCTCTAAAAAACTTCACCACGAATTCAAAAATAGATAAAACACCAATAGGTAAGAGCATCCAAATATCAGCTTGACAAAAAAAAAACAATGTCGGAGCTTATCATCTGTCAGAATCCCTGTTATTTGAGAAAAATTACCGAAAAACTTGTGATAGCAGAAACCCCTAACTATAATCGAAAACCTTCTTACTAAAAATCGATCTACACTTTTCATCTTTCTATGCTTCATTCTATTTTTTCTAAAATTTACAACTTTGATATCTTGTGGATTCTTGAACACTTGAAACATCTGCAAGATTCCTGAATACATTGTTCTTCCGTCAACTATTAGCTTTTTTTTCCCCAGTACAACTGAGTGAACATATCCGCTGGATACGACTCCGTCACAACTGAGACTTTTGAATTATTCACGAACGCTGACCAATCTTCTTCATCGAATTTTCAGACTTTTAGTTTGGGTTTCCATCATAGTCTGAAACTTTTTCCAAATCATTATTCTATCGGATGCCAACTTCCTGTGAATTTCAAAAATCTTGTTTCCTGTAATTGTTCAATGTTAAAATATAAATTGAAATTTTTTGTGCACCTGTTCCACCCGGCTTTCTATAAATTATATAATATTCAACATGTGCATTTTTTCATGCTGTTTTTCAGGTTTTCTTGTTTTCTCAAAACTTTTTCAACGTATTCTCTTTGTTTTGACTCATATATGCATGTCGTTTAGCGAACATGACTATTTTTTGCAGTTGCTTCCTATTTCTGTATTTTGCCTAAAGAGATGACATCGTTGTTCTACAATATGTGTTATGATTTACAACCTGTCTAATCTGCAAATAAAAATTTTGAATCTAACAACTTCGATCCAATAATCTGGTCTACAAAAACATCATAGGCACTGAATATGACTCATTATTTTGTCATCCACCTGTCTGTAAAACTATAATCCTAATCTCTGGGATATTCCGTGTACTTGTTGGTGCCCTCCTTGATCGCACGGCATGATTACGGTTTTTGTTTTCTGAATATGTTCCTTGGTCCCCTCCACATATTTTTTTATTATTTTCCCATCTAACTCGATTATTGACGTAGTGAGCTGCGGATATATTTTTCCACTAAATTAGCTGTCAAAATATTCAATGCGTTAAAAGAGATATAGCATCTCTTTTTTTTTCTTGGATAGGAGTATTCCACTCGTACTTGAATATTCAACAGGATGTGAGCAGTACTTTTTCCCAAGTTTTTTCAGTAGTAATTAGTATTCTTGTGACTGATATTTTGCAATCTCACGCCCTTTTACCAAATCACACAATTTCAACCCACGCCCCTGAACTTTCCGTGGACAATTCGAGTTTTCAATTTTTCACATGAATCACGGAGAAGAATGATGTATATATATATATATATATTTATTTTTCCCAGAACTATTATCCCTCAATTTCAATTTTCCTCTCTAAATTGAAAAATATGTCTCAAATTGAGTTTATTTTTCGCTCCCAGCTGTTTTCTCATATTTTCTTTTTGAAAGTCAAAGTGATGAATAAATCGTATTCAAGTAGAAAAATAATTGTTATTCTTTTTCAGTTTTTTTTCCAGTGACTTTTTCTTTGATTTCTCTCGCACTCTCTCTCTCTCTCTCTCTCTCTATGGATAATCTCCACTAAACTTATTCATGTCAAATCCAGCGGAAACGCTGGTGTAGGTCATTTTGATATTATTGATATATTTATTTTTTGTGATCTATGCAGCCGAAACTTTTCAGACAAGTGTGAAAAGTCACGAATTCTTTTTCTTGGAGTGATCAAGAATCATCAGAGAGAGCCGTATACATTTTGGAGCAACTTCTTCTTATTTATGAATAGAGACCAAGGGAATCGTAAACTAAAATTATTTTTCTGTATGTTTATTTTTTTCTTGAGCTTTTACCAGCCCTTTTCGAGTTTTCAAATCTTAGGTTTTTGCTCAGGGCATATTTTAACTTGTTCAAGGTATAATACTTCGAAATGACTTTTGCGGAATTTTTCGGGATGTCGAAATTCCGATTTTGAAAAGTTTAGAATTTTGGAATCTTGGAAAGGTCCGATTTTTAAATATTCGGAATTTCAAAATCTCGGAATATTCCGATTTTCAAAATTTTAAAATTTTGGAATATCGGAAAATTTCAATTTTGAAAAAATCGGAATTTTTTAATTTCGGAATATTCCGATTTTGAAATTTTTAGAATTTTAGAATTTCCGAATATTCCGATTTTGAAATTTTTAGAATTTTGAAATTTTGGAATAATCCAATTTTGAAGTTTTTTAGAATTTTCGAATCTCGAATTTCTGAATTTTGAAATTTTGGAATAATCCAATTTTGAATTTTTTTTAGAATTTTCGAATCTCGAATTTCTGAATTTCTGAATTTCTGAATTTCTGAATTTCTGAATTTCTGAATTTCTGAATTTCTGAATTTCTGAATTTCTGAATTTTTTTTTTGAAATTTTGAAATTTCGAAAATATTGAAATTTTAAGATTTTTGGAATTTCGCAATAGTCCGAATTTGACATTTTCAGAATTATGGAAATTCGGAATATTCCGATTTTCGAAACTTCACAATTTTGAAGTTTCGGAGTATACCGATGTTGATATTTTTAGAATTTCGGGATTTCTGAATTTCTGCATGCAATATACCGTACGCCAAAATTGTAATTCCGAAAAAAAAGTTTCGGAAAAATTCCGGTTCATTCCGAAAATAGTTGGAACTTTCGGAGTTTTCGAAATTCCAAATTCAATCCCTAGCTTCCCTGGCCAGAGCGTTGTTCAAGGGATTTCTAACAAAATATCATCGTTAGAAATACTCATGGTCTCAAAAATGTCAAGCTGTCTCCACTGCCATCACTTCTCAAACATCATCGACCATGAGTTGGTGTAGATGGCCTCCAGAAACTTATTTCGGCCCTTCTTCTCCTTCTTTCATCATTCTATCCCATTTTGTGTGTGTCCTGGTGTATGTGGTTTCCTTATCTAAATGCGTCTGTTTCATGGTCCATCTAGGACAAAAAGAAGGAGAAGAAGAGAAGGCAAATAAGATTTTCAAGAGTTCTTTATCCGCTACAGCCCAAAAAATGACGTCTTTCTTCTTCTTCTCCATTTTTCTTCTTATTTCACTTCTCACATGCCCTCTCTCCATTTTATGTTGGAAGACGAACTGGAGAAACTGGTCACTACCAAGTTGTCGGAAACAAACGGTCGTTGTGTCAGTTGGTTTTGGAAATCGTAGTGTGTATTGTGAAGTGTGAGTGTCACAGAAATTACCATAATTTTCTAGTGAATCTCTCTCCCGCGTCAGAGGCTTTCCTCTGACTTTCCTTCTTTGAATAGACGTCCAAATGCTCTTAGAAGCAATCACATTTAGGGTCTGCCTCTTCCTCCGGGGCACGGATTTCCAGAAATGTCAGACATCAAGTTATGTCTCATTAATTGATTTCTGAGCATTCTGAGCATTTCTGATTCCGAAAAGATTCCGTAAAGTCTCATGACCGGGACCCTTTACCAGAAGTGTTTTGGAGGCCCCCAATGTTGTTGACAGTTGACACTCTCCACTTCCATATAAGAAGCCATCCTTTCTGACACCACCACCACAATAACAACAACAGGCTCCTCAGATTTCTTCAAAACTCGCGAGGCAGGCGTTCTATTTTATCGTTCTAGTCATTCATGATGATCATCATTATCATCCCCATTTTTCATAATCCGATCAGGCCGGAAATAGACCGGCAAACAGTTATAAATGCGTAGGCATCACTTTCAAAGCACATTCGCAACATTATTCTGCAGATTTTTTTCAAAGTGAGTACTGTAGTCATAACTTATTTCCGATTTAAACTGAAATTTTAGAACTGCGTCTAGTTTCTAATAGGGAATATTTTGGATTATTAATATCTGACATTCAGCCGGATAGCCAGTGTCTAATCTTTAATATGCGCGTGGTCACCAAACACGTAAATATGACTGAATATTATCTAGGTTTATTGGAATACAAGCCGAATATGTCAATTATTTGAATGTTTCTGAATTTAACTACAAAAAATTTTTCCCAATGTTAACAACACCTCGAATGTTCAAGCTCAAACAATTCATAAACCAATGGAATTGTAAACCGCCAACTTTGAGCTCATCTATCTTATCTGCGGTGGAAGATATCAATAAGGTGTCAACTGGCAAAATGTTTATCATAAAATTAGCCACATTTGAACAGTTGAGTACTTTTTGACATCTTATACACGAAATGAGATATCTTGGCTCAAAGTTGACGGTTCGGGGGCCTTTGATTGTTTACGGTATATGAGGTAAGAAGAAAACAAACCAAGAAAGCAAAGTTAAAATGTTTTCAGTCACAACTAGTTTTTGGTCGTCACTTAACATTCGATCTGAAAGTTCAAATTATGGGATTCAGTCTAGTTCCGTATTTTGGGATTACCAGATTCCAGTCTTTGAACAAATTCATTAGATTGAAATGCCATTAAAAATAAATTAGAATCATTCAAATTCATTTTTTTCTCTGCGGAACTATGGGAATCTACTGATTTGAATCCCAAATCTGTGGTACACATGTTCTCATTCCCATTAAAGAATCAAGGTCAAAAATGTAAGATTGGTTTTATTGTCCTTCAAAGGCGAAATTCGAATTGAAATTGTCTGATGTAATATGTTTAAATTAAACTTCAAAAAAATCTAATTTTTCAGTATACCGTAATTTCTCGATTAGAAGCCCCACCCCCTTCTATAAGTGCCCTTTGAGTTCTATTATCTCGATCTCTGTGAATGCCATTGAAAATTTGTCAACTTTTAAAATATTACATACGATATGATCAGCATTTTATCAGTTAAAAATTTTTTTGATATCTTTCACAGGTATCGAAATAATTGAGCTTAAACTTCATGGTTTGAGTAGGCCTTCTTTAGAGGAAATACGCTATTCAGAGCTCAATTATCTCGGCTCCTTCAGGAGATATTGAAAATTTGTCAATGAATAATTTTTTATTATGATATCACCAACATTTAATCAGTTAAAAAAATTTAGATGTCTCTAACAGAAATCGAGATAATTGAGCTCAAATAGACGGGTTGAGTGGGCTTCTTTTAGAAAAAATACAGTATATACAGTAATTCTTGTTTCAAGAACTGAAGTGTGGTTTTCGACAGAGTTTACTTTAAAGTGATTACCTTTATCTACCTCGAATTTTCTTATTTTTGGTCTCGAGTACAGTAACCCAAAATTTTAGTAAACTCAAAAAGTTGGCTCCTAGTTTCGATCTCGATCTATTCCTTTGAATATTTAATTAACAATCTTAAGATCCAAAACTCAAGACTTAGTTCATGCATATTCTTTAGTTTTTCATTTCGAAAAAAAGCCAATGCAATAAACTGAAGAAATGTAGAAAAAAGTTTAATTTAAAGTCGAGAAATGAGCCATTGGTGCAACCACCACGACCATCACGTCTTAGTCATCCCACCCGACCCTTCAAGTATTATTCGGACGGACCAAAACCCCGTTTTTCGCTCTCCTCTATTCCTTTTTCTTCACCATCTTCTTCTTCTTCTTCTTCTTCTTCTTCTTCTTCTTCTTATTCTTTTCCTATTCTCCTCCCATTTCATTCTACTTCTTCTTCTCCCGCCCTCCTCTCCCACATGCTTCGTCCTTCTCTTCTCAGTATTCACTACATGCTTTCCCTCCCTCTTCTCTTTCTTCTTCTCCCGCCCTCCCTTTCCTTCCTTTCCTTCTACTCCCCTCCCCCTTGTCAACCAACCGCCATGACTTTTTTCGCCTTGGTTTGTCCCCGCTCACCCGATTTTTTTCTCGTTCATTAGTTAGGTTTTTTTTGAAAAAAACTTTATTCTTTAGTTATCAACTCATAACTCTCCTATAATTCTAAAAGTTCTGCAAGCCAAAAATTCAAATTGTAGTTCTTCAGCATTTCTGTCTCTTCTGGCTTATTTTGTAGCTATAAGTTTCAGGATTAAATTCTACAATTCTACTTTTCTGACCTCTTCTGACCTAAAAATCGTTTTTCGGATTTTAAATCAGAACAAAACTATGTGTTCTTTCGAACAATCACGTTTTTTCCTCTATTTTTCATTTTCAATTTTCTCATTTTGAATAATTCATCTGTATTCTATACTCATGAATCCAAAATAATACGTATTTTCTTCAGATTATTTTACTACAATGGGAGAACTCGAGGTTCCAGAAAGAGAGCTCGAGTATTTTGCGACTTCAGCCAGAGCTGGCCGCCGTAATGCACTTCCGGAGATCGAGGTAACCATTTTCTCTGGAATTTCGAAAAAAATTTCTTTGTTTGAGTGTTCCTTGAGCACTAATTGCCCTCCACACCCTTGTTGGTTTGAACTGTCGGTTTGCACACGTCTTTCTTTTTACGTGAAACTTGAAACCCTTCAAACACGCTATACCCACCTGATAACACAGCCACGTAAGTGGTCTCCTACCAAAACTTCGGAAGTTTTTCTTTTCCAAAAAACACACAGGAGTAGAAATTCAGGGGTTGTGTGTACACGACAGGATGTGGTTGTGGTGTAGAAAGGCAAATTTTCCAGTTCGGTAGTTCCCCACTTCCAAATTTTCGTTTTCTTCGCGGTGTTTTCAGAGTCGTTTATTTTTATTTTTAGAATTGTGGTTTTTTGGGAAAGAAGCGAAAAAAAGTAGAAGCGAAAAAATCTCACTTCTAATCTCCAAAAGCATCTTTCCCACCTCTTTTAAAAAAGAGTATTTTTTTTCTCTCAAAAATAAACCCAAACGCAACGAAAACAACAAATTAGAATTCAAAAGCTAATCTGAAAAAAGGAGAGCAAAAAAGGAATTTCTTATCATCAAGTTTTCCTTCTCATCCGCGATATGACGTCAAAATTATGCTGCTCTGCGCTGCTCTTTTTTGCTACGCCGACAAACATGTCTAGTATAGAGTTACCAGAGCAGAGGAAAAACTGAAATTCGAGAGCAGCCATAATGGGATCATTTTCTTTTTTCATCAAGAAGGCTTTCTCACAGACACATGATTCAATTTAATTTTCCTTCTACTTTCAGGTTGAAATTAACGATCAGGATGCTGCAAAACTAGCTGAGAGAATGTCAGATATGACAGCTCATTGCGAAGAGACAGCTGATAATCAAAATCAGCCAGGTAATTCGGTTTTTTTACATTTAGACACAGAAAATAAGGCGCATAATTGAGAGAATTGAGGTACAAAGCGATTGAGAAGTACAAAATCCTCAATTCGGAAGTTCAAAATACGTGAAAAACTTTGATTTTGTATTTTCGAATTGCTGTACCCTCCGAATTACCGTAAACACTCTAAAAGAACGCCACCCGAGCCTTCAACTTTGAGCCCACATATCTCGTTTTGTATAGAAGGTATCAGAAAGTAGCTAACTGACCAAATGTTGCTGATAATATAATGAACACTTTGTCAATTAACAATTTTTTCATATCTTCAACAGAAACCAAGATTCATGCGCTCAAATAGGCCGGTTGGGTAGCGTTCCATCAGAGTGTTCACGATATGTACCGAAAAATCCGAAAAATTCAAAGACATTGTAAAAAATATCTTCAGGACCATCTCAACCAAAACAAGGGAATTCGTAACAGACGTTCCGCTGAATGAAACGATCAAACATCGGAACATGCCGTAACGATTGTAACAATTTTCAAATTTCCTACATTTTTTGTCTTTTTCCATCCAACTAACAGAATGTTTACAACTTTTTTGTACCCCAAGGAATCGGATTGTTGTCTCAAAGTGGGGATTTCATAATGATCCCATTTGCAATGACCAGAAGTTCTTGTTCATTTCTTGTATGACTCACTTCCGAGAACTGTAATCCGTTTTCCTACACAATTATCTACTTACTTGTAGTCCTATCCCTGTTACTTTATCCACACTCCCCGTTTGGTCCTCCGATGATTCATCTTGTCCACCTGTCACTATTGTTCCATAACAGTCCGAAGTATCACGGGTTTTTCGATCTTCCTACTCGTTTTCCCCCCTTTAATTCTATTTTATTTTCCTTCACTCCACAAAATTTCGATTTCACCACGCATAATATTTAGATTACAATGTATCTCTTTTTCCTTTAATCACATTCCACCATTGAATTTCATGAAGCGTAATGCGTTACTTTCAATGAAAATATACAGCACATTCAAAAATAGCTTGTTTTAAAACAAAAAAATGCCGAAGATATGTGCACACCCGCGGTTTTTTGGGCATTCCCGACGGAGCAATTTTTCAAAGGTGTGACCTCGTACACTACACGCAAACTACGTGACAATGACATATGACGTAGGGAGGCAAAAAGAAAACAGATGGGGAGGTCGAAGAGAAGAAAGATGAAGTTTTTGAAACAAGTTCTCACACCCACCCGAAATTTTCGAAATGAGATTTTCCTCATTTTTTTTCTCCCGATCCGTTTGCGTAGACAACAACTTTTAAAGAGCACAAAACCAATTGAATTAGGTCAAAGATTTATTTCATTAGGCTTGAAAGATAATGAAATGAAGCTGTCAATGCATTTTTTCATTGCAAAAACCCCTCCGTCCGAATAATATGGAAAATAGAATATTGCAATGATAGGGAGATTTGTTTTGAACGGAAGTCATTAATAGCTTCCGGCTTAATAACAGGAAATTCAAAGAATTAGATTGCTTCCGGTTCATTCAGTTTTCGGTTCTGGATTAAATGTTAGATTTAATCAGAAAATATAAAAAAGAACATATGAAGTAAATTTTTTTCAATAAAAAACGAATAATCTGAGAGGAAATTTGGAATTCGGCGAATTGAAGAAAAACTATTTTTCATGGAAAAACAATTTATATAAAATTTAACGTTGAATATCTTAAAACCTCTGATAGAATGTCCCACTCAACCCGTCAATATTGAGCCCAACTATCTAACTTCAAGTGAAAAGTATCGACATTATGTCACTTGACAAGTTATAACCATAGTATTCATAATATTTTATCAGTTGACAAAATGTTGATATCTTTCACAAAATTCGAAATAATTGAGCTCAAACTAGACAGTGTGGGGGGCCTTTTATTACAGGTTTTGCGGAAATCAAAACTCTAAAATGTTACTTTTCAACATTAGCAAGTTCATAACCCAATAAACCACTATTCAAATATCTCTGGCAACTTTCACGTCCACTATTCTGCTTTCAAAACTGATCGTAGTAAACTTTCTATAGACGTATGACCTCCCTCTTCCCTTTTTATTTTTCGAGATGTCACAAAGCCTGTCAATCACATCTTCTTTGCTGCAACATTGTTGTTCACTTTTATTACTCGCTTCATGCCGCTTTTGATGCAAAAAGAAGAATGAACGTGTTTCAAACCGGGCACACAATAAAAAAGGGGATTTATACAAATTGCAGTATCCAATTTAATTTGAAATATTTTGGTAATTGGCAGACATCATATAGCTCTGGTAAAATGGAAATTAAATTTCAGCGGATTCTAAAAATGAGAATTTTAGGTAAAAATGGGAAATAATACAGTATTGTCTTCCGTTCATTTTTGACATCCGTAGTCAACTTCAACGAAATCCCTATAATTGTCGGAGGGTCACCAAACGGTTACCTTTGAGCCAATTTATCTCAGGTCCTCTCAAAGGTATAAAAAAGATGTCAACTGATAAATTGTTTTTCATAATCTTTTTTTTTCGTTGACACATTTTCGATGTCTTGCCTAGAATCAGAACATTGAGCTCCAACTTGTGTGACCTCACTTTTAAAAGTTCATGGTGTATCTGAAATTAAAAAATCTAATCGGTATATTTTTGGTACGATTCTTTTTCTGACTTGAGCTCTAAGAAAAACTAGATTCTGCTCCAACACATCTGACTCATCCAAATGCTCGGTGAAGATCGACGCCTCAACCGTGTGTTCATGATTTGTACTTCCGAGAATTCAATTTTCAAAATGTGCTTTAATTTTATTACTGACTCCATGCCTTCTTGACACAAAAAGGAATGAAGTTTGAACAAAGAGCATTCATTAGATTCACAGAATCCAAAACTGTTTTGGAAATGTTTTGATTTGGGATCAGAGAAATTGACTTGGAATCCTTTGGTGGGGAAATGGAAATGGTGGAATGATACTTTTAAGAGGAACGGTGAAAAATCAACTACAAGAAAAACCGGTAACTAGCGTGGAAGGAAATGAAACAAATCTCATCGGGGTACTAAAAGTGACAGATATTATGTAAAGTGAAGATAATAAAAGGAATGACAAGAGGGCAAAGAATACAGTATTTTTGTTCCTTCTTTTGTTATTCATCATTCATCTCATCGGCGTCCTTATCACTATCGTTTGGGAGGAAGGCCATAATCATAGCCAACTAAAACAATTAAAGTGAGAAAAAGACAGTGAAATGTTTGGACTTACCTGAATGAATAACAACACGGCGAATACTGCATTTGAGATCAAAACATTGAAAGTGTTGAGGTACACAATCTGTAAATTAGTTTTGAATTCAAATTTATTCCCAACACAAACCATCGGTGCCAAGACAGATCCAAATCGTCCTCCAGCATTGCAAACTCCTCTTGCCATACTTCTCACCGAAGTTGGGAACAGCTCGGCGGAATAGAGATGATTGATTTTCCATGTCGGATCGATTCCAGCAGAGATGATTAAAGAGAGTGCAATATACACTAAATGCCATTTCTCGTTGTTTGAATATTGCCTGAAAATCGTAACAAATAAGGAAAATGAAATCCTGACAGGAAACTTACACTGGAATGATCAACAATGCACAAATCCAGCAGACACCGACAGAGAAAATTGCAATGATTCGTTTGCTAGTGAAATTGTTCAATATAAATGGAGTGAATCCGAGTGCAAACTTGGAGACACCCATAAATCCTTGATTCCAAAATCGGTTTCCTGGAAGGACGTCAAGAGAAAAGTAGAATCCGAAAGAGACGATGGATGAAGCAAAAAACGAATAGCACATCAACACGGTTGGTTTGAGGAGACGGGAAGATCTGAAAATGGGAACTTCAAAAAAATTGCTTCCACAAATGTGAGTAAAAGTTTGCAAAGAATGGAAATTCGCTGAAATTTTCATACCACGTTTTAGAATTTCAGAATTTTTTATTCATATTTTGAACTCCGGGGCCTACCGGACCGAACCGGTCCCTAATTTTTCAAGCATGAAAAAAATCACTTCAAGTCAAATTTTGTTCAATTCCAGCCAATCATTTGCAGGCATTCGAGCGCTGAGCGTCACTGCTTAACAACACTAATTACATCATGTCAGAAACACACGTCTTTCTTATTTTGCTAATTATCATTTTCTATTCAAATAGATGTCCCGTTCTGAGAAGAACTTCTGACTCACTTGAATAGAGTCGACCATGTTCTCCGCTCCTCCGTGTGTGTTGGCTCACTGAATCCAAGGATCTCAAACCATTTTAAAACTTCAATATCGTCCTCGTCAATCGCTCTTTTGTCATTGACTGCCACAATCTGCAGAGCAACTTTCTTGGCCTCCCGGTGACGTCCGTTGGCTGATAGCCATCGGCAGCTTTCATAGCAAGTGGTGACCTGAAATTTTTTGATTTGGTAGCGGAATCTCATTGGATTTTTGCTCACTCCAAGTACTGTCAAAATGACTCCGAATGCAGCAAACACCCCATGGAATGGAACATAATACTGAGTGTAGTTTGCCACCAAAGCGTTCACAGTCTAAAATCAATTACAAGTTTTCCATTTGAATATTATCATGCTAACCATAGACAAGCTCCAACCGTTGAAAGAGACAGCTAGAAGACGGGACTTTGCTAACTCGAATCCTTCTGTTAGAATCACAAAGTTGGTCACCATATACCCTCCACAAAAGAATCCAAGAGTGCCGAAAGCTGTGCAGACTGCAAACCAGGGAAGATGGTTGGAAAATGCAAGAGCAAAGTGACCGATGGTGACCATCATCAAACAACCTGGAATTTTAGTATGTATTTGATATCTTGTTGGTTACGATCTCACCGAGCCAAACGGGTTTTCGACCAATTTTATCCGATAGGAATCCACAAAAGAACGATCCTATCAATGCTCCCCACATGAGCAAACTTGAAACCAAAGCCTTGTTTTCATGGGAGCTGGCACCGCAAGAAAATCCGTGATCAACTGAAATGGAATAGAACTCTTCGTGTTTCACTGTGGTCCAAGCTGATTCAGATTTTTTCAGTGTTTCGCACCATTGCTGAAATCATTCAAAATTTGAACATCTGAATCGGTTTTAAGGACATACTGTAGACGGCTCTATGAAAGTTGTGAGCAACATAGCTGCGGCAATAGGAACATATCCGAGCTGAGTGAGGAAAAGGAGACGGAGTTCGTAGAGCCTGAAAATGTGTTAAATGTAGATTCATTTTTTTATAGAATTTTTTTTTTGAATATAATTTTTAAGAAATTAAAATTTGAATTTCAGAGCTCATAATAGAAATCCTTGAAATTAATGGCTTTGAATTTGAAGCTTAAAACAATATTTTAGTGCCCGAAATTTTGAATTCTTGAGCTTAAAATAATTAGATTTGATTTGAAAGTTTGAAGTTCAAAGTTTAAAATGTAGTCATTCTTAGAATTAAAAATGATAATTTTTGAGCCTGAGTTGCTCGTTTCTGGATTTGAGGGTTTGAATTTAAGAGTTAAAAATAGTCATTCTGGAATCTAAATATCACAATTTTTGAGCTTGAAAATGTCACCTTCGAAACTGAAAGTTTTGATTTTTGAGCTAAAAATATCATTTTTAAAGCTCACTAGTCCCGAATAACTCCATGAAAATCACTTACCCATAATCTTCACCAAGTGATCTCCGAATATCTGCAAACTTGAAAGTGCTCTGTTTCTCCACTTCTCCACCATCAGAGCTCACGGAGTTCCCATCCAGACGGATGTTCTCTTCTTTTGCGTTCATCCTGAAAAATCAAGTTACGATTAAGGGAAACACACAGACACACAAATAAATACATAATGATGCACAATTTCTGATAAGCAGGGTTGAAAGATGAGTTCCTTTTTAAAGTCATCTGCTGTCATCATTCATAAATTGCAAGTTAGTCATGTAAGACAAAAATCTTTTTCTGAAGGAAGTTTCAGTCACAAGCAAAAGAGAAAGCCAGAAAAAAGGAAAGTGAAAGTAGATATGCTGACATATCCGGAATCAGTAAGAGAGAGGAGGCGGGGGCAATTCTGGGGTCTACCTAGCCCTATATGCACAATGTCTATAGACGTAGTCACATTTTCGTTTCAAATTATGTGCGCGCAGCATTTTTTATGTGCTAAGACTAGATGAATGCATTTGGCATTTTCCGTCAGAGAAAGAAATAGAGAGGAATTCAAAAAAAAAGATGAGGTTTCATGAAAAATGGGCAGCCAGGCGCTTCGAAAACGGAAATACATTAAAAGAAATGGAAAAAGCAATGGTGATAGACGATTTTTATTAATACAAACTTTCGATGGGGAGAACAGCTGGAAAGAACATTTTGCGCCGGATGTGAAAGGAAGGAATTTGTTTGACGTGACTAACACGTCCTCAGCGCTCAGATATAACATTATGACTACATTTCTTATGAAGGTTACAGGTTCTTATAGTCACTTCCATATAAGGAAGAAAATAACTAATAAGAAAACTTCAAGAACATGAAACTCCAGACTTTAATGAAAATTTTAGGCTAGGTGAAAAATAAACTATTAGGTTGGAAGGAAAGTAACTGTCCATTTTTTGAATTCGTGAATAACACAAAAACAAGAATTATCCAAGATTGACAGTATGCACCATCGTGGTCCACGACATGCCGACAAAATTCAGGTAACTTGTGGATACCATTCCTCCAAAAGTCAGCTGGCCGCGACTCAAACAATTTTTTTCATTCCTGACTTTATCTCATCGGCAGTGTAAAACAACTTTCCCTCCAGATGACGCATATTTCCAAACAACCAATCATGAAAGAATAAAGTCTGGAGTTCAAGAAGCGAAAGCGGTTTGGGACTTAGTTTACTTTCTTCGAATAACGCGAGGTCCTATGTTCCACGGGACGTCGAGTAAGACCTGAGCCGCTCTAACTGGACGGTTCTTCTTTACGTCCCCTCAAACTCCTTATTTGGCCCTTTCATTATTGCTTATTAGGTGACCTGCAACGCCATCTAGAGGGAAATAGTTCAACACTGTAGATGAGATAAAATCTGGACTGAAAAAATACTTTGAGTCGCGGCCAGCTGGCTTTTGGAGGAATGGTATCCACAAGTTACGGCCGCATGTCGTGGACCATAAAGATTTATACTGTCAATCTGACGAGCGTATTCTGAAATTCTCAAAGGTGTCTAGGATAGTTTATTCTTGACATATCTTGAAAATTAGTCAAAATCTGACTTTACAAGGAGTTGAGGTTCCTTTTTAAGCATTTCAATAAAATAAAAATTTCAAATTGCGCTCTGAAAAGCCAGCCTCCCATGTGACAAAAAAAATAACACAAAAAAAAACGAGAGAGAAAATGCCAACATATAGAAAACTGAAACCACACAAACGCATGCAATGAAAACAAACCGCAAATGATGCGTGGTGAAGCAAGCATAAAAAATACACATAAATATATACTTTTTTCTGGGAAATTATTTTGTATAAATGAAGTAGAAAAAATGATCAGAAAACAAAACTTTTTCTATAGAATTTTCAAAAAGCATTCTTTGAAAAAATAAACACTTAAAGCTCGGAAAAAAATATCGTATCATTTTTTCCCAGAGAAAAATGACAATGTTTTTCTCTGTATCGCCTACACAACAAACAACAACAAACCGAAAAGTTGACTTACTTGAGCATACAGTTCATCACTCGACGGTTTTTTTGGGTCTCGGAAGTGTACAACAAATAACTATTGTCTTACATCATTGAGATTTTAACGACGGAGATAACGAGGCTAGTTTAGCTTCTGAATATTCAGAGATTAGAGAGTTCAATTCTAAAAAATATACAAAAAAGATGTAGTAGCAGTTTGAACTTTGCGTTTATGATGAGAAAAAAAATATTATCTAGAATTTTTTTGTCATGAGGTGGTGGCTTTTTTTTCACTTTTTTATCAGCAGAAAAGTTGGAATTATTGGTTTTTAAAGCGGAAAAATGATGTGGAATTTGTAATTTTTCGATTTTTCAGGTAAAACTCTTTAAAAAATCATGATTTCTGTTGAAAAGTGCTATTTCGTAATTACTAATCCGTCAAAGATTTCAACAAGAAATAACTAACGCAATAATTATAAAAATTGCATTTTTGAGCAAATTTCAGGTAGGAAAAGTTTGGTGAAAATGAAAAAAAAACATTAAAAACCTTTGGAAACCACATTTAATATAATAAAATAAGAAAAATGACGTCCAGAAATAACGGCTCCTGCTTCTTTTTTTCTTCTATATGCTCTCACAGAAAAAATACTATGAAGAAACCAGAGACTCCAGACACTATGTAGAGAAGCTTGTGTGTGTAGCCTCCAAGAAGCAAGGGGCAGCCAGGGAACTCTACTAAATTATTTTTACACCACTTGCACTGGACATTTTCTTTTTTTGTGACTTTAGTTTATTAAACAAGAGGAAAAATGACTAGGTAACATAGATTGAGAAAATGAAAAAAGAAAAAAATAAATCATGAAAAATAGATGAAGCTAACAAAATACACGCAAGTAAAATACACAAGCAATGAACAAATATTTGGTTAATGAGAGAAATAACGAGTCAAAAGGAAAAATGACCCCGACTACTCAAGATTTTGAGATTTCAAGGGTTTTCTCACACTTCTCAATCCCAATGGTCGCTAGTGATGACAAAAAATGTCATCTCTGTTTACACAAACTCTAAGAACTTGCGCTAACTCGTAAATTCCTGAACTGCCTACAAATGTGTCATAGTAAAAAAAACAAGGTTTTAAAACTTCAAATGTTTTGGAAAGCGCTGAGAAACAGTGAACATGACTTTCAACTAGACGTTTCCTATTGTGTGATCGTTTACGATTCAGTTTTATAGGACACCGGGTGTAATTCTCAGGGAGGTAATACACCGAGATCGTGTTCAATGAATTGATTTCGCTTTTTAGGAAATTTATCGGAATGGCGAGTTTCTTAATAAGATATACAATCTGATTAAAAGCTCCGAACTTTTCAAACTTATCGAAAACAGTACAGACAAGCTCCAGACTTCTGAAAATGGTCAAAATCAACTAAAAACATATTTTTTGTTTTTTTTTTGACTTTATTGACCAGCATTGTTTTATTTTCCGGTACTGTCTTATTGGCGGTACTGTATTTTAACATAGGTATTTTCCCTTTATCTTTCATGTTCAACAGAATTTTCGATATACCAATTGAAGGTCAAAATTTCGTTATTAGAAAATCAAAGAATTGATCAATTTCTGGGAATCAAATAAATAACAGTGCGTGAGCAAAAAGAAAAATATCATAAATTATTTGAATTCAAAGAATCGAATAAACAAAAACTCTTCAATGTGTGTAATGAGAATGCTACCTCTATGCATACTCAATTTCCGTTAGGCTCATTCAAAATCTAACAAAATTTTCTCCATTTTTCTTTTTTCTCTGTTCTTTTTTTTTCATTTTTTGTATTTTCTTTTTCCTGGCATCATATCTTTTTTTTTTTGAAATTTCCCTCCAATTCAAACTTCGCGTCCACAAACCTTCAACCTCCAAAGAAAAACAAATTGCCCCAAAACCACACAGCGGCTTCAATTGGCGTCGTGCCAATTTCAACAGTTTCTGCATCTATGCCACCCTCCACCAGCGAGAGAAACAACAGAAAAGCAGAGCTGTCGGGAGAAGGACTCGTTTTTTCTTTTACTCAGAGAAGGATGTTTCTAACTGTGCTCAAAACATGCTCCATTTCAATGAACTCTGAAATTAAAACGAAAAGAACAATGTGAAGACTGAAAATCGAGGATTTATTCAAAATAGTCTGGGTCACAAATATGTTTGGTAGGAATGGGGAAAATGATATCTGGGGAAAGGGAGAGAGAAGTTCGATGAACAATTATGACAGGAAAAATCTTTGGAATTGAAAAAATTTCGAGATTCATGAGATGAGCAGATATCATTGGAGAAGAAGAGAAAATATGCACACTATTGAACTTTTTCTTGTACGAAGAATGAGAGCTGCATGGTGGTGAGAGGTGATTATCTGATCATTATGGAGAGATGCTATGCATATGTTAGAGAGGATTGTTGGGTCTATTTTAGCTCCAGGATATTCTCCATTCGCTTTTGATCTGAAAAATCAAATTCTTTGAATTTTAGAGAAACTTCGGAAATTAAAATTTTAGACTTTAAGAAAACTCACAGTGAGAGAACCCGCCTTTGCTCGGAAAGGGAGTGAAGCGGTGGAATGAGCTTGCCACTTCATTGGTTGTGCTAGCCACGATTTGCTGTTCTGGAAAATTCAAAAATCAACAATATGCATAAAATTTTCTCAAAAATATACTCACTGGATTTCTTCACATCAGGTTCCAGTTCAGATTTCTGTTTTTGATCCTTTTCATCATCATTCTTCACACCACAACCTTCCATTAAAACTCTCTCTTCCTTTGAATCGAACCGTTTGAGATGGAAAAAGCCATTCTTCTCTTCGATTTTGTACTTCACCAATCGCTGCTCTTGTTGCATCCTCATACGCTCCCGATCGTAGAAATATAAGTCTGCTCGAGAGTTATCGAGAGCTGTTTTTGCACCAGCGATCCATGGGGCGACAACTCGTAAAAAGTAACCGCAGTTATTTGAAGTTTCGAATCCAACAAGGCAATCGAGGCAGTGAGAGAAAAATTCTTCACAATTGTATGGATCTTCTTCTTCGTCCCGTTTGCCAATGTAGTAGTCTAAGAAACTCGTGGTACTATCGTCTTCAGTAAATGGGTCATCGTCAATGAAATCATGGTAAATTGGTGTGAGAAATTGATTCAGCGCGCGAACGAACATTTCTCCGTGCTTTGCATACAGATATAACACGTCTTTCAGAAGATTCTTGTAGCAATAGTGCCAGTTTTTGACATCCCATTGCTGATATTTTTTGAAGGAGTCATTTCGAGAGCTAAGGTGCTCCTTGGCCCTTAAGGAGCAATCCGACAAGTGAGAAAGTAAACAGCTAACCCACTGGTCCTGCTTCTGTATGCAAATAAATTGGATCAACTCCTCCACCGGAACATCATCCAAATAATAAACCAATCTTGGTGGTATATCCTCTGTTTCTATCGTTTTCGAAATCTCCGCTCGCAATACGTTCCGATAATTTCTTCCCAATTCCACATCGAGTGCACGCATATCATTAAAAATTTTTTCCCGATCCTCCTGGTTCATCAGAAATAATCCATCATCCGCACATTGTTCGTTCAGGAGAAAACGTGATAATAGATTTTTCTCATTGTTGTTTTCCACATTCTCTGGTGGGTCGGACATTGTTTTGTTCTGAATCTAAAAATTATAGAAAAATGTGGAATAATTGCGAAAGAAAAAAGACTCATCATGCAAATACAAACGTATTCAGAAGATTATGAAAAATTAATTTAGGCCGACAAGATATATGCATGCGGGGAGACGCAGAGAAACGTTCAACAGAGCGCGTTTTTGTATGAAAAACTAGTCCGCGTCCTCTGCGACCGCGGGTCAGAAACTCAGAATTTAGTGTCGCTTTGACTTTCGACTCTTAACTTCAGATTTCAACTTTAATTTGTTTATTGATCAGGTGTAATAAAACATTAGAGGGCAGGACATGAAAGACTCAGAAAAAATGGGGAGCAAATATATCAATAAAAATAGGGAGCAAATATATCAATAACGGGTAATACTGGAAGAAATTAAGGATTCAAACTCGGAAGGTAGGAGAAATCGGGTAACTTGGGAAGTGATGGCGTTCCACAGGGGAACAATTGAAGAAAAATAGTCAGAGGAGTAGATTCATCCGCTTATTTCTCAAAACAAGTATTATCTCAACAAGTACTAAATAACTCGTTTCTAATGAAGAAAATAAATTCAAAGAATTGTGGATCGTTTTAAGGACCTAGGTATACTAGTTGATGATCAACTTCAATTCGACAAACACATCAATCTTATTGCCTACTCTGCTAAACTCAAGTCCCGCCAAATACTGAAAACGTTCCAATCGAAAAACCCTTGTTTATATTTCCGTCTCTTCGACACCTACATTAGACCGGTCCTCGAATACGGTTGTGAACTTTTCGATCCATCCAATGCCACACTTGCCAATAACCTAGAATCTCCTCTTCGTTTTTTCACCAGAAAAGACTTTCAGAGATGTAATATGCCCTTCAATTCATACACCGATCGCCTATCCCAGTTCTCTATGCTAACCACCCTTCATCGCCGCACCCTTCTAGTTCTTCTTACCTATCACAAAATTGTTATAAACTCATAACATTTTCCCTCTATGTCGTCCTACATTCTTCCCAGCCATTCTAACAGAGCCTCGTATTTGTTCAAAATCAACGGTCAATACTTTGACTGCTTCCTTCACAGAAACTTGTCTATGTGGAACCGTGTATGTAAAATGATAAATTATAAGCTCAATCCGGTGGCGTTTACTAAGCGAGTAGGAGCGATTCCTTATGATATTCTGATCCCTCCCACTTGACCTACAGGACTCGAGTCGGTCCGTCTGGTCATTTTACTTTTTTATTTGTACAGGTCCCATTTCTTGCCAAATTATCTATCGATTTCCCCCGTGCATTGCAAATAAATATATTATTATTATTAAGAGGGACCAAAAAAATGAACACAAATTGTTCATGAATTTTTGGTAATCACTCCACCGTTCACCTGTATATTTTACAAAAGTTTCCAAAAAATATAAAATAAAACTAAATTTCAGGAAGATGTGTGGATGTGTCTCTCGCAATTAATTTGAATTCTAATTTAACACGTTTTCCTCAATTAAGGATTTATTAAAAATAGTCTGGGGTGAAAACAATTTTTGGTCGGAATGAGGGAAACGAGAACTGGCAAAAAAGGATGACATCTGAGGAAAGGTAGAAAAAAGTTCGGTAAACAATCATGACAAGAAATTTCTTTGAAATTGAACATTTTTTGAGATTCATGTATGAACAGATATCAATTGAGAAGAAGAGAAAATATGTACATTTTTGAATTTTTTTGTAAGAAGAATATGCGACAAGAGCTGCTGGTGGTGAGATGTGATTATCTGGGCAATGTGTCATGAGTGTGTAGGAGACGATCGTTGAGCCAACTATTGCTTTATGGTTGTATTCTGGATGCGAACTAGATCTGAAAAATGAGAATCGTTCAATTTTGGACACGATTTGGAAATTAATTTTATAGAGTCTGAGAGAACTTACAATGAGAGAATCCGCCTTTGCTTGGAAAGGGAGTAAAGCAGTGGAATGAACTTGCGACTTCGTTGGTTGTGCTAGCCACGACTTGCTGTTCTGGAAAATTCAAAAATCAACTAGAAGCGTAATTTTTCTTCAAAAATAAACTCACTGGAGTTTTTCACATCGGGTTCCATTTCACATTTATTTCTCTGATCCTTCTCATCATCACTCTTCAAACCACAAAGCTCCATAAAAACTCTCTCATCCTCCGAAATGAACCGTTTGAGACGGAAAAAGCCATCCTTCTCTTCGATTTTGAATTTTAATAATCGCTGCTCTTGTTGCATCCTCATACGCTTACGATCGTAGAAATAAAAGTCTGCTCGAGAGTTATCGAGAGCTGTTTTTGCACCAGCGATCCATGGGGCGACAACTTGTAAAAAGTAACCGCAGTATTTTGAAGTTTCATATCCAAGAACGCAGTCGAGACAGTGAGAGAACAATTCTTCAAAATCGTATGGATTCTGTTCTTCGTCCCGTTGATCCCAGTAATCGAAACTCTCTCTTACGGCCATATCTTCTTCAGTAATCATCTCATTGTATTTAGGCCTATTGTCATTTAAAACAAAATAAAGTGGTTTGATAAATTGTTTCATCGCGCGAACGAAAATTTCTCCGTGTTTTGCATACAGATATAAAACGTCTCTTAGAATATTCTTGTAGCAATAGTGCCAGTTAGTGATATCCCATTGCTGATATGAACGGATGGAGTCATTTCGAGAGCGAAGGTACGTTCTGACCCATAAACAGCTACCTGACAACTCATAAAGTACTCTTCTAACCCACTGGTCCTGCTTCTGTATGCGAATAAATCGGATCAGCTCCTCCACGGGAACATCATTTAAATAATAAATCAATTTTGGTGGCATATCCTTTGTTTCTATCATTCTCGAAATCTCCGCTCGCAACACGTTCCGATATTTTCTTCCCAATTCCACATCGAGTGCACGCATATCATTAAAAATTTTTTCCCGATCCTCTTGGTTCATTTGAAATAATCCATAATCCTCACATTGTTTGTTCAGAATAAAACGTGATAATAGATTTTTCTCATTGTTGTTTTCCACATTCTCTGGTGGGTCGGACATTGTTTTATTCTGAATCTAAAAATTAATCTGGATAATGTGAAAAATGGAAAAAGAAAAAAGACTCGTCATGCAAACACAAACGTTTTCAAAAGATTATAAAAAATCAATTTATGCCGGCAAGATACATGCATGCGGGGAGACGCAGAGAAACGTTCAACGGGACGCGTTTGTGTGTGAAAAACTAGTCCGCGTCCTTCGCGACCGCAGGTCAGAAACTCAAAATTTAGTGTCGCTTTGTCTTCCAACTCTTAACTTCAAATTTATTCGCTGATTTCTAAAAACTAGTATTATCTCAAAAACTATCAAATAACTTTTTTTACAATCTAGGAACCAAATCGAAAGAATTGTGGATTGTTTCGAGAAGCACCAAAAAAGATTCTCACAATGTTTTCGAATTTGAATAAACACTTTTTTCTTATTATAGTTAAAGACTTATAAAAAATAGTATGGAGTGAAAAAATATGTTTGGTAGAAACGATAAGCGACAAGAAAAGGGATGATATCTGGGAAGAAAGGAGAGGGAAATTCGATAAACCATTATGACAAGAGAAATCTTTGGGATTAAATTGAAAAAAACGAGATTCATGGCATGAGCTGATTGGAAGCATCAATTGAGAAGGGAAGAACACATCATTGAGCTTTTTTTGTAAGAAGCATATGCGAAAATAATTGCATAGTGGTGATTAGGGTGTTGGGGACTTATTTTATCTCCAAGGTGTTATCGGTGGGTTTTTGATCTGAAAAATGAAATTCGTTGAATATTTGACACATTTTGGAAAGTTCTGTTGTAGAGAATGAAAAAAAAACTCGCATTGAGAAAACCCTCCATTGCTTGGGAGGGGATGGAAAGGTGGAATGAACTTGAGGTTTTAATGGTTGTGCTAGTCACGGCTTGCTTCTTTTCTGAAAAATCAAACTAGATGCATAAATTCTTTTTGAAAATTAACTCACTGGATCTTGTCACGTCGATCAGCAATTTTCGTTTCTTCGCCTTTTTCTTGTCCTTTGAAATTTCGCTCTTCACACCATCCATCTGCATTGAAACTCTCTGATCCTCCGCAACATACTTTTTGAGAACGAAAAGACTATCATCCTTTTCGATTTTGAATTTTATCAACTGCTGCTTTTTTGGATCCTCATACGCTCCCGTTGGTAGAGATTAAAGTCTGCTCGAGAGTGATCGAGAGCTTTTTTCGCACCATCGAGCCATGGGGCGAGAACTTGTAAAAAGTAACCGCAGTCTCTTGAAGTGTGGTATCCAAGAACGAGGTGTAGGCAGTGAGTGAACAATTCTTCAAAATCGTATGGACTCTGTTCTTCGTCCCGTTGACCAATATAGTAGTCGTGGCTTCCAACTTTTTTCTGAGTTTACGAATTCACGCATAGGTATTTTTTTGTAAGACGTTAGTCACATGTATCATTCAGTTCTGAGATTTGCTCATTCTGTGTTTTCAGAAAACTCGTATATGAAAAATTCAAAAAACCGGGTTTTGAGCACAAAAATCTTAATTTTTGTTTCCAACTTTTTTCTGAGTTTACGAATTCACGCATATTTTTCTGTAAAACGTTAGTCACATGTATCATTCAGTTCTGAGATTTGCTTGCTCTGTGTTTTCAGAAAACTGGTATATGAAAAATTCAAAAAACCGGGTTTTGAGCACAAAAATCAGAATTTTTGCTTTCAACTTTTTTTGAGTTTACGAATTCAAATTTCAAAAAATGTTTGTCATAATTTTTGTTGTTTGAAAGTTTTCTTGTCCTACAGCTGGAAACATGCTCCTTTTTATTTAACTCTGAAATAAGAAAAAACGAACGATGTGGAGATCTCACAAACTCTCGGGCAATTTCAATCCCAAGCCCGGTTTTAACTCTTATTAATTCTATCTGATCATTTTTTCTTATTTAAAGATGTATAAAAAACAATCTAAGTTGGGTAAACCAGATAGGAAGGGAAAGAGAAGCTCGTTAAAACGTGATAACAAGAGAAGTCTTTGGAATTGAAAATTCAGATATCAGTGGGGGGAGAAAAGAACATACAAAAAGAATAGGCAACAAGCGCTGCATGGTCGTGAGATGTGAATATCCTGTCAATTTTTAGTAGGAATGAGGGGAAAGAGAGCCGACAAGAAAAGTAGAGAGAAGTTCGATAAACAATTATGACAAGAAAAATCTTTGGAATTGAAAAACTTTCAAAATTCATGAGATGAACCGGTTGGGAGTATCAATCAAGAAGAGAAGGAAATATGCACATCATTGAATTTTTTGTAAGATGCAAGAGTATGCGATAATAGCTGCATGGTGGTGAGAGGTGTGTATCTGCTCAATGTGTTATGCACGTTGCGCCTGCTTTTTATCCATAGTGGTGTTCTAGATGCGCATTGAACCTTAAATATCAAACTGCTGAATTTTATACAATTTTTGGAAAGTTACTTTGAGAATACTCACAATACGTGAATCCTCCTTTGTTTGGAAAAGGAGTGGACCGATGGAGTGAGCTTGCGGCTTCATTGGTTGTGCTGACCCCGACTTGCTTCTCTGCAAAATCAAGTATATGCATAAATTTCCCTCAGAAAAAAATTCACTGGATTTTGTCAGGTCGACAACCAGTCTTCGCTTTTTTGACCTTTCCTTTGAAGTTTCACTCTTCACACCATCCATCTGCATTAAAACTCTCTCATCCTCCGCAACATACTTCTTGAGAACGAAAAGTCCATTCTCATTCTTCTCGATCTTGCTTCCAGCCATACTGAGTTTCTGCTGATTTCTCATATGCTTCCAATCGTAAGGATTTAAATCAGCGTTTGATTTATCTAGCGCCTTTTTTGCACCATCCAGCCATGGCGCAAGAACACGTAAGGCGTAAGCACAGTACTCTTGCGTTTGATATTCCAAAATGCAGTTGAGACAGTGAAAAAACAATTGTTCAGCATTGTATGATTTTTCTTTGTCCTGTGTGTCACAGCAATGCTTGTTCGGACTAGTCTTTCTGGCAAGGCTTTCTTCAGCGAATGAATAGGAGTTACAGAAAACCGTGCAAAGTTGTTTGATGAATTGAGTCAGAGCGCGAACGAACATTTCTCCGTGCTTTGCAGACAGATAGAAGACGTCTTTTAGAATATCCTCGAAACATTCATGATAATCGTTGACATCCCATTGCTGATATGAAATGATGGCTTTATTTTTACTGTGCGAAGAAATTGTATCAACTCCTCCACCGAGACATCATTCAAATAAGAAATCATTTTTTGTGGCAAAAGATTGCGTATTCCTTTCTAAATCTTCCCTCGCACTAGGTTTCGAAAATTTCTGCCCAATTTTACACGCATGTCTCTGTAAGTCTTTTCCCGTATCCTCGAGAACATCGCTCTGCAAAACGCGGGTGACGGTCCTTGATTTAAACGGTTTCCATAATCCCTGTATTGTTGCGCGACTTCATTCGAGAGGACTCGTGGAACGTCATCCTCATTGTTGCTTTCCACGTCCTCGGGTTGGTCCGACATTACTTCGATCTGAATTTGAAAATTGTTCTTGAGAAATTTGAGAAGATTTCGAGAAAAATACTTGTGATGAAAACACAAAAGTATTCATAATTCAAGACGTTTTTCTCAATTGAAAGTTTATAAAAAGTAGTCTGTGGAGAAAAATAAGTTTGGTAGGAATGAGAAAAACGAGGACCGACAAGAAAAGGGATGATATCTGGGGAAAGGGAAAGATTCGATAAACCATTATGACAAGAAAATTCTTTGGAATTGAACATTTTTCGAGATTCATCATACAAATGGAAAGAAAGCCGTCAAGAGAAAGAGAGTTCAACCATCAGTTGTGACGAGAAAAATCATTCGAATTGAACAATTTTCAAGATTCATGAGATGAGCCGATTGAGAGTATCAATGAAGAAAAGAAGGAAATACGCACATCATTGAATTTTTTTGTAAGAAACAAGAATATGCGATATAAGCTGCATGGTGATGAGAAGTGATTATCCTGTCAATGTGTTATGTACGTGGGAGAGAGAATCGTTGCGCCTGGTATTCCGGTTGGTATTCTGGTCGCGCATTTGATCTGAAATATGAAATTTATTCAGTTATACACATTTTGGGAAATTCTGTTATAGAGATTGAAAAAAGCTCACATTGAGAAAACCCTCCTTTGCTTGGGAAAGGAGTGGAACGGTGGAATGAACTTGCGACTTCGTTGGTTGTGCTATCCACGACTTGCTTCTCTGAACAATCAACTATATGCATAAATTTTCCTCAAAAATAAACTCACTGGATTTTATCATGTCGATCACCAATTTTCGTTTCTTAGCCCTTTCCTTTGGATTGTCGCTCTTCACACCATCCAATACCATTTTACTTTTCTCATCCTCCGGAGCAAACTTTTTGAGAACGAAAAGACCATGTATCTTTTCGATTTTGTACTTCGCCAATCGCAGCTGTTGCTGCTTCCGCATACGCTCCTGATCGTAGAAGAAGAAGATATCCAAGTTGTCAAGAGCTTCCTTTGTGCCTACCAGCCATGGGGCGAGAACGCGTAATGCGTAATCACAGTCCTTTGAAACTTGGTATTTCAAGATGCATATCAAACAGTGATAAAATAAATCTTCAAAATTGTATGGGATGTTTTCTTCATCTCGTGAACACACATCATAATCCCAAAGAATATCCTGTCTGGCACGAAATCCTTCAGCAAATGGTCCTCCAGCATGGGGATCCTCGTAATAGAATATGATACCAATTTTTGTGATGAATTGAGCGAGAGCATGGACAAACATTTTTCCGTGTTTTGCATAGAGGTAGAGCACGTCTTTCAGAATATTCTCGTAGCAAACGTGCCAGTTAGTTATATTCCATTGGTGATGTGAACGGATGTAGTTATTTGTATCTTCGATGTTCTGTCTGGAATTTGTGAGTTCCCATTTCAAATTAGTAAGCACTCTATTAATCCAATCTTCCTCATTCCGTGTGCAAATGAATTCTATCAGCTCCTCCAATGAAACATCACTTAAATAGGAAATCATTTTTGGTGGCAATCCATATTCCATTCCTTTAAACATCGTCCCTCGCAATTGGTTCCGAAAATTTCTTCCCAATTCTACATCGAGAGCACGCATTTCTGTGAAAATGGTTTCACGTGCCCGAAGAGCACTTTCTCCTCCTTCCTTTAAAGCGTTTCGAAATTCGTCATATTGTCTCTTACTTTCGCCGTGGTTCCCGAGAGACCGCTTTATAGAATCCCAAATGTCATCGTCCATTTCATCGTCCATGTCGCGGTCCACATCCGCGGGTTCATCCGACATTGTAGTTCTGAATTTAAAAATTATTATGAAGATATTAGTGAATATTGCAAGAAAACGAATCGTGATGCAAACACAAAACTATCTAAAAGATTTTGAGAAAGCAATTTTTGCCCAACGAGATACAGGGTGCACATATTTTCGCATTCCCACTAGTAGGAGCCCGCCCAAACAGTAAACTTTGAGCTCAATTATCGCGATTCTTCTAAAAGATATTCAAAAGTTGTCAGCTGATACAATTTCGAAAATTTTATGATAAATACTTTATCAGTTGTTAACTTTTCGATCTCTCTCACAGGAATCGAGATAACTGAGTTCAAAGCTGATGGTTTAGGTGGGATTCTATTAGAGGAAATACGGTAATTAACCGCACAAAAGTTTTCAACTACCAAAAAGTTTTAATAGAGCGTTGTACTGGGAAATTTGAGGTGCGAACATTTCACATAATTCATCAGTGAACTGGCAGAATTTGAAATTATCGAATCTACTGTGAGTTATCAATCTACCCCTAAAAGGAGATCTTGTTTCGGTGAAAAGTCGCAGAACATGTTTCGAAATGTTTGATACTCAGTTACCGATTTGTCTACTGCCACGCCTCTTTATCAATATTGCGCATTTGCATAGGTAGCCGGAAAAAACCCGGTGCTTCATCTCATGCTTTTTACGAAGCCTGTCTTAGTAAGGGAGGGAAAACGGGAAAGTTTAAATATAAGACAGACGAAAGATGATACCGATAGAAGAAAAGAAAAAGCTAGAGCAAATATATCAATAACGAATGATTTTAGAGGAAACTTAAGATTCAAACTCTGAAAATAGGAGAAATCGGGTAATTCATCTACGTGCAAGCATGGAAATACTAAAACTGTAGGAAACGCTTTGAAAAGTTCAGTAAATGTGTATCAAACAAGAAGTTACATTTCTGCCAATTTTTGTGCTTCCAACAAACTGAAGTCCGCAGATATACCCGTTTTCATTTCAAACGCCACCCAGTGTATACATGCGAGGAGACGCAGAGAAACGTTCAGCAGAGCGCGTTTGCATATGAAAAACTAGTCCGCGTTCTTCGCGACCGCGGTACAGGCTATCAAAACTCAGCAAAACTGGAGGGTGATGTTTCCGGTGAAACTGGATAGAGTTGGAAAAAGTGAGACAGAGGAAAATTATAGAATGAAAGTCAATAATCAAGAATGGAGAACTGGGAGTAGAGGAAAAATGGGTAATGAAGGAAAAAATGAACAAATATATAGGAAAGAGAGGACAGTCAATCATATGGGTAAAGGAGAGGACCTTATTGATTTTACCATATATCGTGAGGGGTTGTGATGATTGCCAGACGTTACTAAAAGGGGGAGGGGGGATTGAACGCACTGTATTACTCTTGTCTGAAGACACTGCACGTTGAAAGCGGGAAACCTCGTTCAGTTTTTCTTGAAGGCGCAAGTGCGGAAACAACCGTATTTCGAGCATCTTCAAAATGTTGTTTTGAATTTTTCTCAATTTTTCGACGATTTTTATTTTTTTTTCCGATGGAAATCGGGAAAAAATCACTGAAAATGATAAAAAATTTTTTTTTGTTTGAAATCTAAAAATTGTCAAAAAATTGAGAAAATACAATATAAAGTACATATATTTAACGATATTTAACGAGATTTACTGCTCTCAACGTGCATTGTCTTCAGAAAAAAGTAATGGCTTCAATTGTGGGAAAATTATCTGAAAATGATGATAATTAGCTAACTGATGACATGACACCTTAACCATGAAACATATAAACCACGAAAAATAAAACTTTCGCATTTCTAGATTGCGAAGAAACTTTCTCACATCACGATAAGTTGAAAAATTGAACCTTCACTCGGTTATTTTTCAGGTTTTCGGAATATTCGACACGTTAACCTGCTTGGAAACTTTTCGAAAATTCGGAGAACTAAATTACTCTCTTTTTGGAACTGGTAGCTAGAGATTCAAGGTGAACGATGTCCTTGAAATTGTACAAATTGTTATTCTTTGTCTTCGAAATATTCATGAGCGACCGTATCGTTGTCCTGGAAAACAGGGAAGTTGTTTGAATGAGCTCTGGCATTAAAAACAAAGCACGTAGAATCCGTTCGAACAATTTGATTCGATATTTTCTCTTCTATTGCCTTTATTTCCTTCATTTCTGCAAAATTGACGTATTTAAAAAATCCAATTCGTTACGATCCCAAAATGATTTTTCATTCATACTACTTTTTCGATTCCCCCGAACCGACGCTATCCGACTATGAATGTTCCTTTTTCATAGATTTATAAAAGCAAAATCCGTTTTCTATTCAAATTGTTTATCTTTACGGAAATTTCTTTTAATTTTTTTATAGACAGCTGGAAATTTGGCTACTGTCCTGTCCTGAATAGTTTTGTTTTTGAATTTAAAACGTTCTTGTGATCTAAAAATTAATTATACAATGTGAATTTCCAATTTTTCATCAGTACATAACACTGATGTCGTGTAATACAACGACACTCCGTTATTCCGGTGCTAGAGAGAAAAAACAGTAGAAGAGACGCAGACAGCCGTCCCGCGGAGCGCATTTGCATCGCGAACGACATCGTGGCAATTTTACGAGTTTGCTGTAATCTCACAGTATATTTGGTTTTTCTTCCAACTGTTAACAAACAATTTTTCAGACAAAATGTCCTTACTTTGGTCGTTAAAACATTTCGATGCTTATCGAAAGCCAATGGACGACTTTCGGGTCAAAACGCTGTCCGGAGGATTAGGTGAGTCTCCTGGTTTGTCCTCGAAAATCGATAATTACCGAATTTCAGTCACACTGATAGCCACCATAGTCATAGGATTGCTGATTGTGTTAGAAACAAGACAATTTCTGTCAACGGCGGTGCTGGAGCATTTATTCGTCGACTCAACGACGTCCGATGAGCGGGTACACATCGAATTTGATATCACTTTCAACAAATTACCGTGTAATTGTGAGTTTTTCCAAGTTTTGAGTTATGTGAGCAGCAGATAGCGGCGGGGGAGTTGGCAGGGCCTGCTGTCTATCGATTTTTGAGCGGCGATGGGGAGCAACGGATGTAACACAAGTGCAGGACGCCTAAACAACGCTCAAGAATAAGTATGAACATGAAAAACCAAGAAAATTTTCAGTCATCACTGTAGATGTAATGGACGTGAGTAGTGAAGCTCAAGAAAATATCAATGACGACATCTACCGTTTACGCCTCGATGCTGATGGTCGTAATGTGTCGGAGAGTGCTCAGAAAATTGAAATCAATCAGAACAAGACAATCGGGGAGCCGACTGAGCTGGTTCAAGAAGTGAAGTGTGGTAGTTGTTACGGAGCGGTAGCAGATGGAATGTGAGTTATCATTATCGCTATTATCGACGATAAAAGTATGATTCAGATGCTGTAATACTTGCGAAGATGTCAAGAACGCGTATGCTGTGAAAGGATGGCAAGTAAATATCGAAGAGGTTGAGCAGTGCAAGAACGATAAATGGGTGAAAGAGTTCAACGAGCATAAGAACGAAGGATGTCGAGTGTATGGAACAGTGAAAGTGGCAAAAGTCGCTGGAAACTTCCATCTCGCTCCAGGAGACCCACACCAAGCCATGCGATCTCATGGTTAGAGAAATTTCCTCAAAAAACTCTCTGTTCATCTTGTTCCTTTGCAGTTCACGACCTTCACAACTTGGATCCAGTGAAATTCGACGCGTCTCACACTGTAAATCACATCTCGTTTGGAAAATCTTTCCCGGGAAAGAACTATCCACTTGATGGAAAAGTGAACACTGAGAATAGAGGAGGAATCATGTACCAGTACTACGTGAAAGTGGTGCCAACTCGTTACGACTATTTGGATGGACGTGTGGACCAGAGTCATCAGTTCTCGGTGACCACTCATAAGAAGGATCTTGGATTCAGTGAGTTTTTTACATCGAGCACCAGTCAAACGTGCTTTTCAGATGGTTTAGACCTTTTTCAAGAGTCTGTACTTTGGCTGTCAAGTGTCCAATCAGTTTGAAAATTTTGGAGAGTGTGAAATAGACCTAAACTGAAAATCGCGCTATCCCAGAATTTCTTTGAAATTCCCAGGTTATTGTCCGGTACTGTATGAAGTCAGAAGCCACATAAATCTTGTAGCCAAATAAATTTATAGTTTTTCAAATTCATTTTTCAGGACAAGCTGGTCTTCCTGGTTTCTTCCTCCAATACGAATTCAGTCCACTAATGGTTCAATACGAAGAATTCAGGCAGTAAGACTTCACCCGTCCCTTCTACCAAAGAGATATTCTAATTTCAGGTCGCTTGCCTCATTTTTGGTATCGCTCTGCGCCATCGTCGGAGGTGTTTTCGCAATGGCTCAACTTGTAGACATCACGATTTATCACACATCACGCTACATGAAAAGCCGTATCGCTGGGGGAAAACTTACATAACTACACTTAATTTATATCTGCATTCGGGTTGCTACTGGTCTTTAGATTATTCTGTTTAGTATTTATTTTGATTATTGGTTGTAACTTTGTTCTGATTTTTGATGCATTTAATTTATTTTTCAGGTTCTTATTCTTTTTTTTGTGGTTTTTTTTTCAAACTATAAACTCGTTTCCGCTTTACGAATCCTATTGAACGTCACGGGTTCCTCTTCTCCGAACACTTTTTTCTCTGTTTTTAAGTATTATCGCGTATCGTCTTGTGCCGTTCTGTCCCACTCGTCTTGGGTTATTCCTTCTCCTCGTCTCTTCTCCGTTCTCTAGGCAATAAGAGTCCGCCTTCAGCACGCGACGCGTCGCTTTTGTGCGCGATGCGGTCGGACGGCCTCTGCAATTACCGAAGGTGTCAGTTCTTATCGACTGGTGCATTTTTTATTGTGTTCATTGCGTATTGCGGTCGATAACATTCTCGATAGAATTCTCTGATAAAAACGTTGGTTTCTGTTACAGCTGAACATGAGTACCAAGAAAAACAAACGGAAATCAACCTCAACCTTCAAAGCGGTCAAATCTCCACCACCAGTCGATTTTTTCGATTTTTCCAAAACCGAAGAGGAAGTTCCCGAACCAATCAGAGTAAGATTTTCTATTGAAGCAGTGATCAAGAAATAAATTCAAAATTCAGATTCCAAACGCCACTAACGCCGAGCAAAAACTCTATGAGCTGTGCTGCAAAGCTCGTGGCAAAGGACTGTTTGTTCGAATTCCACCGTCTCATCCACGTGCTCGTAAAGTTGCCGAGGAAATTGAGAAGTACATCGACAACATCAAACGAGGAACTTGTAAACCTCTTCCTGGAGGTAATGCAGCTGCTCTGAAGGCAATCAAGGATTTGAAGATGGCTGATTATGAGAGGGTGAGGATTTCTTGCTGGAGGAGTCGGAACATGATTGCTCGGAGTTGGAAAACCGATAATCCAATTTTCCGCTTTCTCCGACTCTTTTTCGATAAAATTCGTCGACAAAACCGTTGGGAAACATTTCCCGTCGGGAAGTTTTCCGAAACTTTTTTCGGTAAAAATATTCTGATTTCGCTAGAATCAGACATGTTTACGCTAAAAAAATGGAAGAAGAGTCGGAAAAAATTGGATATCCGTTTTTCGGAACAGGGCTTTCCGAGCAAGCCTGGTATAGACCAAAATCTATCAGCCTGGCAAAATTTTCTCAAACAAGCCGGCAAATATCAAGCATCGCTCAAATTTCCAAGCTTGATGATTAAAAAACCTCGTCATTTCTGAACTTGATGGTCGTCAGACGTCAGCGAGCAACTTTTTTTTCGTTCCTCGATGTCACTCAAAAAACCTGTTCTTCGGGATATATGAAAACTGGAATTTAAAAAAAAATCTCAAAACCTGTCCGACGGCGAAGTGAGTATATCTGATTTGAGCGACTGTGCAGTGATTAAAAATACAGATTCTAGCCATATCAAGAACACCTCATCATAATAAAAGTTTTTCAGGGCGACCAACCTGGATGGGCTCGCATTATCTCGATCCTCCGCGAAGAGTTTCGCAACTACTCTTCTCTCGCCTTCTCGCGTGGTCTCCAGGAGAAAGGAGAGATCTTTCAGTTCATTGCTCACTATCCAAAATGTGGATTAATCCTTCAGAGAGTGAATGTCGACCGTCCGTATCGCTATGACGGTGTCATCGATCAGCTTGTGACTTGCACTCGTAAGTTTTTTGGCTTTTTCCAGGAAGAATGGTCACAAGGCAGGTCCGCTGGTCCCATCATCCGACTGCCGGTTCTATAAAATGTGACAACAGTCTCGATCTTTCGACAACGGACCCACTATCCCAGCAATAGTTCTAACGTTCCGAAGCGCGATTTCGACTCCAGATCGTTTCGTAGCGCGACGTTTTGCAAGCTTAGTCGTTTCGCAGCCGCTCTTGCCTGAAATCAAGGAATGGTAGGTTTACAGTATCTTTTTCTGGTATTTTCTTGCTTTAATATCTGTTATTTCTCATTCTTAAAAATGGTTGAGGAGAAAATACACACATGTAGAGGAAAAAAACCACACGAACATATGGTTTTTGTGTATTTCTGATAGTTGTTAGAAAATTTATGCCCCCAAGTTGATAAAGACTATCGAGAATGAAAAATAACTGATAAAAAAGCAAGAAAATATCAGAGAAAGACACTTTAAACTTATCATTCCTTGATTTTAGGCAAAAGCGGCTGCGAAGCGTCCTAGCTGCGAAACGACTAAGCTGCGAAACGTCCGGAAGCAGTGATTTCGGTTGCGGGTCACCCAAATGTTTGAATTTTGCGTTGTTCATCCGAATGCTCGTTTGGAAATTTCAGTGATTTGAGATTTTTTGAAAGGCTTAAAGGCTGAAACGCCATGTTCACTTTTTAGTGAGAAATTCGGAAGCGCCAGATTCTAAAATATAGGGGGGGGGGGTTCAGGTACCCCAATCAACATACCGTTGAGACGGTTGCCTGAAAATTGCTAATTCGTTGAGCGATTCTTACCCGAAAGAACTGTTTTTTCTTCAACCTGCTGATTTTCAATATCTTTATGTTTCAGATCCTGTCAATGCTGTTCAACAAAAGATGTACGATAGAGCGCATATTCGCACTGTAAGCCTCAAGAACCCAGCTGTGAAGAACTGCAGCGAATGTGAGGAAAAGTAAGAGATATGCGATGATCTTCATATTCAGAATTCAAAAATTGTTCAGAGCGGTAAAGGAAGGCACTGAGCGACTTGATAGGATGGACATCATGCTCGTAAAAGACAGCAACAAAATGGCGGTCGACAGTACTCTTAACACTTATCAATTTGAGAAGTATTTCAAAATCTCCGGCAATTTGCTCTCCGGGACTGGTTCTTTGGAATATTCTCAATCTTACGCTGCTCTTAAAAACATTCGGGACTTTGATAAGAAATCTGTGGAGTTAAGAGAAACCATGTTCAAGCTTCGCCTCAAACAACAACAACTCACTGCAAGAGTCAATATCTATGGAGAGAAGGAAATGGCGAATGAGTGGGAGAAAATCAATAGAGAGCTGGAAAATACCGCAATGGAGATTGTCACGATGACTGCAGACACCGTCATTGAGATCAAAAGGCTTGAGGGAGGATTCGAAGGCTCATGGGAATTGATTCGCGAAAGTTTGGGAACACCATCGAGGCTCTGCGATTTTGATCGTAAGGTTCGTGTTCTTGAAGAGCAAGTGGAGGAGAAGGATGCAATCATTGCTCAACTCCGACACGAGCTTGAAGAAGCAAGAGCGATGATTCCAGTGGAGAAGAATGAAGATTCGGATGGTGAGAAGAAGCCATTCTTCATTCAGCCAGCCGACAACACTCGTCGTCGTGAAAAAAACAAGAAGAGAAAGAGAAACAAGAAGTCGACCGATTCTGGATCGTCCAGCGCCAAGCGCTCACGTCTCTTCTGAATGAGTTTTTTCTCAGCTCTAGCTCCAATTTGGATATATTCATGTTTTATTACACTCATCGTATACATTTTGTAAATTCTCTTTTGTAATTTTCATCCTGTTCATTTTCTGGTGCATTCTTTCTTCCCACCGCTAAATCCCATTCATTCGTGTCACCTTTCTTTGACCCAGTTTTCTGTAAATCAACACGATTTTTCCTAAAAGGGCATTATCAAGTTTTCCCGGAATTTTTCAAAAATTCGGTTTATCTTTTCAATGTTGCCGGCCAAAAAATTTTTAATGCGGTTTTTGTACCTTTTATTCTTTCAATATAATCTTCATTGCTCTGCTCTTATGTCATTGCCATTTTGTAATCGAAAATGTCTGATTTTGTAAATGAAAAAGTTTCAATTATTTTTCATTAAAAATGGTAAACCAGCAGATAATCAATATTTCTAAAGTGTTTTCTGAATCAAATATGCAACCGCAAAGTTGTTGAAAAACTTTCTTTTTGGCATTCGTGTCGTTCTAGAAATGTGCTATTAATTGCTTTGAGGTTGTACAGTAGAACCTTTGTTCCCGTAATATCAATTCTAACGAATTATATGTGGAATATGTCGACAATACAGGATTTTGACCTATAATCTGTGCTCCACTGGAAACTATTGGAGACTTTCTCAGAAAAATCGGTATCGTTGAAGGTTCGGAATCAGTTGCCTGGAAACAATTTACTTAAAAATCCTGAAATACGATAATCGAAAAGTTTCTCTCAAACTCGATTGAAACGTTGCCGTAAAACTGATAGAAGTGTTTCTTAACTTCAAACTTTGAACTAATTTATCTATGTTCCTTTCAAAGAAATGAAAATGTTGTCAACAAATGAATTGTTCATCATTATATTATATCGAAATTATTTTATCCGTTTACATATTTTCATATCTTGCAGAGGAGCTAAGATAAATTATCTCAAACTTGACAATGGGGAAGGCCTCCTGTTACAGGTTCTACAGTGTTTTTGACGAACCGAAAACGAAACTCATAATTTGACCAACCAAGTGTTTTAAACGTCGTCTTCCTAAACTTTCTTGTTAATCGCGACTCCATACATTTATTGAAATCTCAGCTTTCTTTCAAGCCCAATAAGTCAAATGTAAGTTGATATCTTGTACATACATGATTTCGTAGCCAATCTCAATTCCAACCAATTAGTAAATCAGACAAACACTGGAGAGAGGCCTCGCTTTTTGATTAAACGAACTCGTGACGTTTGGGATTGTTATGAAATTCAAGGACCACTTTTTGTTGTTGTTTCAAAACATTGGAATCCAATTTGGATTGAGATTTCGCAACTTATTGACGAATTGGGAATATGCCAGAATGTCAGAAACGTGTTGTGGTTTTCAGAGGTTTTGTGACTTGAATATTTCATAATTGTTTTGTTTGGCAAATATGAACTTTCTCGTAAACTTTTTCGAAGTTTCAAATTCTATGAACGAATATCAAGCAACTGCAATGATTGGGCTATTGTAATGAAATGAAGTCAACAAAATTTGAACGGTTTTTATTTGGTAAAACTTTGATTGTAGCCCTGTAATTTTTTTTTAATTAGAATGTTTCCAAATCATGCAAACTTTAAAACTACGTGTAAGCTCTCGTGCATTAGAGTTCATTGAATTTTTATCACTATATGATAACAAAACTGCATGACATTCTAAAGTTTGAATTTTTGCACGATTGCGAAATACGTTTTTTTCATTGAAATTCTTGTGTCCGCTTTGTAGTTTTTGAGTTCGTATCAACAACATCAGGCTTCGTTTTGTGACCCAATTTTATTCATTGATTTTCTTATCAACATCTTATCAGTAGACAATAGGGGACGATGGAGTAAATGGTGAAGGAAAACACAAAGAGAAAAATTACAGTAAGACAATGAAACTTATTGCAAAGTATTCATTTTCTGTTTCATGACAAGATAAGTGATTGCATTGATTACAAAAGACCACCGAGAATTGGGGAGGAGTGTTAAACTAGTAAGTGTGAGATTAGACTGGAAGTAACGGGGACAAGTATGATTAGGAATAAATCAATCAATAATAAATAAGAAAGACCCATAGAGAAAATTGTGTAGACCTTGAATTTTATATACAGATTCTCTATGGAATTGTAGAATAAGAATCTCGCGTTTAATTACAAGGCGTTAGCAATAGGAGAACGTTTCAAGATGATAAAAATCTCTAGAAAGGTATATACATGATCTATCTGCGAGCCGTAACGACTCTGCCTTTGTACTGTGGAGCTGGGTACTGTTTTACTGTAGTTCCTCTCATGATAACTGGGAAAGCCAGCTGGTTTGCATCACGGAGCGCTTTGTAGGCAATCCAATCTTTTGGATTTTGACTGGGATGATAGTGATCGCTGATTGGATACATCACAAATGGGAGAAGAATCTCCTTGGAGAGTTCATGCAAGAAGAATTGAATGTTTTTCGGCTTGCGGTCTTCGGCTTGAGCGTCACGGATTTCATTCTCCATGAGCACTTGGTTGATTTGATCCAAACGACGACGCATGACAGTTTTTTGGAATCCAGTGACATTTTTATCCATGCCAGTTTTGATGGTTTCGAAAACCAAGCGAATATCCTTCTTAGCAAATTCTGCAGTCATCGGGAACTCATGCCGGCACAAAAGAAGCTCCTCGTGAATTGGATCAACATTCTGCGGAAGGAGTCTTCCTTTATACGCATCGTAATACATCTCCAATAAATCCATCTTGATCATCAAATCGTGTTGCTTCAACATCATATTGGAACGACATCTGACATTTGGGAACTCTCCTTCGAGATTGCGAGCGAGGTCAACAAGATTCATTCTTGCCGATGGAACTTTTCTCAGCATCATGTCTACCATAGTAGTCGCTGAAAACGAAATATGGGTTGGAAATTCAATGCTTTCAAGGATTTATGTACCTTTAAAGGAGAGGAAATTCATAGGCCACTTTTGCTGCTTGAATTTGATGGCCCGGAATAGTGGAGTAGTGTCCTTTTCATAGAATGGATACTTTCCAACAAGCAATATGTACATGAGAACACCAAGGCCCCACATCTCGGTGTCATACGTGTGGAGTGTCTTTGTGGTGGCCTTTAGCATCTGAAATTCATACAATGAGCTTTCTGAATCAATTCTCTGGATACCTCTGGTGCCATAAAAGCCGCATAAACGGTACGACGAGAGTTATGAGCATCTGTCACTTCATCGTCGCATCCCAAATCCTGAAGATTAGCTGGGCGGACGATCCAACTTCCGTCCTCCGCTTTCTTCAGGTAGAAATTTTTGGGTCTGAAGTTGCGAACCAGAACTCTTCTGGAGTGGCAAAACTGGATGACTTCAACGAGTTTCTTGAAAATCTCCATAACTTCAGATTCTGTAATCTCATCGAGACGAGCAAGAGCGAGTGAGTGGATTGTAGTGTCCACGTATGGATTGAAAATGATCCATCTCTGATTGCTGTGGAGGATTTCCATACGTCTCGACACGCAGATCTCACTGAAAAAAAAAATTTCCTTTAGAATCTTCATTACGCTACATGCGTCTGTCTGTCCACTTCAAAAAAAAGTATCGGTTTACGTGACTTTTCAAGAAAAAGTGAGGAGCGCAGCAAACGAAAAAACTAAATTAAATCGCGCAGAAAGCGCACCAGCTAGTTAGTTACAATATATTCTGCTCTATGAATGAGTAATCTTTCTATATTTTCTTGTCCCCAGTTCCCCACGCATTCTAGACTCAATCACGTCATTTTGAATATTCTGATTCAGACTCAAAGTATTTCGTAATCCCCTTCACTAATTTCGTCATATTGTATGTGCACTCACCTCAGACGAAGTTGATCCGCGCTGAATGAAGCCATGTTAGCTGGCTGTTGAAGACGTTTAATGACGTCAAACACCTTCGGAACCTTCCATCTTGGAAGAACTTGAGCCGTGAACACCTCTTTCGTTTTGAGGCAAACTGCACGTGTTGTTGGTCCGGTTCCCACAATGTGGAAAACGCCGATGATTTCCCCGTTACGCTAAAATCCGTACTAGAAACATTTGAATGGTGTATTCCAAACACTAACCAGGTATTGACCACCATATGGATTCACTTGTGGACCTCCAGAAGACGATGATGAAGAGCTCTGGGCCAACAACAATTGGTTCTGCTCCTCTTCCTCGATTTCCTGGATGAATCTCACATATTCACGCTCATCAAGAATAGTTGGCATTGGTTGCTCAACTGGAGTGTCTCCATGGTTGTAGAGATCCGCCTCTGGGATCATTTGTCCTTTGGTCAACGCAACATAATGATCATTTAGGACTCTGATGATGTGAGGAGGAAGCTGTGAGATTGGGCGAGTTCCTGGCTGGACTGGTGGACCAAGAGATGGCTGCCCTATTGGGTGATTTGGGCAAAAGAGGCTCTCTTCAATTTTCGGAGCTTCACGAAGTCGCTTATAATATTCTTTTTTGATGGCAAGAAACTCTTCAGACTCTTGACGGATGATATCCTTGTAGTAACGGAATGGAGGAAAAAAGTTGGACGCGCTGGCAGCACCCTTGGTTAGCAAAGAGAGTGGTGCAGCTAATGGCTGCACATCCTTGGTTCTGGTTTTGATTGTGCTTCTAGTTTTAACCATACCCTGAAATTTGGAAAGGTTGGATAACTTGATAACTCGTAGAAAAAAGGAACAAAAAACAAGGTATTCGGGTTAGAGAGCTACAGTAAGACACAACTTAAAAAGAAACGGAGGAGTAGTTTATGAGAAAAGTCCAGACGATGATAAGCCTGAAAATGGATAGGAGCAATGAACGGTGAAAATGGAGGATGGCGAGATTGTGAAACAAAGTGGCTTGGACTATGAATTCGTTTATTTCTCTCGCCATTTCGCAATACTACAACGCATATAACTGGGAGCCTCCGCCCCTTTCTCTAGGTCTCCCATCTCTTTCGCAATGTTTTCAATCTCTACTACTACGGGCGCCCACATATCACAGAACCGAGGCAGGGCGCGTAGTGTGTGAGCTGAAATGAGAGACGTGCTAGAACATCAGCAGGTATTGCGAAACATCACAAGTCGCTACAATCAACACAAATGTCGGAGAGTGGAAAACGAAGAGAAGACTGGGGGGTCGGCGGAGAAACGAAACGTGACGAGAAGGATCAGGGTGACGAAATCGCTTGCCGAAGCGGTTAAGATTGTTAGCAAACAGTTCTTTCTGCAAAACGGAACATGGATAGATAGGGAAAGGACAAGTAAAAGAAACATTGGCAGCATAAGTAATGAATGGTAGAGATAGGACTGATAAGGTTAAACAGAGATCCAGGAGAAACACCTAAATCTGTCTAATGATTCCGAATTTGTAACAAGACAAGATTTAAAGGTATTGTTGTTGACATTTTTGGGAATCTGTAATTTTCTAGAAAGACAGAAAGAAAACCAGAATACAAAATGAAGGGAAAAAATAATTGTTTTCGTTGGCTTCGCTTCTTTAGAAGATGCAGGAAGAAGAGATATAAGAGAGAAGCTCTTCTGGAAGAGACGGAAGCCACGTGCCCGCGTCATTCCGGCCCCACTCTCTCCCTATCTCTCTCTCTCTCTCTCTCTATCTCTCTCCTTGAGGCAATTCGTATTTTCTCTCATCCTCTCATCTCTTACGTCGAGGACACCAACCGTGGCGGCTGCAGCGCAGACAACCAGAGTCCTCCGGACCGAAGGAAAGGGGTCAGAGACGCAGCGTAGAGACTAGTCGCTGCGCGCGCGGCAGCGGTCAATCGTACGCATCGCTTCGCATCTCTCGGAGAAGAAAAAAGAGATAGAAGGGCCCTCCCGTTTTCGTCCCGATGCCTTTCTTTTTCCTCTCCTCGTTCTCCCTCGTGATGCATTGCCTCTAGTCTCTTTCTCTCTCTTTACGTTTGTCCTCCTGTCTGTTTTGCTGCTCTCTCCACTTTTCCGTATCTATCCAGTAGCCCGGGGGCCTACCCTTGTTGGTCCATTGGTTTTAGCCCTGGTGTTCATATCCCCTCTTTCGTTTTAACCATTTCAATTTGGGTCCTTTTTTGGTTTTTTTCTCTGCGTCTCGGGTTTCTGCATCTTTCCCAAACTAATGACAACTTGGCAGTCACTCTAACAGCTACTTTTTTCCTGGCTATTTTTTTCTATTGCATCCTTCTCTCTTTGCTGGCCTTTATAATATAAACAACTGGTTTCTCATTTCCCTTTCATTTTCAGGTAACAAAGACTACTACTCCATACAGTATGACGGCTGCTCCATATAACTACTCCTACATCTTCAAATACATTATTATTGGCGATATGGGTGTTGGAAAATCTTGTCTGCTGCATCAGTTTACTGAGAAAAAGTGTGAGTCATTCATTCAGTGGTCAATCGATCGATTCAGTTGTTTGGTTTTCACAACAAACACTATCCAAACGAGACCTGTTTTCTCTTTGGGTCACAAGGAAATTGAACAACAACAAAAAATGAAACTTTTTTACAGTTATGGCCGATTGCCCTCATACGATTGGAGTTGAATTTGGGACCAGGATTATTGAAGTCAGCGGGCAGAAGATTAAGCTTCAAATTTGGGATACTGCTGGACAGGAGAGATTCCGTGCTGTCACTCGTTCGTATTATCGTGGTGCTGCCGGAGCTTTGATGGTGTACGATATGACTCGCCGCTCCACCTACAATCATTTGAGCAGCTGGTTGGCCGATGCAAAAAGCTTGACTAACCCAAATACGGTAAGAGAAAGAGGCAAATTGCAAAGAATTGTTGTCGAACGAGGAAAAAATAGCATATTGCGTGTCACAGGAAGCATTCAACTTCTAGCTTTTTTGTTCGCGTGTTCCAAGGCCATCTGCCATTAGTTCACACAAATGAAATGAAAATGTTTAGAGATTCATAGGAAAATAATTCGGAGGGTATGAAAATTCACAAGCAATGGGGGTTCAAAGTAGGGGTACAAAATCCTCAATTCTGGAGTTCAAAAAATCTGAAAAATTAAAGTTTTGTACTTCCGTATTATTTCGTGACCTAAATCACATTGTGCCCCATGAATTGTTGTACTCTCCGATTTATGTGCCGGATTCATTCCCATTTTAAGGACTTTATTGGCTATTGACCTCATACAGTACCCCCGGTTAATAAAATATGCAAAAACAGGGGTTTCGATTAATTTTCGGCCGTTTTGACCATTTTTAAAACTCTGAAGCTTGACTGTCAAGTTTCCGATCATTTTGAAATTCTTGGAGGATGTAAAACAGACCTAGATTGAAAAATTTGCATAACAATTGTTTTTTGAAAATGTCTAGTTTTTTAGCTACTTGCCACTTATTGGAAGACACGCTTTTTGTCAATTTTTTGTAGAAAAGACGTAAAAAAACAGGTGTCTTTAAAAAATTGGTGAATAGCTGAAAAACTAGGAATTTTTGAAAAATTCTGTAAATGCAATTGTTTCTATCTAGGTCTGTTTTACACCCTCCAAAGTTTTCAAAGTGATCCAACACTTGACAGCTGTGCTCCAGAGTTCTGAAACTGGTTAAAATCAACTGAAAAACAAGTTTTTTTATTTTAGGGATTTATCTGGCTTCTGACTTCATATCATATCACTATTCTATTAATTCCAGGCAATCTTCCTTATCGGAAATAAAGCGGATCTCGAAGACCAACGTGATGTGCCATACGAGGAAGCAAAAGCTTTTGCTGAGGAGAACGGACTCACTTTCTTGGAGTGCAGTGCGAAAACGTAAGGAGAATTCCCTTTCTTCAATTCCAATCCCCTAATTTTTCAGTGGAAGCAACGTGGAGGATGCCTTCCTGGAGACAGCCAAGCAGATTTTCCAAAATATCCAAGATGGAAGCTTGGATCTGAATGCCGCTGACACCGGAGTTCAGCCCAAACAAAACTTGCCACGTGCTGCGGAGAACAATGGAAAGAAAGACTGCAATTGCTAGTTTTCTTCATAGCTTCGTTTTCAATTTGTACCCGAAACCATTCCTTCTTTGTACTTTAACTTATTTTAACCGTCTATCTGTATGTTCGATGTAAGAGCTTGTTCCCCATCATCATGAATTGCCAGAAAAAATCAGAAAAAATAATCTTGAATTAGTAGTCTTCCAACATTTTGGGTGGTATGGTTTCTTTTCTTGTCTTCTAGTTGCCTATTCTTCTCTCCCATATAATTTTCAATATTAATAATAAGGATAATTTTGGAAATCTCTGAAACATTGACTTTGTAACTTTATGTCACTTTACCTACAATTCTCTGTCTCTTTTCTCTCATTTTCACTATCATCGTCGAACTGTGAATCGATCATAATATAACACTTTCCTTTCGCATATTCTAGCTTCTTTACTGTTTTTTCATTTGTATTCGTTTCTTTTCCTCTCATCCCACTGTCAAAAAACCGTCCTAACATCAAAAACCGTCATTAATTTCGTGTGATAAGTAACATCCCTACTTGATCCCAAACCAAGAGTGCTATATGTGTGCTTTGAAAATCAAAAAAAAGTAAGTAAGAACCGTTTTTTGGCATATTCTATAAATAGTTTACTGTTTTTACAATTTTGTACCAGCAAAAAATGAACAGACAGTCCTTTTTCCAGATATTTTCTGCCCGGCTTAGCTCGTTTCGGTCCAGGTTTCCAAAAAAGTTTCCTGTCTTTTCAAAAAAATCTTGAAGTCAATGAAAAAAAAATAATTTCTAAAAATATTTCTTCCGCAAAATTTCTGAATTTTCATATTTTTTTTTCCAAATTCTAAAAATCTGATTTTGCAAGTATGCAGTAAAATCATTAAAATTTTCATTGGTTTTTTGGAAAATTTCAAAGAAATGCAGAGCACTCACATAGAATACGAGCAGAACTCTCTTGATACTCGAAAATTATAGTTTTCAACATATAATGTGAGCCTACATTCCGGAAAAGAGCAATTACAGCACTATGATTATAATGAGCAGCTTCAAAATGTAGTAATTATTAACTGACCAAGCGATCTTTAATTTTTAACCAAGTTCAATTTCCTGGAATTACGAAAATGCTGGTTATCGGGCTCTCAAGTCGCAATTTTAACTAGAAAATATCCAACGTGGCCAAATTTTGCGGAACTTGACTATCTTAGCCACAAATCCACTCATTTTTCTCTTCCAACTTTCTGCTGTCTTGTTGAGTTCTTAAAGTTCATCTTGCCCTTCAATTTCTTCAGTTCTTGATGTTAGTCACATGGATGCATAGTTGAACTTCTGGGAACATCAGCTTTTATAACTCAATCTTTTAAGAGCACAATTGAATTACCGGTTCCCTTCTGTCTTTTTCAAGAGAACCCCGAATGCAGAACACAAGAACAAACTTTATTTCAGTGTTAAAACTGCCAAAAAATGATATCGAAACAAAAAACATAATAATAGGAAAATGAAAACAACGAGATGTGGTTGCGATAATACTTGGGGACAGGAAATGAGTAGCTGAAAACTACTGAAAGAGGGAAAAGGGATGAGGTAATCTACATTGGCAACACAATGGAAGAGATGAGGAAAAGTTAAAACAAAAAACTAAGCGCACGTTTTTTACTAGAAAGATACAATTCAATGTTCTTGTTATGCAAGAATTCGGGGAGATAGCCATTGATTGCGCTAATGGGAGATTTTTGAGAAGTTAGGCAGTGACAAACATCTTGATGACCATGGTGAAGAGCAGTCCAGACACGATGCCAGAGATGAGGGAGAATCCGGCCATCATTCCGGCGACCTGAGCTCTGGATGGGTCGACAGTCTTCGAGGTATACATCATGGCGAGTCCGGAGAAGTATCCACTTCCGAAGCTCATCGAAGCAGCGACAATGACGAACAACCAGGTGGACTCAAAGAGAACTGGCCAGGTACGGGTCTCAGGGAGGTAGTTGCAGAAGGCGAAGAATGGGATGTAGAGGAGGCGGAGGTAGACTGGGATCCAGAGCTTGTTTGGGGCAGGCTGAAAAATATATCGATTTGAATCGGATCATTTCTATATTCAGTGACGATCAATAAGGTATCCAAACATTTGTTGTTTAGCTGATTTTCGGCCAGTCCGATTTTCAAGATTCTAGAGCTCGGCCGTCAAGTTTCCGATCACTTTGAAAATTTCGAAAGGTGTGAAAGAGACCTAGATTGGAATTATTGCATTTACAGAATTTTTTGAAAACTCCTAGTTTTTATATATTCGCCCATTTCTGAGAGAGACTCCTTCTTGGCATGTTTTTGTACTGGACGCTTAAAAAACAGGTGTCTTTCAGAAAGCGACAAACAACTGAAAAACTAGGAATTTCCATAAAATCCTGTAAATGCAAAATTGTTAATCTAGGTCTGTTTTCACCCTTACAAAATTTTCACAACTATTTTAAATTTGACAGCGGAGCTACACGCTCCTGAAAATGCCGAAAATCAATAGAAAATTACGTCTTTTGCTTATCTTATTGACCGGTACTTTATAAAACCTTACCCATTGTTTTCTTCCGGCTACAATCGATCCGATGAAGGCGAAGACGTTGAATTGAAGGAAAGTGGTCACGTCCATGAAGTAGTTCTCTGAAAAAATTTCCAACTTTTTTAAAATTCTATTAAGATTCACTCACTTGGCAATGGGAAATCGTAGGTTCCGCCCTTCTTCTCATCCTTGACATACATCATGACTCCTGGGAACACGGAAAGGGTGACGAAGAAAACCAAGAAAACGTTGAGGAGCATTGGGAAGGCCTCCTTGAATGTGGCAACGTAGGTCGCCATCTTTCCTTTGTTATCTGCGGATTCCTCATTCTTGGCACGCTGTCTCTCGGCACGAGTACTGTAGAATTGGTAGAAGCGTTGTTTCTTGAGGATCAAGAACGAGATGAAGCAGAAGACCAAGGTGATGAGAGCAATCAGGAAATAGGCAAAGGCACGGTCCAAGATGTTGCGGGTCACAGCCTTGGTGGACATGCTGAGCAAGGTAACAAACGTTCCGCACAAATTGTTACCAATGATGACAGCATTGGTGTACTTGAATGGAAGTTCGCCGGCGAGACCGAAGATACTGTTCTGGTAGACTCCATTGGCACCGTTGAGGATGATGATAGTGGCAATGGTGAGGATGAAGAAGCCGGTGAGCCCTGAAAAATGGAATTAGACGGACGTTTCACAGTATGAGGGTCTTACAGGTATGTGTCTCAACGTAGATGAAGGCCATGGTGGTGATAACGCAGACAGCGACGATGGAAAGTCCAACGGTGATACGTCCAGCGAGTCCTCCTCTGAAAAATACATTTTTAAATTAGTAACTGCAAAATCCTGATTTAGCCGGAATAGAAATTGCTTTATTACCTTCTCTGATACAGTTCAAGTCTGGAATACAAGAACTTTCCGTTTTTAAAATTCATTTTCTAGAAAATCTACAGTACCAACCAATCATATTAACCATTTTAAAAATGTATTTTCTGTTGATTTTCACAAATTTCAAAAAACCCGAGCTCGACTGCCAAGTTCCCAACCAGATTGATATTTTTGGAGGATGTAAAATAGACCTAAATTAGAAACTTTGCATTCACAGAATTTTTCGAAAATTCCTAGTTTTTCAGCTACTTGCTGCGTTCTGTAGGGAGCTCCTTTTGTGCCCGTTTTTATACTGAAAACGATAAGAAAGGTGTCAGTCAGACATCCGTAAATAGCTGAAAATCTAGGAAGTTTTGATAAATTTTGTGAAAAATTTTCAATGTGAGTATCTTTTGCATCCTTAAGAATTTTCAATGGAATCGGGACCTTGACAGCCGAGCATCAGGGTCTTGAAAATGGTCAAAGTCCACTGAAATTGTTTTATTTGTATACCATTGACCGGTACTGTACTTTGGCTTCACTAATACAGTTTAAAGAAGGCGAGACAGCAAAAATTTCGGGGGACAGTTCGGGGGACGAAATCACGCCGCGCTTATGTACCCATCGGTCGTCAGGCGCCTTCGCGCCCCCGTAGCTCAGCCGGTAGCGGCGCTGTACCCCTGAGCTGCCTGTCATGAGTTCAACCCTTATAATCGGATTTTGATAAAAGCCTTTCTTATATTTTCAAACCCAGTTTGTTCTGGTCTTTGCTATAGAATGTTACATTGGAATTTTTTCATCGTTTTCAATTCAGAATAATTTCCTTAGTTCTGATAACCTATTTCTACCCTCTAGGCCCTGCCATATCAATTTCTTTATCATCTAACCGGAATCAGTCGGTCACCTAAACGAACCCAACACCTTCTACTACTGTCACCTATTTTTCGAACATTGCCGCGCCGATTAATCATATTCTGTCCGATCTCTAACACTCTAAGATCGCACATGCCACGAGGGAAGATAAGACATACTGCTTTTTGAATGCTATGATAACACTGAAATGACCTTACTTGACGACAATGAAGATGTTGAGAAGATTAAGAAGAAGGTTCGGCACTTGGGAGGCGATCGTTTGGAAACTCTGGAAGTTAGATGAATAGACAGTCGGGTCTCCGGTCACGGCTCCAGTGTCCATGTCGATGGTCGAGTTGGCGAGCATTTTGTATGATTCGAAGTACTGCAATAGGTGTTTTTATGTCTTGAAGGCAAATTATTGATCTATGGTATTTCATTATATTTCTAGCAAGCCTATATCTTGCCAGAAATGCTAGAAAAACAACAACAAGATTTTCTTGAAGAAAACCCACATCATATGAAATCGTGATGAGCATATTCCATGGCATGAGAGTTCCGATTCCGTGAAGCAAGATGATGAAGAAGACAAGATTCTTTCTATCTTCTGGAGCCTCTTCCTCGACCTCCACTGCGGTCTCCTCCACATTTTTTGGCTCGTTGAGCGGCTGAAGTTCCGTGCCTGACGACATAATACCCTGAAAACGTTAATTTTAAGCTTAAAGCGAAACGTAAGTTTCGAATATTAAGGAAAATTCAAATCCGAACGGAAATGCGATTTTATGAAATTAAGCAAAAGAAGAGAATGCGTTATTATCGCGGAGAGAACAAGTAGTAGGTAAAAAAGATTATATTGAGGGGAGGAAAAAAGTGAAAAGGCAAAAGTGAATAAAAAGGCGGATGGACGAAAACCAGTAGGCCATCATACACCAGATAACCTCCTCCTCACTCATACTGATTTAAAAATGGCGGGCTAGAGACTCGGAGAGGCCTGGGTGCGCTACGAAGGGGCACACACGCACACACACGAATGGTGTGGGGCAAAAAACGAAAAGAGAGGAGGATAGAGGGTGAACGTGCGGACTAGGGGCCTCTGGTTGTCTGCTGTCCACTACAAGGGTCACACTGTGTGCTAGAGGAAAGGCCTTGTGTTCTGTGTGTGCTCGAACCAATGACGTCAGTTGAATTTGACACTGTTAGGGGTAACTACATTATTGCTCTTTGTCCGGTGGACCTACTAATGGGTCGTTATTAGTTGGTTTGAACATTTGAAGTAAAAAAAATTCAAAAAAGAAAGCCACAGAGCATTTTTCGAGGATCTTTCTTGCCTTTTGGATGATATCTGAACCTTTTGACAGAGGTCAAATCATGTGTGTCATGTGCTTTAAAAAATCAAGGTGTAAAGTGTAGGGTCAAGTATTAATAGATCTTATATCTGTGAGAAGAGAAGAAACACTTATAAAAAAGTGCACCGAAAGGACAATATTCACAGAGATCTTTGACTATTTCAACTTCCTGTCTGACCTTCCAGGAAAGTGTAAAAAGAGTGACAGAGATTGAATGACAAGCCCGGAATCAGTCATTTTGATAGGTTTAATAGGAGCTGCAACGTTTCGATGATAGATTGAAAAGTGTTTTTGCAGCCCCGGCAGCAAAAGTACTCACTTTCAATTCTCTTTTTCTCTGAATGTTTGTCTTGATGAACAAAAAGGTAGATAGGTCAGACAGTAAAGACAAATAGATGGATGGCTCTTGCTGAAAAGTTGCCTTTTTCCTCCTTTTTTCTTTATTTTTTGCCGACCGTACGATCACGATAAAAAATTGTTGGGGTGAAAAAAATGGAAGAGATAGGACAGCGGGAGATGGGGGGAAGAAGATGAACGTGCCAAATGGATAGCAGGAGATGTGTGAATTGGAAAAAAGGGGCGGAGTTTGATAAAGGGCGGAGCTAAAAGCGTGAGCTGTACGAAAGATGAGAGATTGGAGGAGCAGAGAGGATAACAGGTCAGAATGTTTAGCTCGTAACCAAGAGCTAAAGCGAGCTACTAGAATATGGACATTAGTAAAGAAAAGGAGATTTTTCAAAAAAAATAAAGAGAAACTTAACGACAAGCAGAACATAAATAACAGCACAAAAGCGGAAAAATTTTACGAAACTATAAAACAAAAAATTACAGTACCGGACCATAATACTTCTAGTTAAACATAATTTACAAATAATTTTTCGACATTTTTCCAATTTTCAAAAGTCTAGACATCGGTTGTCAAGTTTTGAACATTTTGGATGGTGTAAAACAGATCATGATTGAAAACTTTGAATTTACGAAAATTTGGGAAAGTTCCTATTTTTCAGTTATTCGGCGATTTTTGAAAGACTAACCTTTTCAGCCCGCAGTTGTACTGAAAATGTGAAAACAAGAAGTGGCTTCCAAAAATTGGCGAATTGCTTAAAAACTATTAAATTTCAAATAATTTTGTGAATTCAAAGTTTTCAAACTAGGTATGTTTATACCCTTTAAAGGTTTTAAAAATAATCAGAAACTTGAGAGCCGAGCTCTAGACTCCTGAAAATGCTCAACATAGCAAAAAAAATTAATTGAAAAAGACGTATTTTTATATCTTATTGAGCGGTACTGGAATAATATGCTCTCAAATATTGTCAAACCTGTAATTCAATGGTTCCTTTGACCAAATTCATGATGTTACTGTAAGAGCTATTAATGAATGTTCAACTAGCACACTATTTGTAATTTAATGATCTATAATCGTTTGTTCAACACATGCATAAAACTAAAAATATCGAAAAAGATGTTACAGGTTTCACGGTATCTGTCGCAGGTGCAAAAATTACGATTTCGAGAGTTTCAAATTTATTTCGATTTTTTAATTTTGCATTTAGATGATTAGTGAAATCAATGCTTTGTACTAGACCTCTCCAGGTGAAAACTCCCAACTGATAGACAGGAGCCACATTTAAACTGATAAAATTTCTTTAGCTCCATAAAAAGTGCAATATGGCAACATTTTATAGATATTGATTAAATATGGCAACATTTAAGAAAAATTGATTACATATGGGACCATTTTCAAAAGATTTATCATTAAAAAATCTTGCGTGACAAGTTTTGCATTTTTTGAAGTGCCAATAAGAATACCTAAAACGCTGACCACTTGAATAGACCACTATTTTCTTATCAGACCTTTACCCTACTTACATGAAAATTAACACTGATTATATGGCACTTTTCACCACGTGAGTGCTAGTGTCTATAGTGTGTTGACAAGTGCAAACGAAATGGCTGCTAACATTATTCAAAAAAGGAGACAGGTTGAAAAGTGAATGCTGAATAAGTGGTCAGAGAGCGGGACACAGTTAATGAGATTATGGAAAATACTAGTAGAGGAGTGCCAGGGCATCGTTGTCTATGAATGACAGGTAGCCGACACTTAAAAGTGCAGATAGAGAAATAGTGTACAAAATTTTTACCATTACTGATTGGGAGTGAATTGACAGTAGGTTAGCATGTGAGGGACAGATGAAATTAGATTTCTCAATGAAATATTGTTCCGTTTCCCATATACCGGGAACGCCCCAATACAAAGACGGAGACCCTATACTTCTTGGAGCTCAATTCTCTCAATTTCTGTGAGAGTTATGAAAATTGAGATAATTGAGCTAAAAGGGTAAATGTGGGGCAACCTTCTATTAGGGTATCTATCAGAGTGAGTAGAGTTTTTCAAGGCAGCCTGGAAGCTTTATTTATCCTGCCGTATGTGAATTTTTTTATACAGTCTTGCTATTCTACCCCAAAGGTCACATAACACAGTTTTGCTTCAAACTTTGTCTCCCGGCCCGATAAAGTGCAGTTTTTCTTTTAAAAAATCCAATCAGGTATAATAGATGGTTTTACTACATCGCAAATTGTTCCGAACGATCTAAAAATATCTTTTTTGAGTTTACAACGAGAAATCGAATTCTTAAGTTCAAAGATCATGAATATTTGATCCCTGACATTCACATCTCAAATTTCTAGATTTTTCAAACGATAAGAACAAGATTTATGGTTCGAGATATCATATCTCACCATCTAATCTAGAAAAACTTATCAAAATATCATGTTACATATTCGTTTTTCAAGGCTCTCACAAATCCTTTGAGATTGCCGCAATCTTAGATGAAGCTGTCGTCTCGCCAGATGGCTGACCTCGACAATTTACGATCGTTCTATTCTTCGTGTTGCAGCAGAAGCATACCGGCACACGCACACTCAACGCGCGGTCAACATGTTGCCTGTCCAAGACAGAATTTTTTTGTCTTCAACTTTCATGTTGTAATGGAAGAAATGGGGAAAAAAAACGTTTTTGTATGAGCAATGGGAAAGATAGAAGAAGAGAAGGGATAGGAATCTGTAATGGTCGAAAGGTCAAAGTACAAAAATGAATGGTATTCATGGAAAATCAATTTTTAAGGCTTCAATAGCTCAATAACAATGATTCATCTTTCTGTTTTCTTTTTCAATTCTAAAAATTTGCATAAAAGAAAGCATAATGTCAACGTTTTCAATGTTTTGAAAATTCATGGCACCCCATTTTCTATTCCTTTCCATTTTGGCTTTGCTTGGTTCCGCGGAAGAAAACGAATATGATCCAAATGGGATCAACAAAATATTTCATTATCTTGAAGACCATCCCGAGCATAGTTTGAGCTTGATAATAGTGAGTCTAGCTAGCAAAACAAAATAAATACAGTATCGGTCAATAAATTCAAGGAAAACGTATTTTTCAGTTGATTTCAACCATTTTCAGAGGTCTAGAGCTGAGCTGTCAAGTATCCGATCACTATAAAGATTTTGGATGGTATAAAACAGACCTAGCTTCATAACTTTGCATTCACAGAATTTTTCGAAAGTTCTTAGTTGTTCATATATTTGCCGATTTTTGAAAGGCACTCCTTTTGGCAAGTTCTGTATTGAAAACAACACATTTGTCTCAAAAATCGTCAAGTAGCTGGACATCGAGAAATTGAAAAAAATCTGAAAAATGGGAAGTATTCAACCTAGGTCTGTTTTACATCCTCACAAATTTCCGCCAAGCTCCAGACTCCTGAAACTGGTCGGAATGACGGGAAATCAAAAGAAAAATATACTCTGATTCCCAAAATTACAGAAAGAAAATCAACTCATTGTCCGCCAGAATAATACTTGTCTACAGTTTGACTACGTGTATTTCGAGTGGGTCAACCATGAAGTAGCAAGCCCATTTCCCAATATGACTAGCAGCAATGAGTTTTGTACAGTAGTCCAGTGAGCTTAACCTTTTTGTATTTTGCTTAAAAATTCAATTCTTCAGATGTGACGACGTGTTCGGTCCTACAGAAAGTGTCGACTGCTCCAAATATTTCTAAAAACACTAATTGATAATAACTGATAATTGTTCACCCTTATATTTATTTATTTTAATACTCATAAATAGAGATGGGCTACAAGAATTTGGAATGAAGTGAGATTTGGGACAATTGTTGCCGGGATAAAAAATACAGTCATAAAGTCAGATTAACACAGATTTTCAAAGTTATGAAAGGCACTCTATTGGGGAAAAAGAAAAGTGATTATTAAATTTGTGTTAGAAAAATTAATTACAAAATAAAACATGATTTAGTTCTTATCATTTTTAGGAATACTTTTAGCTGGAGACGGTTCTGGAGAAGCGATCGCTTGATGTTTTAACCATTCCTTCTCCATTAGAACTTCGAACCATTTTTCTATGGATTCCACCACAGCATTGATCTCTTCTTTTAGTTCTCGCTGATCTTGATTTTCGATTATTTGCCGGGATGTTTGTGGTCGAGGTTTTCTTGTCTGTGGCTTCTGGAATTGGCTCATGGAAGGTACACTTTCATCAGATGTTGCTATCATTGAGAGTTTGGGGGTCTTAGAAGCGTTTGATGTGGTTCCTGATTTGGCGGACTTTGCCTTTTCTGTCTTGTTGTTGTTAGAAATTGGCTCAGACTTCACCTCTCCTGTTGAATCAGCTGGTACACGAGCATCTGGTTCATTTTCAGCCTTCTTCTTCACAATGATCACATCATCAAGCTTGGACTCGGCTTCCTTCTTAGTTGAATGCGTTATTGCAGTGTCGGTCGGTTGCAAAGAGTTTGTAGCATTGGAATTTGACACGTTAACCTTCAAATCCGACTGATCTTGAATCTCATATCCATTGATTTCTTCCTCGGGTAATGGCAATACTTCAATTATGACATTTGGCTCGTCAGTGCCAACAGGTTTGAAACTGCGTTTCTTCTTGCCCGATTTTTTCGACTTGGATTTTCCTTTTTGAGATTTCAAACTTTCGCTTTGTGATGTTTCCCTCTTCTCTAATTTTTGCTTAATCTGAAAGCATGAAATACACATTTCATTCAAAATATCGTAAAACATACCGAGAAATCTCTCAATAACGTTAAATCTCTCAAAATCTGCTCCAAATCCTCGATATGTTGCATCAAGTCTTCAGGTTCCACATCAGTCTTGGCCAGAATTTCAGCGGTTTGCTCTTTTGTGAAAATTCGCTTCTTTTGTTGTTTTCTTGGCTTTTTGTCTTTCAAAATTTCCTTTTCATCCTGATGACCTCCCACCTTTTCCGGGATTTTGTAGTTTTCATTGAGACTTTTTGATATCAGTTCCCACGCTTCCGAGTTCTTGTCGTTGAAGAGCCGAGCGGATTGGAAAAACTGAAATGTTAGAATTATTATCAACATCATGTGTTAGCACACTTACATTGAATGGAGATTCTCCAGGTTCCATGAGCTTCTCCTCGTCTGACATTCTTTTTCGATACATTAGAATATAGGGCTGGTTCTTGGCAGCTTCAGACGCATCAATCCTTGTCACTGTTACATCATCGAATTTGTACCTAAAAATTAAATTATTTTAAATTTACATTGACCAAAGTACTATCATGTTGGTACGCGAAAATCGGAGCTGTGAAAGAGAAAATCTGATTCCGGCGGCCACGGCGGAAGTCACCAGACTTCTTTTGTGGTTATCGTAAAAAAAGGACCGAAAATTTCAAGTTACGGTAGTTTTTGTTACGAGGATCCACAGCTCCGATTTTTTTGTACCAAACAATACAACGCACCATTGATTATCAAACTCATGTTTACAAAATGCCACATAGTGTCCGAATTCCATATTCCGACCATCGTGCACTACAAATCCTATCAAATCGTATATTGCCGACTTTTTGCTAGTTGTCCATGGACCGAAGTCTTGACATCTGATTGGAAACTCGACGGTTTTCCCAATCTTACAAGAGCCATAACCAGTATGACGGAACCGCTTCAGTTGGATCAGAATCACATTGGGTAATTGTCTGGCTCTAGTGGTTTTTGTGGCGTCGACAAATCTTAAAAAAATGAATATTTTTAATTTTGCAGAATTTTCAACCGTATCAAGCCTGCTTTTTGATTATTGTCAAATACGCAAGTACGCCTGAGCTAGAGATTATATTTCTGCAAGTAATTTGGAGGGTACAAACATTTGATGGTCATTGGGATACAAAATCTTCAATTCGGGGGCACAAAATCCCTGAAAATCCAATTTTGTGCTCAAAATTGTCGATTTTGAATCCACGAATCTTACGAATCGTTATACCCGCCAAATCATGCGTTTTTTTTTCATTGAGCTTGATCAAACTAAATTTGTCTGACTCACGTTTTACAGTTGCTACATGAATACTTGTTGTCCCCGCTGAGAATTGAATTCTGAAAGAACATGCCCAGGCATCCATCTAGGCTGATTTTATGAGCTGCTTCTTCGTTGACGACGTATCCCGGGTCCTGCCCATCGTTCAAGTCATCAATGACAGGCCGTTGGTGTTTTGGAGATTTTTTCGGTATTATGTAGATGTCGTCAAACTCGTCTTCACTGAGAATTGGGATGGAGAGATCCTGGAAAAAAACACCAGTGTTATGGCGCGTCCAAAATTCCTAAATCTGGGATTTCTGAGCCCAGAAAGCAGTCCAAAGTGACGCCCAGATTCCCAAGATTTCCAATTGGGCAAAATTTGAACCAGTGCGACAATTTCATTTTTCATTGCATCAAAATGTGCAAAAAAGCATGTAATTTACATAAAAATAAAGAAAAAATTGGAAAAAAATCCTTCGTTAAGAACAACGCCAGGGGTCTTATCCGGAAAAAAAGTCATTTTTCGATGCCGTTTTTCTCAATGAAGAAAATTTTTTCGAATACTTTCTTTATTTTTATGTCAATCTACATGCTTTTCTGCACATGTTGATGCAATGAAAAATTAAATTTTCGCACTAGTTCAAATTTTGCGCAATTGGAAATTTTGGGAATCTGGGCGTCACTTTGGACTGCTTTCTGGGCCCAGAAATCCCAGATTTGGGAACTTTGGACGCGCCATTAGTGTTTCTTCTTGAATTTTGTATACTATGCTAAACTTGTGGCGATGCGTTAAACCAGACGTGAAAACAGTGAAATGTTTTTTGTTAGAGGTTTAGAGATACGGTATCGAAGGCTCTTGCATTCATTTTTCAATTTTTTTTTTTCGCTCCTGGATGCGCCTTTAACTGTATCTTCAGTCGCAACCCGCATTGCCGTCAGACTAAAGTAATATAACCTACCAAAAAATTCTCTGTAGTCACTGATCGAAAGCCACATGAGTGACAACGAATTTGATTTTCCAGCACTCCTTGGAAACACGCAGTTATCACGGTTCTTGTCGTCCGATTTTGCAAAGCAATCTCATAGTCATCCATTGGATTACCAAAGGCAATACAGTCATTACAATCGTAATATTCCGCACAAGCCTTCAGGTCTCGATCGAGGATATCTAAAAGATTTCGAAGGAATTCACTGGCATCTTGTTGTTGGAAAGTCTCAAATCCAGGGAGTTCATTGCGTACACACTAAAAATTAGAGCATTTACATTCTCAAAGTTTAGGTAACAAAACTCACTTGAATAATTTTCCATGGACTAGAAAAGTTATGAGCATTAATCGGTGAATACATCTTTCTCAAATCTATTGCAAATTGAATGACTGTCTTTGGCACATCAGGAGGACATACTCGCCATCCACCCGGTGGTTCCTAAAAGAATAATCTTGAAGTTTTTGATTTTGTTGATATGCTCACCATGCTAATGAGGTAATGTACAAATGGTGGACAGTGAGCAAGTAGCTGTAGGACTGAATTGATGTAGCAAGTGTTTCCAAAGTTGATATATCCCAGAAGACCTTTTTGAAGAACCTCGCTCTTCTTTTTTGGTAGACTTTTCTGTGGCATTTTGCCGGCTGCTAGCTGAAAAATCAAATGTTTACTTCTTTTTTTTCAATTTCAAAGTTGTGACTAATGCATACAGTACCGGTAAATAAGATATACCAAAATGCATTCTAAGTTGATATTCGGTCATTTTCATCATTTTCAAGATTTCGGAGCTCGACTGTTAATTTTCCGATTACTTTGGAAATTCTGTAGGGTGCGAAACAAACCTATGGAAACTGTGAATTTTTAGAATTTTTGGTAATTTGTATTTTTTCAGCTATTTAAAGCTATTTGAAAGAAGCATTTTTCTGGCCTGTTTTGCACTGAAAACGTGAAAAAATAAGTGCCTCGGAAATTGATAAATATCTGAAAATAGAACTTTTCAAAAAATTCTGTAAAAACAAAGTTTTTAATCTAGGTCTGTTTCACAACTACAAAAGTTTTCAAAGTGCTGGAAAACTTGACAACCGAGTTTCAAACTCTTGAAAATGGTCTAAGTGGGCGAAAATCCACTGAAAAATCCTTTTTTGTATATCTTATGGACGGGTACTGTATGTATTTTTGTCCAGCGGTGATGAACTTTGCGGCTAACATTTAATTTAAAGACGCATCATCGGACCAGCCGTGAAACCTGTATTATTTTTTTGAATCAATTCATGCACCTTGCACCGAAAATTGGCCAAAGTAAATTTTTTTCGAGGTACGGTATCGAAGGCTCACTGTTTTCGACCGACGATGAGCCATCAAATAAAATATCGACGGCAAGATTCACCACCGCCGGACAAGAATAATATCTAATCTCTTACCCTCTTGGCATGATGCTTCAAGAAATGTTCCAGAGATGTTCGAGTGTCACAGCGTGTGCATAGAACAACTTCAAACGCATGATGCAGCATGGCTGGATGATTGTGAGTCTAAAAAATATTTATTTTTAGCGATTTTCCCATTAGTCCTACAATGATACAATGATCTTACAATGATATGTGGAAAGATATGTTTCAAATTATCGCAACAATTCGCTTTGGCTTCTTTAACACAACCCTTGTGTATACACGTAAATGTTGATGTTTTTGGGCAATCTATGCATCTTCTGGGCTTGTTGAGGATGGCAAGAACTTCGGAAGTGTTGGAGTCAAGCATATGATGGCACCACTCTCCATAATCTTCTTCCTGGGCATTTCTAGGAGAGACCTGCATTGGAAATTGATTGTCTCAAACTGACGTAATAAGGAACTTACCGGTGGGCATTTGTTTGAGTTGTGGTCCTTGGTATCTATCGATTTGGCCTCTTGCTGTGGTGAGGGTCTCTTGGGTTGGGAAGGTGGTCCCTTGTTGTTTGCTGGTCCACTGTTGTGTTTGACCTTGGACTTACGGCCCATTCTGCAATAAAGAAGTTTTTAAAATTGGTAAATCTGGTATAAGGAGAGCAAATGGAAACTAGAGAGCAAAATTTTGGTTATACGCAACCAATAAAGTTGTAAACAACTATTTAATAATAGATTTTGTCAACGTCGACAAACTTTTAAATAGAAAAATCTTAATTAAAGCTCAAGTTCCCGACTCAGTACATGAAAACCAATACAAAAACAAAAAATAAGCCAAAAACTCATTGTGGTCAACGATTACAATTCAAATGTTACAAAGACGACGTTAATGAGTGAGGCATCATAAGGGTCAACACAACAATGAAGAGAGCGCAGACACATAAACGGAAAACAACGACACTCCACTAAACAAGGCGCAGTATACCTCCCCCGATTTTTGTTCGGTACCTATTTTTCTTGCTTTTTCTGTAATTTTCACAGTGATTTGACAATTGATATACAAACAAAATTGATTAAAATGATCACTGGGAAGATAGTAATCGATTTTTTCCAATTTACGCCGACTAATTTGCGCATTCAAGGCGATTTTGCGCTGCAGAACAATGATTCTGGTTTATTGATCGCTAGAGCTCTTGGAACGATGCTCTTTTTCATCTCACTTCTCCCAACTCCTTTATCAGTACAAATTTTACCTTTTAATTATTGAAATTTTTAGAAAACAATGTTGGGTAGAAAGATCGCCGGTACCTGTCTCCGCGCTGGAGTGCCGTCGGTCACTGCGACGTCTTCTACCCCAGTTTCCCAAAAACGCAACTCCCACACTATCTGGTACCCGGATGCAAAGTTCGAGCGTCAATTCAAGGTAACATTTTTAGAAAAATTGTGATAAATTATGAGACAAATCGATTTTTGCAGACCGGAGGTACCCTCGGCAAGTTGTGGATGTCGGAGCGCGTGTCGGAGTTCGACGAACAGATCGGACTTGACAAGCTTGAGAAGTTGGCCTACTCGGATCCAGTGTTGAGCGACAACTACGGCGGAAAACAAAGGTGAGCGGAGTGTATGAGCGAACATGCTAAGCATATCAAACTTGCAGAGAAAAGAATCTGGAGAACATGATTCTCAATTTCGGACCACAGCATCCAGCTGCTCACGGAGTGTTGCGTCTCGTGTTGAAACTCGAAGGAGAAGTCATCATCAAGGCTATCCCACATATCGGGCTTCTTCATCGTGCCACCGAGAAACTCATCGAGCATAAAACCTACACACAGGTATGAGAATAAGGGTGGAAAATCGATCAAAGGGCACATAACTTGGAGGGGTCAACATTTCAAAGGTACAAGGGGTACAAAGTGATTTAAGCGTCTCAAATCCACAATTCGGGGGTACAAAATTTGCCTTTTTCAGATATTTTGCCCTCCAAATTGTGGGTTTTGTACCCCTGAATTGCTTTGTACCCCAATGACCTCAACATGTTCGTACTAACCGAATTATGTGCCCTATAATACGTTAGGTTGTAAGAGAAGAAGACTCGGTCTTGGAAATATACAGATTTTGATTTCGCAGTTTCTAAGAGTTAAACCATTGCTCATTTATTCATTTGCTCTTTTTTATTTTGTTTGGGTAAAGAGCCTGTGATGAAGAAAACGCGGGAATAAAGGAGAAATGGATAATTTAGAGCCAAAATTGGTTATCATTGCCACATTTCCCCAAAAAACCCCTAATAATCAGTAAAAAATATGTTGAAAAAGCTTCAACACTTACTAAAAAGCACGAAATAGGCTCAACCAACTCATAACATCTATTTCCAGGCCCTTCCATACTTCGACCGTCTCGACTACGTCTCCATGATGTGCAATGAGCAAGCCTGGTCGTTGGCCGTTGAGAAGTTGCTGGGTATCGATATTCCACCAAGAGCCAAGTACATCAGAACACTTATGGGAGAGCTCACCCGTATCCAGAACCACATCATGGGTATCACCACTCACGCTCTTGACGTCGGAGCCATGACTCCGTTCTTCTGGATGTTTGAAGGTGAGTCTTCGAAGCACGAGAGTCTTCTGAGCACCTCTTGAATAAGGTTGAAAACTCTGAGGGAATGATAGAACAATCAGCAAGAGAATCCCTGTCAAATTTACCTTATGATTCATTTTACAGAACGTGAGAAGCTGTTCGAGTTCTCCGAGCGCGTGTCCGGAGCCAGAATGCACGCCAACTACGTCCGTCCAGGAGGAGTCGCTTGGGATATGCCAATCGGACTCATGGATGACATCTATGACTGGGCCATCAAGTTCCCAGAACGTATTGATGAACTCGAAGACATGCTCACCGAGAACCGTATCTGGAAGGCCAGAACCATCGACATTGGACTCGTCTCCGCCGCCGACGCTCTTAACTGGGGATTCACTGGAGTGATGGTCCGTGGATCCGGAATCAAGCAAGACGTTAGAAAGACCCAGCCATACGACGCTTACGATCAAGTCGAGTTTGACGTGCCAATCGGAACCAAGGGAGATTGTTACGACAGATACTTGTGCCGTGTCGAGGAAATGAGACAATCGTTGAACATCATTCATCAGTGTCTCAATAAGATGCCAACCGGAGAAATCAAGGTGGACGATCATAAGGTTGTGCCACCAAAGAGAGCTGAGATGAAGGAGAACATGGAGTCGCTCATTCATCACTTCAAGTTCTTCACCGAGGGATTCCAAGTGCCACCAGGAGCTACCTATGTTCCAATTGAAGCTCCAAAGGGAGAGTTCGGAGTGTACCTTGTTGCTGATGGAACCGGAAAACCATACAGGTAAATGTTCTAAAAAGCCAGAAAATGATTCGGACGAGAAGAAAACTTCGGCAGCCTTGTCGGCAGCTCACCGTCCCTCAGAATTGCTGACACTGAATACTGTCCTGCTAGCAGCACGCCAGTGGGAACTCTAATCTCGTCTGAGAAATTGTTCAAAAATCTGAGGGTTGTATAACCCCTGACAAGAGTTAGTGTTTAATCAACTCCCAAAAAGCAACTGCATTTTCTAATATGAAAGCCTACCCGAACCGTCAACTTTGAGCTCCATTATCTAGATTCTTGGGAAAGATGTTAAAAATTGGTCAACTGATGAAATATTCATCATAATATCACCAACAATTTATAGGTTGACAAAATTTTGGTATCTTTCACATGAATTGAGATCATTAGGCTCGAAGTTGACGATTCGGGCGGGCTTCTATCAGAGGAAGTCAGTGGATTTTTGGTGACCGCTACCTTGCTCCCGTCTTGCGCCTTCAAAATCCTGATTCACCAAAAATCATTCCAGGTGCTTCATTCGCGCTCCAGGATTCGCTCACTTGGCCGCTATTCACGACGTGTGCTACATGTCTCTCATCGCCGACATCGTCGCTGTTATTGGTACTATGGATATTGTGTTCGGAGAGGTCGATCGATAAATACTCAACGTTTAGGACATGTAGACGGATTTCTTTATAGCACTTTGTGTCACTCTCTCATATATTTATCCAAAAAAACGCAACTGACTCTCGAAATGTGTGTGTTTCTTCTGTTTTATTTTTTCTGCAAAAAAGTGTTTCTCGAAAAAATGTAGATTCGTTCTCTGTTGTTTACACGTTTCTTGATGATCCGTCAATAAAGAGTCTTGAGGAAAATATTACTAGCTTAAAAATTTTTCATACTAAGCCGAACTTAGAACCCATTTTTAGAGTTGGTGACCGAAATTTATGGATTTATCAAATTTCCTTCAATTTGATCCGAGAATTTTGCAACATTTCGTCCGTTATTAGATTCAGAATTTTTTGTGATATGTTCAAAAAACAAGAAATTAATGCTCAATCGTTTATTTATTCGATATCCATCACAAAATTAGTACTCTGGTTGAGGAGCTGTTCCGTCCCATATCTCGCGGAGAGTCCAGCAGACGTGATCAATCCAGCAGACGTCACGAATATGGCAGTCGCTGTAGTTGTAGCAGAACTTTCTCTCGCCTTCTTTCGGCCCTCCCCATTCAGCCACGGATTGTGAAGGGAAAATGAAGACGAGGAGAAGGAAGTTGAAGAGCTTCATTTTCTGGAATAGGATATTTCAGAAATATCTTGAATTTTTCGAGACCGATCGTTCTACATATATACTCGAAGAAAGAGGAGGAATCATAAAAACAATTTGCATATGATTTTCAGTGGGAAAACGGAAAATTTTTCAATTTTTGTGTGGGTGGAGGCTATAAGTTTTTGATCGCTTGTATTTTTTTTGATCATGGGAACGTTGGAAGATTTTCAGAACCACATTTAAAAAAAGGCAAGACACAAAAAGGTTTCCAGATATTTTGCAAAAATAATTGGGAGAAAAAACTATCAGAGAGCACTAATTGAGAGCCGATTCATTTGGATTTGGGCTTATCGTCCTAATAAAAAAAGAACAAAGAATATAATTCGACTTTCAAGAGGCAGCTTTTATGCTTTTATAGCACGTTGTGAGAAATAAGGACTGGTTTTTTCACTCATTCTGAATTTAACACTGACAATGCTGGCTAATAAAATATTTAAAACAAACTTTAAATAGATTTGATCATTTTCTGGAGCCTGGAGCGCGTTTTTTTTTGCACTGAAATCGTGAAAAAATATGTGTCGTCCAGAAATTGGTAATTATCTAAAAAATATAATTTTCAGAAACGCTGTAAATGCAACATTTTCAATCTAGATCTGCACTCTCTAAAACTCTCTTTACACTCTCTAAAGTTTTCAAAGTATTCGGAATCTTGACAGCTGAGTTCCAGACTCATGGAAATGATCCCGCTGAAAAAGACTTTTGTAGAATTTGGCAATGTTGTTCTAAGCTTCATTTAAACGATTAGAAAAACTGATATTACTAATTCAACATGTTCTGGGAAAAATTAATCAAAACAATACTTCATTTTCAGAACGTACTCGCAACAATAATTCAAAAAAAAAAAAGAAAAAAAAACTATGTGCATGAAAAATACTATGTAAGGAATGACAGAACGCGTTGATGGGGTTGCACTTCGGGATGCCAAAGCTGAAGGATGAGAACCAGTCGGAACGATGATGAAGAAGCGCCGTCGAATTGGAGCTGTATACAAAATAGATTTTCTTATAGTTTATTGAGAATTTTTCCCACCTCGTGTTCAAAACTGTCATCGTATATTATGAACTTTCCAGACCTCCATCCTTTTGTTTCATTCCCCACTCGTATCCTGGCTTCTGAAGGAGACACAAGACCTAAATGAGCTTGAAGGTGGTAGTTGGTAGGACCACAGTGTGGTAAAATGGATGCACCGGATGATAGCACTGATAGATACATCTGAAATGTCTTTTTTAGCAATCAAACGCTTTGAAAATTAATCTAACCTCTGATTTACTGGCATTGCTGGAAGAAGCAAACTCTTGGAGGATCAAACAAGTTTGTGGCATTCGTTCACAGCTAGATTTAACAAAATGTTGTTCTGACATAATTGGGAAATATTTCCATTGTCCGTCTATCACCAATTGTTGGTTATTGTCTAACCAACAATCATTACAATCTTTCAAAACTTCCATTCCCTCTTGTCGAATGGTTGCCCACTGTCGTTCTACAGTTTTCAAGAATTTCGAATATGGAGTTTGATCCATATTCCACCAAGCTCTTCCGGTGAGTCCTTCGATATTATACAAGCTTCTCTGTTGAGCAGTCATGAACACTCCCATCTGAGCAGCTTTTTGGTAAACTGCATCGGCTTCTGATTTTTTGCCAAGTGTGGTGAGACCGTGTCCAAGTTGATAGTAGAATTTGGGATCAGTGATTTCGTTGTCAGCAAGTTTCAGACTTTTCCTCATCAATGCCACTCCTTGTTCTACTTTGTCATCGTGAGCCTGAAAATCATTTTTGATAGTTGCATGGTTATGAAACACATATACCTAACTTTGAACTTTGCGTCAATTTATCTCGTTTCATGTGAAAGATATCGAAAATTTGTCAATTGCTAAATTGTTGTTCATAACGTCACCAATATCTTATTAATTGACAAAATTTTGATATCTTTCACAGGAATCGAGATAATTGAGCTCGATGTTGATAGTTAGGAGGTCTTCTCTTACAGGTTTTTGGGTAAACTTTTTTTTGGGACAACTTATTGGTAAAACATTCACAATCCTTGGTTCCAAAAACTGAGGTCTAACAGTCGTGATACTGAAAAAATAAATTTCCTACAAATTATGGAAATTGGAATTTAGTGATGATTATTGTAAAACTGGCAACTCAAGGTCCCCTTAACTTTAAACTAATTTATCTCGGCTTTTTTGAGAAATATAAAAAGGTTGCCAACTGATAAAATGTTTATCATAATATCTCAAACATTTTATGACACATTCTCTGACAGAACCAAAAACAGTGCTGTACAGAAAAATTCAAACTTTTTAAAAAAAAAATTCAAACTTTTCTAGCTGATTTTTTATATATTTCATGTTTATGGACTTCTAAGGTATATAAAATACAGTTTGTCCCGACTTGTCCCACACCTGCAAAAATATGATCGTGGGGTGTCTAAAAAACTTTTTTTTCAAAAGTGAAATAATGATTAAGTCTTATTGTAGAACGTTTTTAGGCACTATTTTGAACTGTTTTTGTATTGGCACTATGTTTATATTCTTCCATCTTCCCTGGAAAAATGTCAATTTTTGGCATAACAGCTATTTTTTGGACCAAAAAAATGACCGTCCTGGAAAAATTTCCATTGTTTTATAAAATTAAACATAAAATTTAAATTCTATCATGAAAAATACATCAGAAACTGTTTTGAGATGGAAGATAAACCTGAGCCCCCTATGAGTTTTAGGCTAAAATGTGTGAAAAATGAGCTTTCATCATGTAGTACATGGCACCTAGAATTCGCCCAAAATCGACCCTCATTTTTGATTGGTAGTATTTTGGCAAAGTTTCAGAATCCGTGCTCATTGTCTTTGTGCATTTTCAGAAGCACCAAAAAAGCGACAAAAATTGCTTCCAAGTCAATTTTCAGTGAAAAAATACGAGCTCTAGAAATGCACGAAGACGATGAAAACAAAGCTTGAAACTTCACCAAAATACTACCAATCAAAAATGCAGCATCTGGTGGAAATTTCATCAAAATTGGAGAGGTTCGATTTTGGGCGAATTCTAGATGCCATGTGCTCCCCCACATGGTGAAACCTCATTTTTTCTCACATTTTGGTCTAAAACTCAGAGGGGTTCAGGTTTATCTTCTACTTCAAAACAGTTTCTGATGTACTTTTCAATGTAGAATCTAAATGTTTTGTTGAATTTTATAAAATAATGAAAATTTTTTCCAGGACGGTCATTTTTTTGTCCAAAAAATAGCTTTTTTGCCAAAAATTGAAATTTTTATAGGGAAGATGGAAGAATATAAACATAGTGCCAATACAAAAACAGTTCAAAATAGTGCCTAAAAACGTTCAACAATAAGACCTAATCATTATTTCACTTTTGAAAAAAAATTTTTTAGACATCCCACGACCATATTTTTGCAGGTGTGGGACAAGTCGGGACAAACAAATCTCACATACCTTAGAAATTCACAAACATGCAATATATAAAAAATCAGCCAGAAAAAACAAGTTTGAATTTTTCTGTACAGCACTATTTTCGGTTCTGTCAGAGAATATGTCTTAACAAGATACTTTGCTCTAAACCTTGTTTTTCTCAGACAGCACTACTTACCTTCAAAATGTATCCATAATAAGCCATTGCAATCACATGATTTGGATCATTGGCCAACACATTTCTCAGTACCATTCGCGCATCTTCGTATCTTTTCATCATCACAAATGATACTGCGAAATCAGTTTGCAAGTTCAATTCCTCTGGGAATCGATCTATAAAGACACGATGAGCATTCAGAGTTTTGTGAAGTTGACCACGGAATCTAGTTTTCTCAATGAGACGTTGAGCAGCTTGTCTGTAAAGAACCCAATGAATGAAACTTCCTCCCTAAGGCTAGGCACCTGAAAAGAGCATCAGGTACACCGCTATTGTCCAGAATCTTTTCATAAATCTCAATTGCTTTATCTCTATCCGTTTCATCTGCTTCTATCTCTCCTCGAATGTCATAGGCGCGAGCTTTTCCAAAGTATGCTCTAGTAGAAGCTGGGTAGACTGCGATGACATGATCGAACAGTTCCATTGCTTCTTCATACTGATGCTAAACGCAATTTTTCTATACAACTTGCCACTTGGTAACATGAATTGGTTGTTAATAAAACAAATAAGCATGAATCAAACATTTTATTAGACACTAAGACAGACATACATAATAGCGATGAAATGGAAGGGAAAGTGATAACAGAAAAGAATTGAAACAGGAAAATTGAATGGAAAAGGAAACATATTCTAAACAGTTCTCTACACAAAAAATTTATATTTAGAAAAATATATCTGGCCTTTTCATTTCTCCTTGTTTCAACTCTTCTCTCTCACTTTAATCGCACCCATTCCATCGCTGGACCGGACCCTGGTTTTGATTTAAAAAAAAACAAAAAAAAACACTGATGGAGTCAGATTGGTACGTGATAAGCACATACACCCGCATTCAAAACGTTATTATTGAAATGAATAGAAAATAAAGGAGAAAAACAGTCTAATTGAATCGAAGAAGCAATCACACACAGCAGAAACCGGTGGCTATTGACGTTTTTTGCCCTTAGTTACCAGCTTGCGACTTGACTTTTTCAGAGGAATATCTACCTTCTCAACAAGGTTATCCGCTCTGTCTAGAATGTCACGGAATCCGATTTCTTCTTTTGTTGTGATGGCGTGACGTTTGTAGGAGCTACTGCTTTCTCTGAAAGTGGAAGTTTGGAGGAAATAGAACTTGGGAAAATAGAATGATTAGTAGTTCATGAGAATTTCGTCAATAAAACATTTGAACTTAAAATCCCAGTTTCTGTATAGCCCTAAAATGACAACACATCCAAATTTGATCCTAATTATCTTCATTGCTGTGAAACACATTAGAAATTTCAACTGATAAAGCGTTGGTGATGTTATGAAAAACAATTTATCAGTTTCCAGTTTTTTAAACTATCTTTTACGAGAATCAAGCTGATTGAGCTCAAAATTGACAGTTTTCTTCGAAGAAAAAAATTTTAAGGGTTTTTTCGTAGCGCTGAATTCATAATTTTTTGGACAGCATTCTTTGAGATGGTTTGATACAAAAAATCAACAAGAATTATGATAAATGATTTACGACAAAAAATTTAGAAAAAAAAACGGAAATTTCTAGAATTTTATCACGGGAACAACTCGGTTCGAGCAGTGCCGAGATGTTTCGATTACCGTAAAACCTGTAATAGAAGGGCTCCATAACATTTAACTTGGAGCCAATTTATCTTGGATCTTTTGGATGATATCAAAAAGTGGTTAATTGACAAAATGTTTATCTGATTATCGCAAAAACTTTATCCGTTGACACCTTTCTTATAACACTTATAGGAATTGAGATAAATGACCTCAAACTTGGCAGTGGGTGGGCTCTTCTATAACAGGTTTTATGGTAAGCATCAAACAGTAAAAGTATGAATGCTTGTCATTCTACAGTGCGGTATATATAAGACCCCCCTAATATATATAAGACCCCCCTAAGTTTTGGGCGCACAAACAAAACTAGAAGAGATATCGGAAAACGGTCAACGCCGTTCGATTCACAATCAAAAATAACTTCTGGAAAAAAAATTTCATGAATTTAGCACTTTCCCTGAAAATGTACCATCCAAAAACCCCATTTGCAAGCGGTCAATATCTATACGACCACATGGAAAATGAAAAATCTCAAGTATTTTAGAGAGCAAAATTGAACTTTTTTTGGTTGGAAGCCGTTAAAATAGTCCTTAAACAACATATTTTGACAGTTTATACAAAAATTGATTCCTCTATTCAAGTTTTAGAAAAAATTATTTTCAGACATTTTTATCATTTTCTGAGTTTTTGGAATAAATCTCGAATAACTTGGCTCCTGGTTAAGATTTTGAGCTGAAATTTATAACGAAAATTCTAAGAGTAATCATGACCATGTTGCAAGTGTTTAAGGCTATTTTTAGTCCTGGAAACTTGAATCTGAGCTTGAGCTTTGAGCTGAAAAAGTATACCCCACTGAAAATTTTTCAAATCTGTCGAAAATGTTTGAATGATGTCCTAAATGGTTTAAATTGTTTTCAAAATAGTTATTTTGTACTGAAAAATAAATTTCAATAGCTAAATCAGGTTTTTTACAAACATCAAAATCACAAAATTTCAAGGTCAATTTTTTCAAATTTCAATTCAGCTTCAATCACAAACAACGGCTCAGAATAGCTTAACAACAGTTACTAATGAAATTCAGACCACTGCGAAAATTGTTCCTATCATTTACAGCTCAAAATCTTACCCAGGAGTCAAGTTATTCGAGATTTATGTTGTTTTAGGACTATTTTAGCAATTTCCAACCAGAAAAAGGTCAATTATGCTCTCTGAAATACTTGAGATTTTTTCATTTTCCAGGTGGTCGTATAGGTATTGACCGCTTGCAAATGGGTTTTCCGGATGGTACATGTTCAGGGAAAGCGCTAAAATCATGAAACTTTGTCTCTAGAAGTTATTTTTGATTGATTGTGAATCGAATGGCGTTATCTGTTTTTCAATATCTCTACTAGTTTTGTCTGTGCGCCGAAAACTTAGGATGGTCGTATAGATATTGACCGCACTGTAGAATGACAAGCATTCATCCTTTTAATGTTTGATGCTTACCATAAAACCTGTTATAGAAGAGCCCACACACTGTCAAGTTTGAGGTCATTTATCTCAATTCCTATAAGTGTTATAAGAAATGTGTCAACAGATAAAGTTTTTGCGATAATCAGATAAACATGATATTGACCGCACTGTACTTCGAAAAAAAGAAGTATCAAACTGAAGTCGACTAGAAAACATTGCCAACACTTTAAAAGAATGACTTTAAATTTGAACTTTTGAGCCAATATATCTCGGCTCCTGTCGAAGATGCTCGAAAATGGTAAACTGGCAATATTATTTTGATATTAAGATAAACATTTTGTCAGTTGACTACTTTGTGATATCTTCTACAGGAAATGAGATATCCGGGCTCAAAATTGATGGCTTGGAAGGTATTTCAATATAGTGTTTACCGAACTTGCCCAGTCCAAATAGCAGAAAATAAACAAGATTTTTTTGTGATAAAACTAGTTACTTACTTATCTGTGAGTCTCTCATCCACATCATCATCATTGTCATCGTCATCATCATCTCTATCATTTTCCGCTCTCTCCTCCTCATCATCGTCATCATCATCGTCGTCTTCATCGAACTCGTCATCCAGAATATTTTCGACCATTGACTTCTGGAATAAGCATAGGAAGTTAGTGTTGTTGAATGATACCTATCAGGAACTGCTAGTTGGTACCATCAACCCACCTTCTTCTTCTGTATCAACAATGACTTTCTTGGCTTCAAACTCTCATGACCAGGGCAATCCTGATGAATGCATTCTCTTTTGCCTCCATGGCGTGGACGATTCTCCTTCCGACTCTCTCGCATGTGTTGGCGACGGAGACGCTGAGCTTCACGATGTGAAACATGAGGCTCATCATCATCGTCGTCTTTCTGCTCAACTTTCTTATCAGATTTGGACTCGGACACCTTCTTTTTGCCTTCTTCTCCATCTTTATCGTCATCGCCATCATCATCATCGTCGTCGTCGTCTCCATCATCTTCCTTATTTTCATCCTTCCCATCATCCTCCTCATCATCGTCGTCGTCATCATCATCATCGTCATCATCATCATCTTCATCGTCGTCGTCGTCAAGATCTGGCTCTTCTTTGACAGGTTGGTACTTTTTATGCTTCTCCTTTTTCTCTTCCTTTTGATTGTGCGCTTTTTGCTTGCTGGATGGCTTTTGTGGTACTGGCTCTTCTACATCATTGTCATCATCATTATCGTTATCGTCATCATCATCTTCCTTCAAATTCTCAACCTTCACGTTCTTCTGTTGTTTCTTTAGTTTCCGGAGTTCTCTTGGATTCAAAACTTGATCACTTTTAGTTTTTGGCTCTTCTTTCACGGACTTCTAAAAAACACAACAAAATCTTGCACTAAAACACCATTCAAATAAAGTACCTCGTTTAACCGATCAGTAATCTTCTTTCTAAGCCCCGCAAAGAGTCTTCCTCCTAACGTCTGCTCGTTTGATTCCTCGTCGTCTTCATCATCTGCTGAAATCATACGTTTAATGGGATTCTAATCAAGATCATCTGGACTCACAATCCGTCACTTGAGCTGGCGGCGGTGTTGTTTTTTGCTGCGTCGTCTGCTGCTCATGTTTCTTGCCGGCTCGCTGACTGGGCTGCGGGGGCTCATCGTCGCTGAAAAAAAAGCAAGAGATGAAACATGACCAATTACAAGATGTTGGAAATTTGAAACGTTTCGGTTTCCGGTTGCTAATGATCACATCCTGTGAAGATCGGATTAACGCACTACGACTTACTCATCATCATCGTCATCGTTGTCATCGGTTGCAGGATGGTTGTAGACAGGAACATCATCATCATCTACTGATGAGTGTCGTGTGAGATCTGAAAAAAAGAAATTAGATGATGAGATTTTTTGAAAAGGTTACACCCACCATGATGCGAATCTCCAGCTTCTTTTGCGGAGAAAATTGTATACAGACTAGAGCATAAGAATATGAAAACCAATAGAACAATCCAAGTTCTTGCGCCGCCCTGAAAACTTTGAAATTGGCATTATTTGTGAGAGACTATGTCTAAATGGCTAATTAATTTCATAAGACTCGTTATGCATAGAGTACCAGTTATGAAAATATACAAAAACATTATTTTCAGTTTTTCAGTTGATTTTGACTATTTTCCAAAGTCCGGAGCTCGGCTGTCAAGTTTCCGGCCACCTTGAAATTTCTAGAAAATTTGAAAAAGACTTAAAATAAACGTTTTACAATTACTGAATTTTTCGAAGTCTCATAGTTTTTCAGCCATCTTCCGATTTTTTTGACATTCTTTTTTACCTGTTACTGTACTGAAAAAGGGAAAACACGAATGGCTGCGCTAATCGGCAAGTACCAAAAGAACTAGTATTTTAAACAAAAATTCTGTAAATACAAAGTTTTCCATCTAGGTCTGTTTTACACCTCAAAAATTTTCAAAGTGGCCTAACACATGGCAATCGAGCTACAGATCCCTGAAAATGGCCAAAATGGCCAACAAATATTCCGAAAAACACGTTTTTGTATTTCTTTTTTGGTATTTGAGCATTTTAAAAACTATTGCCAATCCTCAACTCACCTTTGTCACACTATAATCAACTTTGGGTACAGGTGTTAGGGCAACCGTAAGAACTGGATTCACGCCAGCTGAAAAAAAACTTGTTTAAGAAAATGACATAATAATTATAGTTTAGAGTTCAAAAAGAAATGTTTTCTTCCCAATCTTGTCAAATTCTTTTTTTTTTGTTGAGATTTCTTTCTTTTCTTTGTGTTTTCCATTTTTTTAGAAAACATATGTAATTTTTGAACCACAAGTGGGTTTTTTTTGTTTTCGGGATACTAACAATTTTTGACTAAAACGACTTTTCTTACTCGAATGGGGTCCCATCAATTCAAGAAATGTAGATGTTGTCGTGGCTACACAAAGAGCATTTTGGTTTTGAAGGCACATTAGGTTAAGAAAAAAAAGTGTCGAAATGACTTTGCTTTTCAAATCTGGCAAGACGCCCCCCCCCCCCCCCCTCCCCGAAATTTAGGTTTGCTCAAAAGTTGGAAAGTTGGTGGGAGTGTATATCCTAAGTAAACAACAAGGCGAAATGAATGAAGTAAAATAGAGTTTTGATTTCGCTCAAAAAATGAAGGTTTTTAAAGTTCAGCGACACTAAAAATGAATTTAACAATATATAACTTTTCCTGGAGAAAAAAAATATTTTTCCAGGAAAAAAAATACCACTCAAAATACATATGCCAAGGTAATATGAACTTACAAAAATTCTCAAAATAAGCAGCTGGAAGATCCGGAAAGTTAGAAGCACTTTCTCTGTTGAATCTTCTAGACAAACGGTTATAGGAACTCAGAGGTCTCCCCTCTTCACCATAATTGATATGTCGTAATTTGACAGAGCCATATGGAGAATCACTGTTTTTGCAGCATTGTGCAGAACTTGCATACATCAGCAGCAAGTCAAGTTTTTGAATAAAAATGGTGGGTCAAATGTCGTGGAAGACCAACCAGGGATGCACAACGAAGAGATAGAGATGGAGAGAGGGTTGGACTTTGTGAAGCGAAGACAGAAAGTGAGTGCTTATTTGAGTACTATGCGCGGGCCGATTTCCTTCCTCTCTCCACCCCTTTTCTCCTTCTTTTTATCCGTCTTTCGGCCGCCGATTCACCCAATAAATTTGATATCTTTTTATTTCCTTGCGCTCTTTTGTATCAAAATGAGCAAAAATGCAATATGATGACGTTGTGGAGTTATGAAAGGCGAATGAGACAGAAGAAAATGGCTAAAAAAGAGAAATGTTGCTTTTTGGTGCCCGAGACAGAGTGAGCAGAGCTTTTAATAAGTAGCTGGAAATACCAGATGATTCGTGTTATTTAATAAAACTATAATCACCCTCAGTAAGCCAGATATAGAATATGAAAAAAAAATAGAAACGAAGGATAAGGAATAAGCGTTGTAACGACTAAACTTACAACACAACAATCTGTTTAATAACAGTTTTGACAGAAGAAAAAAACGAGTGCTAAAAACAGAAATTCGGTGTTCAGATATGCAGACAATAAGATGCAAAAAAAAACGGTAACCAATAATAAATAGTTTCTTAAAATTGAGCAAGTTTTGCAAAAACTTAAAAAAAGGATTCTATGAAATGGTATATACTAATATTTTTAGCATACCTCTTGAATCACTTAGAGAAATTCAGATTATTGGAAAATTGGAAGAAAAATACGATGAGAAAACCTAGACACCTGCTTTTGAGAAAAAATTCTCACGATCCGAAGTATGTATGCAACTTTTTTTTTCATTTTCTTGCCACCTTAGTTTTTCGTATAATCTTATTGGCTTAAACGAATAATAAGATATGGAGCATGTTTTTTATTTCAATTTCAAGAAATAAAACAGAGTGGGTGAACCAGAAAAAACGAACGAAGATATGAAAAAGTAGTGTTGCAAGTTTGGGAAAATTATGAACGAACATAGTGAATGGGTGTCACAAATAGCCTCACATACAATAGAAACCCCAGTTAAGGGAGATTAAAAATTTCGAGAAAATACTTATCAAGGAAAATTCGAAACACTTCAATTTTTCTCAATTTCACTGAAAGTGTGATCTAAAAACCAACTTCATATCTAGAAAAAAGGTTTTTTTTTCGAAAAATCTGTATCATTATTCGGCACTCCAAATATCATAAAACGAGGAAAACCCAAGATTTTGAGAAATGGAGAAAAAATTGTCTAAATAAACGATAGTCGTAATGTACGGACTTGATCTTAAAAATACTCAGAAATTCAAAATATAGCAACTTGCCAACTTATTGAATGTCTGTCTTATTATGACACATATTTTATCAACTTATCATATCAATTACAAACGAAAAATACTGCGAATGCTCTATAAATGCACTTTGAGCTCAATTATCCCGGTTTTTCAAAAATATCAACAATTTGTCAACTGGTAAACTGTTTTCCAGTTGACATCTCTTTGATATCTTTCACAAGAACCGAGATGGTTGAGCCCAAAATGTACGTATAGGGTAAGCTTCTGTTAGAGCATTTACGGTAATTGTGCTCAGGGAGACATTATAATGTTCTAATAGAGGAAATAAGGTACGCGTATTTGAGTTTTTACAGTAGAAACTTTTTGCAGTATTTTCGATCAACTGTTTTAACAAAAAAGGAACATTTCTTTTTAGAAAATGCTTTCCGAATACGACTGGGTTCAATGACTGGATTCCTAATAACCTCTGATTAAATAACAGTAAAATAACAAATAGGTTACCTGGTATGCTTTTTTCTCATGACCAAATTCTCATACCAAAATGTCCCTAGCCCTGTTGCCAACCATTTCATTTGTTACTGCACAAAATCAAACATTGAGCCTCTTACCTGTTGATGCCTGACGCCGGAACGCCGGATTGGCATTTCCGTTTGCTGTCATTTCTGTCGTTCAGGAGTAATATAGTTGTCAGTCACTTGGAATTGAGTTAGTAGTCATTAAGAAATTAAATTAAATAGTGAATAGGGATAAGTATGGAAAGCGAACAGGCGATATCAGTGATATGATACTTTGTTTTTGTTTTTTCTTTATTTCTTCCGATCTTCTTCAGCTTCTACTTTCTTCTTTTCGCACTGCCAAACAATCCCCGCCTCTTCACTTTTCCGTTATTATTTCTTGTGTCGTCTCGCAGTTTTTCTCGTTCTATCCTCGAAGAGTTCTCTTCACGTTGAGCTGTCTTTCCAAAAAAATTGAGGGGTATTTTTTTCCGGTTTCGAACAGCTTCGTAGGTACTCTAAGGTGTCGATCGATCTGAAACTTTTGGGAAATTTTTGTATCAGAAGTGTTTTATAGAATGAATGAAACGGTACGTTTAGGAATGCAGCTGATCGAGTTGGGCAAGAAACTGTTAAATTGAATAGATCAGGCAGTGTGGAATACAAAAAATAGGGAATTTTAAAATCAGAAATACATATGGTCATATGAAAAATTATGAGACATTCTAGCTAAAATTTCAGTTGGGACAATTGCAATTGCAGGCAACAGGAAAACATAAATTGTAAAATTAATTTCTTGCACTTTTCAGTAGAAGTTCTCAAATGGTCCCCAATTTTTGTGGACTCTCGATTTATGATTTCTTGCGCTGATGACACTAAACGCTCATTAATGACAAAAGTGACATTGATCGAGTACACGTAGAACAAAATTGAACTCCAGACCAGCAGCAACAGGGCAGAAGAAACAAAAAAAATCATTGGAAAAATGTTGTTTGCTGATTTGTTGGATGGATGACAACAAAACGGCAAGTGCTCGATGAGTATCGAAAATATGCTGGGCTCCTCTGCTCCAACTACTGCCGAGGTTGAGCTGTGCTACTCCTGCGCTTCCTGAAGAAACCGCCGCCGTCATCACTTTACACACCATTCCTCCTGCCGAAGAGAAATGGCACTGCTGGATGGCGACGAAGGAGGAAGAAGAAGAATAGCAATGGAGAAAGGAGGGAGCAAAAGATGAGTAAATGAAAATTTTCTCTACTTTTTCAATCATCGAATCGATAAGTTGAGAGTGTTGAGTCCAAGAGTCACTTTAATGATGAGAGAAAAAAGCGGGTGGGACACCTCAATATTTTTCTTTCCCCGAAAAAAAGGGGATCAATCAAGATCCGAAAGTTTGAACTATTCGATTCCATCTTTCCATTTCTCATTTTGTTCTTTACACACAAGGGGCTCGTAAAAATGATGTATTGGAATAGCAAAACGAAATACTGAAAACATTTCCATACATTTAAAAGCCAAAAACAAAGATAAGAGTCTTTAGAAAGGGAAGTTTTTTTGGTTTGTATTATTGTAATTCGTCGGAGAAGAAATACATTTTTCTTGTCTGCTAAATGTGGAAAACGAGATCATGAATCAGTTGCATAGTCCTGATTTTTTGTATTATGGTGTACTTTTTCTAAGAGAATAGTTCATGACTTCAGAATGACGTAGAAGAAAACCAGACTTTTTTATAACCAACTTGAACAATGGCTATGTCGTAGCTTATTCTAGAATCAATATTTTTGAATCAACTAATTCCAGTAAGCTGGTGCGCTTTTGGCGTAATTTGATCTAGTTTTTCACTGGTTTGTCGTTTTGCTTCCTACGTTTTCTTAAAGGGCTATGGAAATCTGGATTCATTTTTCACGTTTTTCAGTAGTAGACAGACTGACACCTGGACCAACACACGCATGTAGCGTTTCATATATAAAGAAGATATAAAAAACCAGGAAATGATAAGTTTTGGAAGAAAAGCTTCCAATCCAAGTAGGGTTCTGACCGTTTTTTGTCATTTTCTTTAAAAATGTTTTAAATAAATACGATTTTCAAATACATCTTACAATTCTGTAGTTTTCGTCAAGTTCTATCATTTCTAATTTACAGTACCGGTCAATGAGATATATAAAAATGTGATTTTCAGTTAATTGTTGATTATTTTGACCATTGTCAGAAGTCTGGAGCTCGGCTGGCAAGTTTTCAATCGATTTGAAATTCATGGGAGTTGTAAAACAGACATAGATTGAACATTTTGCACAAAATGTTGTGAAAATTAATATTTTTTTCCGATTTTTGCTGATTTCGGAAACACATTTTAGCTCTCTCTTGTACTGAACTGTGAAAAAAAAAGAATGTCTTTTGGAAATCCGCAGTTAGCTGTAATGTCCAAGTTATCGTAAACGTGACAGCCGAGCTCTCGACTCCTGAAAATGATCAAAATGACCTAAAACTTATTGGAACATACGTTTTGGTATCTTCTCTTGAATTGCACTGTATATATTTTACAGTTTTCTAATAACATGAATCCCTCAATTTTCAACATCAAATTTATATAATTTCTTTATTCCATCTCATTGAATAAATACAAAATCTACACAATACGCTCATTTTGTTAAAATACAATAAATTAGCTTTGTTTTCAAGAGAATTATGCATTTTTTCGCACGGAAAAAAGTGCATTCTCCTCTCAAAAACACTATTTATGGGTCAAAAACTGGGACGCAAGGTGTATGGTGAAACCTAAAAATGCACCAAAGTTTATGTTACAGGGGTAAGTGGCTGGATTGGACTGGATAATAGGAACTATATTATAAGACAGAGCACGACAAAGTATTGCTAATGGAACTTGAAAAATTTAGAAATTAATATAAATTAATAGATTATCAAAAAGACAAAAAAGTGACTGGAAGGGAAACATGCAAATAGAATTATTGGAGGAAGAGAAAAAAATTGGACACGGTAAATTTGTTGTGAAGAAGAAAATTATGCAACCGACAGAAGATGAACACAGATGGAGGGGAGGGCGAATACGATGATGGTAGTAGAATTGACGCCTAGATGATGATGGTACGTACAAAAACTGACCAATCCAATCCTCAAAAAGGGACTCAAAAAGGGGAAGGGAAAGAAAATGAAACTCGGGATGATTTTTTTAGACACTGATTTAGAAAATGCTTAATAGGCAAACGTTCGAAGAATTGTACAATGACTATAAAGCTTTCAGCGGAAGTGGGGTAAAAAGTGAATGACATGAAAATTGGTATTGATGAATTTAGAATGGTCGTTTTGGTACTTGAGGACGGGCAGGTATCTCCGGTGCTCCATTGGATGGTGTAGGTACTCTTCTGAAATTTCGAACATATATTTCAAACAGAAAAAGAAATTCAAAGCTAATCATGCAAATCATATACAGTAGCGTTCAATAAGATATACAAAAACGTGTTTTTCAGTTGATTTTGGCCCATTCTCAACAGTTTGGAGCGCGACAGATGTGTTTCCATTATTTCTGAAAATTTTGGAGGTTATAAAACAGATCTAGATCAAAAACTATACACAGAATTTTTTGAAAATTCCTCTTTTTCCAGCTATATGCCAGCTATATGATTGTTGAATGACACCTGTTTTTTTGTGTTTTCAGTACAAAAGGTGACTTTCAGAAATCGGCAAATAACTGAAAAACTGGAAAATTTGAAAAATTTTGTGAATGAAAAGATTTAAATATAGGTCTGTTCTACACCCTCTGAAGTTTTCAAAGTGATCCGGCACTTGACAGCCAAGCTAAAAATTTCAAAAAATGGTCGAAATAGGCTTCGCGTCACTTTGAAACCCCGACAACTAGACATTTCGAACCCGTTGTAATACAGGAAATTACAAAAATTTCCGACCACTAAAACATTTACAGTTTCCAAATATGATTTTTCTCAAACAGCACATTCTGACACTCGAAAATTATTTTTTTTGAAAAACCGAAAAATTAAAAATTTCAATATATTTTCAAATTTCAGAATATGTTTTATTAGAAAAAGCTTATTTTAAACTCCTACAACTTATTTCTGAAATTTGAAATTGGTTCATTCGCCTATATTACTACGGCTTCCAAATGACCGTTTTCGAATTGACTGGTTTCGAAGAGATTAAAATGACCTTAAAATCAACTGAAAAACATTTTTTCGTATATCCTATTGATCGGTACTGTATAAAGAATTATTTCTAAGATTTTGAAGATAGGAGAAATATGAACTTGCAGGATTTCAGGAAACTTAGAGCAGAAACTGTGAAGCTAATAGATATGAAAAGTGTACAGAACCACATTACGCCATATAAAAACCCCACAATATCAACATGCATAGGTGTACAGACTATAGATATGTACTGTCTGTTTCAACAAACCTTCTGTGGGTTGAAATATTATTCACAACATTATTATCTAGGCGGTGCCATGTTTGGTGGTGGTGGGCCGCCTGGTCCCGGACGCCTAGAGTGGTTGAAACGTGTTAGATTTTAATGATTTTAATTTTGATTCTAGGTGATTTTAAATAGAAGAAGAGAGAAAAAAGACCATGATAGAATAGAAGATATGTTATAGTAACTGAAAGATCCCTAATTACAACAACTTACGTTGGAATCAATGGTGGATACATGCCTCCACCTCCTGGAGCACCTGGTGGTGGGCGCATTCCAGGTGGTGGTGGTCCTCCCGGTCCACGTGGTCCTGGTGGCATTGGAGCTTGACGTCCGCCTGGTGGAGCTGGAGCTGGGCGTGGAGCTGAAGATGGTCCGGATGGACGGTAGTCGGTGACTGGAAGTGATGGTGGAGTGTCGCCGAGAGTGCTCATGTTGACTTCGGAGATGATACGGAGGGCTTCCTTGCAGGCGTGGTACATGCGAAGCATTTCTTCGCGTTTCTGAGCTTCCAGTTGTGATTCCTCCATGAGAGCATCAGTGTCGCCGCATTGGTAAAGGTGAGCCAGAAGTTCGTCTTTCATGAATTCGCTGACCTGGAAGACTTTCATTCTAAGTTGAAGTGATGGAATGATTTGAGTCATAGTTGTGATTTGTGTAAGCTATAAAATTTGGAGAATCACTGTTTGCAGAGACTCCTAAAAAGCAAATACAGTACCGGTCCGTTGATTTTGACCATTTTCAGGAGTCTGGGGCTAGACTGTAAAGTTTAAGAACCGTTTGAAATTTTTGGAAAATGAACGTTTTTGGAAAATGAAATTTTTGGAAATTTGGAAAACAGACCCAGGTTGAAAACTTTGCATTTACAGATTTTTTTGAAAATTTCCTGGTTTTTCAGCTTTTTGATGAAATCTGAAAGACATATCTTTTTTGCTTTTTTGCACTGAAAACGTGGAAAACAGGATTTTTTTCTAGAAATCTGAATTTTCGAGAAATGCTGAGAATACAAAATTTTCAATCTTTGTCTGTTTCACACCCTCCAAAAATTTCAAAATCATAAACTTGACAGTCAAGTTCCAGGCTCTTGAAAATGATTGAAAATCAACTGAAATATACGATTTTGTATATCTTATTGACCGGCACTGTATGGTCGGAGGCCCGTTTCGCGCCAGCAGAATATCTTATTTATTAATATAATTGATTGAAGAGTTCTTGATAAATTGTTTTGATGACATTTCCCCTTGAATGTGATGAAATGATATGAGTCATTGATATGATTTGTGTAAGCCATCATTTTTGAACGATCACTGTTTGCAGAGATTACTAGAGAGCAAATACTCAAAAAATTACGAAATACCGTAATCAGTCCAGTTATCACAGGTGCTGATTTTTTCCCATCCTCACCTGATTAACAACCAAATGCATCACAGCCTTTGGCACCAAATCTTTGATCGTTTTGGTGATGATTCTCATATACGAGTCGACCAAATTACGAATGGTCTCCACTTGACGCTCCAATTGAGGATCCATCGACGATTCCTCCATTTCTGGGAGCGACTCGTCCTCTGGTGCCTTCTGTTTTTCTGGATAGACTCCGGCACGCAAGAATGAAGCTTTCCAGGCATCGACTTCATCCAAATTGTTGCATCCCAACTCGAGTTGCTTGTAATCCTTGTAAATGTTCCTGAAAAAAGACAAGGTCATTTTGGAAACAAGAAAATCTTATGAATAACAATCATGCTGGTATTCAGAATCTGATCATCTATGAAGCATATCGCATGCCATTGTCCGAACTGAAACTGTCACAGCAGGAATGGAAAGAATAGAAACTACAAAAGGAAAATTTTAGGGGAATCTTTTTGGGTTGGTTCGGAAATTGTCCAAAAAAATATGAAGGGTAGAAGAAACTGTTCACAATGACGACAACACAGATATTCAATGATTCTTGTCTTACAAATCATATCTCTTAAAGATAGAGTTGAAACAAGGTAAGAGAAGAGAAGAAGCGGTAAAATATAGATTAAACTATACACTCACTTCCTGAAAAATGATTTTTAATTTTCAAATGGAGAAATTTTTTTCGATTTCTAACGGAGAAAATAGTCATGCTAATACAGTAGTGCTTTTGTGATTTTGAGAAAAATTTTCCTAGCTTAATACTACTACTGTGGATAATGACGTTGATGAAAAAGCGTGCGAATTTCGAAAATTTTTGTAGCTGCAGTAACGGTCTATAAGATATACAAAAGCATTTTTTTAAATTGATTCTGACTACTTTCAGTGTCTGGACGCCGGCTGTCTAGTTTTTGATCAATTTGAAATCTTGGGAGCGTGTAGAACAGACTTGAATTGAAAACTTTGCATTTACAGAATTTAGGGAAAATTCCTAGTTTTTCAGCTATTCGCCGATTTCTAAAAAGTATCCTTTTTCTGTTTTTGCACTGAAAACGGAACAGTTGCTTTTCAAAAATCAGCAAATATTTCAAAAAACATGAAGTTTTCAAAAAACTGTAAGTGCAAAGATTCGAGTTAGATCTGTTCTACACCCTCAAAAAATTTCAAAGTGATCGCAATTTTGACACCCAAGCCCCAGACTTCTGAAAATGATCGCAATCAACTGAAAACTACATATTTTGTATACTTTATGGACCAATACAGTTCATATGAATATATATATACTGTCTGTTCAAAAAAATCTGGACAAGGGGCGGGGCTTCCGCGACACGCCCCTTTATGCAACGTGTGCGCACACTTTTTCGGGGATATTTTTCTCAGAATTTTCAGATGTATTTTTCCACAATTTTTCTCATTGAAATTGAATAAAATTGAGATTTTAATGTAAAATCATCCAGAAAATATCAATTTTATCCAGAATTGCTTCAGTGCCTTCATACCTTGACGGCGTTAGCTTCTTGGGGTTGCGGTTGATGGCGGAAAGTTCGTTCTGGTGTGCTACTCATGTTTTCTGGATGATTTTACACTAAAAACTCAATTTTTTCCAATTTCAATCAGAAAAAGTGTAAAAAATGACATCTGAAAATTCCGGGAAAAATATCCCCAAAAAAGTGTGCGCCACTATTGCAAAAAGGGGCGTATCAGGAACGCCCTAAAACGTGGGCTGCGGCGCGCCCACGTTTTATTGAATAGACAGTATATATTCTTTTTTAAATCCCTGAAAATATCAAGGATACTCACTTTCCATCCGGGTAGAAAAGTGCAAACTTGTGTTGACGCGACATGAATCCACTCTCGATATCCCTCAATCTGATTCCATCCAATGGAAGCATATACTTTTTCTCTTTTTCCTTAAATTTTTTCGCTTTTTGCATTCCGAAAGTTGTCTAATAATACCTCATCATCCTTGTACCAACTCAGGCTGTCAGAAGTCAAGACGAACCAACAGTCCTTGGATCCACGAACAAAGGAGATGTTGCTCACTGAGAGCCACCCCTTACGGATCACCTGATTTCCGAGGTTCTTCTTAGCCGATTGACCTTGTGATGCTTTTGCTTCAGCGCTGAAATAATTTGTGATGCTACGCGCCTAAAAAATTGGCTCTTACTTGCTGAAACCGATAAAATCCTCATGATTGGTGTTCATGTAGGCCAACTCGTAGTCGACGATCAATCCAATCTGTTGCTTGGCAGTTTGCTCACGCTCCCGCATATACGACACCACAATTCTCTCCAACTCATCACGAAGACGTGGGTATCTAGCCATAGTGTCAGCACACTGTCTGATAACATTGGCCAACTCATTGACGACCAAGTCCACGCACTTCAACGATGGCTCCTTCAGACGAGCGATCTGCTTCTTGGCGATCGCTTCGAAAGCCATATCTGGAGTGAAGAGACCAACACGGATACCATGGATGTTACGGATAGCGAATTGAATCTCTTTTCGCATCTCCTTCTCGTCGATTTCCATTTTGACAATTTCGAATGGGAAACGCTCGTGGAAAAGACGATTGATGCGGGCTCCTCCAGATAGCTCATTGGTAGAAACCAGTTTGGCAGAAGATCCTTCGATAGAGCGCTCGATGTCAGCGTTGAATTGAGTGACCATTCTGAAATAATGATATTTTACTTTTGAAGTTTTGATCTTCATTTTTTAAGTCCTTTGAAAAAGACAACTCACTGTAAAAGAGCTTTGGTCTTGCGTCCAGGATCATTTGGCTGGAAGTTCTTATACTCAGCAACATCCTTCTCCATAGCAAACATCTTCTTTTGAAGACTATCACGAAGTGTTGGAAGAGTGTCACGGATATGATTGGTGAGTTGTTGATTAAGAGTATGTTGGAGATAAGTGGTTCCCAAACGGTCAGCCATATGTCTGTACGATGGATGAGAAATGAAGAATTTGCGTTCGGCATCCAAGGCAGCTCGAATATCCTTGCGTCCCACAATATCCTTCTGTCCACGATTAACAACTCCAACATATCCACGACGAAGGGTGAACAACTTGTTCTCCAGAATTTCACGAGCATCGGTTCCCTCGTCCATCAAGTCGAGTTTGGTAAGAACACCAATAGTACGAAGTCCTTGTGGATCGACTTCCTTGGCAAGTTTGAGAGCATCAGAAGTGGCAAGATCGCTGTTAGCTGGTGTGACGGCCAGAATGAGACAGGTCTCGCGGCTGATGAAAGTAAGGATCATGTCACGGATTTGGGTCTCGATATCGGCTGGTTGGTCTCCGACTGGAACCTTGGTAAGACCCGGAAGATCGATAAGAGTCAAGTTCAAGACATTTGGGGAGAACACACTCAGGTTGATTGGATGGGGACTGATTCCCTTGTTTTGTCCCGTGACACGATCGGTTTCATCCTCGATCTCCTTTTCGGACAGCGTCAAAATCCGTGAAACGATGTCCCTTCTTGTGGAGAAACTCGGCATACTCATTGCGATCTTGAATGAGTTGCAAGATCAATGGACGACGAGTAACAATTCCAGAACCACGCGGAAGGAAGTCTCTGGAATAACATATAGACTTGGTTTGCATTTGTTTTGACGTATGCCTTCCCTGGCCATGCCATAGGTTCTTTCACAATCAAAATTTTTGAGCCTATCAGGTTAATGGAATTACAAAATGGTACTATTCGGGAAAAAATTGTCTTGTTTTTGAACAAAGCAACAGACGAAACAAACCAAAAAAGGGTTCGGCCACTTTATGGCTTGTAACTTTGTTCATAGACAATATACAGTTTTC